ATTCCAGCGTCATGAAACATTTGTTCAAATTGTTCCAGAGTGGGCACAATGCTTCAACGAATCGATTTGTTAAATCCATGTTAAGTTGTGTAAACCATATAACTCTTGTTGATACGGTATCGAGCACGGTAGATATGATGATTAGACTTTCTGGTCGTAAATAACGAACTGTTTCCTTCAGGGTTGACACACTGTTTGTAAATGTATTATCATTTCGGTCCAAATGATTCAAAACCTATTCGAGTAAAATATTTGACTGTATATTTGAAAATGAAACCATCATTATTATAGAAAGTTTCAAAAACTTCTGATGGAAAAAGATTCTGTTATACCTCATTGTCACGTTTTCTTTTGGAAATGTACTTTTCCTTGCAGATGATTCAACACTTGATTGAATTAAAATATTTGATAAATTTTCGGCAGGTGTCAAATTGACACTATAAAGCTGATGTAACATTAGATTAAAAAGACGCTGTACTAACCGCATTGACTTACAACCTTTGTAATAAAACTGTCAAAGGTTTGAAGTCAAACATATTACTGAATCATACTTTATTTTAAAGGCAACAAACTAATGCTGAATAAATAAATTGAATTATTTATTCCTGTCACGGCTTTAATTGAACCAATTTAAGCCGCGTTTAAGATAATTCTACTGTTGCTTATTGATAACGACAATCATCTCAAATGGAAGAGATGAAAACAAATTGGAAAAGATATTTTCAAAAATAACATCATATTACAAGCATAATTATTAACAAATATTATGGAAAAAATGAAATTCATTTTATATCACTTACCACATTGAACATGACAGCATCAAATGTATCATCTGGGAATGGCATAGGTGGCATCTTCGCCTCTATAATACCTGCTATCATGCCCTTTTCTATGCATTCTTTCAGCTTGCTTCTGGCTTTATCTAACATCTTTGACGAAGCATCCAGTAGTGTTATCTGTTTAGCACCCATTTCAATAAATGCTTTTGCATAATTTCCTGTACCACATCCGGCATCCAAAATCTTCAAAACCTATTTGCCAATGAATGGAAGCGGTTTTCTTTAGGGATTCTTATTTCTCTCTATTTTATCGCCACATCAGCATTGTTTGTGCCTTGTGGAGGCCGTAAAAAGTCGCACCGTACATTCAATCAGAGATGTTATATTTTCGGTCCTTAAGATCGTTCAGCACGACATTATTGTTGTGCTTGTGTTGTTTTAGTTCTTTCTATTCGGGATCTTTCTTGTTAGGTGGTTCAAGTATTCCTAACATGAATACTGCTGAACCACCCTTAGGATATGTTGCCTGCTTTTTAAATTTGTCTTTTGACGTCATATCTGTGATATGCAGGCTTCATAACCTCAGATCCGCTTTCAAAATTCCATTTTATTTAGTTCCGCCCATTTTTTTCTCGTTTGGGGCACATGCATGTTTTTACTTGGGGACCATATGCCGCTTTTCATGGAATGGCACTAACGTGTCACATTGAAGGTTCCATGATAACCGCCATATGAACACATCTGCGGATGTTTCAAAATTCTAAATTTTACCAGTTCATGTAAAATGTTGAATTCTGCTTAAGATGGTGCTAGGGGGCGTGGACGGTAGTTTGCACTTGACAGTACCGTCCATGAACATGCTCAATCAAACCGAGCCTGCAACATTTTCAATTTTGCCGTGTTGGGCTTTCTTTAGGGATTCTTATTTCTCTCTAAAATTAAACGCTGATATGATATCACATTATTTAAGTATTAAACACAATAGTCTATTGTGTTTAATACTTAAATAATGTGATATCATATTAGCGTTTAAAGATAAATGCAAAGTAATTTAAATAAAACTCACCTGACTTGCTTACCAAGGGAAATTGGCGCTGTGTTTTTGGTTGTACGTACATGTATATATTCATTTTGAATAATTAGAAAATTAATAATTGTGCTTATTTTAGGCCTTTGAGAGGATTTCTGATATGAAAATAAAAGCTATATTGATAATTTCACGGTAAAAATTATCAAAATAAAATCAAACAACACCGTAAAAATAAACAACATTTCTTGAAAAGAAATTGTGTAAGACGCATTTATTTACCTCATGAGCTTTCGCTTATGGAGTAGCCACGAATGTTAAAAAAACATTGTCAAGATAACGAGATGCAATAAATTTACATATACCAAATAACATAAATTACAGTAATTAGGTAGCTCTAGATGTAGCTTCCATGACATCCGCCATATGAACACATCTGCGAATGTTTCAAAATTGTACCAGTTCATGTTAAATTCTGCTTAAGCCGGTGCTAGAGGGCATGGATGGTAGTTTGCACTTGACAGTACCGTCCATGACCAGGTTAAATCAAATAGAGAAAAACAGAATCCCTAAAGAAAGCCTAGCAAGGCAAAATTGTAAAATGTTGCAGGCTCGGTTTAATTAAGCCTGTTCATGGACGGTACTGGAAAGTGCAAGTTACCGTCCACTTAAGCAGAATTCAACATTTAATTACAAAAATGATAAAATTTTGAATTTAGAAACATCCGCAGATGTGTTCATACGGCGGTCATCATGGAACCTTCAATGTGACACAGTGGTGTCCTTCCATGAAAAGCGGCGTATGGTCCCCAAGTAAAAGAATGCGAGTGCCCAAAACGAGAAAACAATGGGCGGAACTAAATAAAATGGATTTTTGAAAGCGGATCTGAGGTTATGAAGCCTGCATATCACAGACAAGACGTCAAAAGACAAATTTAAAAAGCAGGCAACATATCCTAAGGGTGATTATACAGTATTCAAGTTGGAATACTGGCCAACAATATTCAAACTTCATAGGATGATTGTCCATATTGGGTAGAAGACCCCTATTGATTTTGAGGTCAAAGGTCAAGGTCACTATTACCTTAAAACTCACAACAGTTTCCGAAGAATAACTTAAGATTGGGTATAGTTCTATCACCAAACCCGCCTCACTCAGATTTAATAACATGAAAGCCAGTCATTCTCATGACAAGCCTTCTGTAATCGTACATTCTCGAAAAGTATCACAGATCTTCACTTTAAAGTCGGTGTATTTGTTCGTTATCATATTTGAAAAGCATTTCTAATGGGCAAATAACATAAAAGTTATTTTGCTTAATTATTTTCGTTTCACTTTTACCATTAACTGTACAGTTTTGTGTGTGTGTTAATTATATTTACCTCTAACGGTTTACCGCTGTAAAACTGTAGCATAGCAGCCATAACATCGGCACCAACAGCAACTCTCTGGTTGTCATAGAGACGAGACGCTTTGTTATAATCTACGTATGTACTCATAACTAACAGTTATAAACCTAAAATACAATATCTTATGTAATTACTTTTAAGAGATAAATTGAACTGAAAATGCATTCGTGCTTATTGCGTTTTACGAGACTAAAACGATTGCGACCACGTCATCTGTATGTAAAGCTGGCCGGTGGAGTCGTGTATTGTCTAAAGTATGAGAAAGCACACGAGAAGAATCATTAGACACAATCTAAAAGAGAAAGTTCAAGCATTTCTGACTATTATCATGTAGAAGATGAAAGCGTTTTATAAAAGCGTTATGGACCATACGACTCCAAATGCCTCGAATAGCATAACAGAATTATAAAAGAAAGTTTAAACAATGACTTTAAACAGATGATATCAATATATTTACCTCAAAACTGAATGTATGTCCTTGAAACTCTTTGTTTCTTTAATAAAATTAATCACGGAATTATCATTTTCAGCTATTAAGCTGTCATTTGTTGTTAAACATTGATTTAATAGTACTTAAATAATAAATAAGTAAAATAAGATATATAAGAGTATTTCTGCTCTAAACATTTAACATTATACAAACAAATATGAATTACTTGTCAAGATATCCAGTTCAACTTATTATTTACTTGTTGATTCACAACATAAACAGTTTGTCTTTTTGCAGTCATCCAAAGACACATTTCACTTGATGTGTCTATCTTTGAACAAATTCATTATTTTTTGTCGAATAATTACTTTTAAAGGCCCAAAATGCCCCAGCATTACTTTAACTTTTATGTCTGATTTTTTTTATTTATTTGTGTTCTGATATAGTTTCACAAAAGATACAATTTAGCAATGTTCTGTTCTTTTGCATTTAACAATAAGTACATTTATAGTGATTTAATATGTAGTTTTAAACTTTGTTTACATTTTGCTACATTTTTGCATGGATTATATCCTTAGATGATAAGTATCTAACATGACTTAAAACCACCAACCCGTCCTTCTGGTACCTTTCCCTACACCCTTATCCTTTTGTAGGTCTTTTAGTTATTTTTCATTTTTAATTACCTTGTATGTTTCAATGATTTCCTACCTGAACAATATATAATGACATCCCGTCCGTTCATTGTGATTTTCCCCGTGTGGCCTGTCCTGTTTGGTGTCCTGCTGGACTCCTTACCGGTGGTTCTGTGTTGGAGGTTGTATCCGTTGAATGCCGACCTTCCTTGTAGACCTCGTTTTTCATGTTTTATAGAACGAATTCGATTTCAAATGTATTACTTCCTTCGTAGATGAGCTGGTTAACATCTTGCCGTTTAGTATCTAATATACAAATACGAATCGCAAATAAAAGGAAATTATTGAAATATAAAGGTAAAGGTAAAGGTCTTGTTTATTATAGTGTCACCCCTACTGAAAGGGCCAGCCATTTTGACTTATGAGACACCTTTTCGTTGCATACCATGTACCTCCCAATTCCTACCACTATGCCTGGCGCCAGGCGGATAGAAATCGGTAACCATTCATTTTAACTACCTCGCGGCTCACGAAGCGGCCATTTCGGAACGAGTCCCACGAGAAACATTCATCCTTCAATTAACGCTCCCTGTGGGGCTCGAACCTTCGACCTCTGTATAGGTTAGAGTGCATATTGGGTGTTCTTCGTAAATAAGAAAGCTAAAAAGGAGCGGAGCTTGCGAAGCGACTGTAGCTTTCTTATTTACGAAGAACGTCCAATATGCACTCTAACCGGCTTAGTGCTCCGCCCACTTGCGTTTTATAATATAAAACGTCCAGTTTATATAAAATATGTTCTATTAAGATTTGTAACCTGAAAATTTGAAAAATCCTCGTCGGTGATTGGCTTAAAAAAATTGGCGAGCACTAAGTTTAAATATTTTCTTTCATATAATAAGTTAACAGACAATTTAGACCGTTTAAAACATAATCTACAGTTCAACGTAGAACATCTTTCTCATCATTTTGGATGCAGTTTCGATACGAAATTTTCCAAAAAATGTCGTTTAAACCACTGTTTAGTAAGGTAAAGCGATTTCACCGACTGAAAAAAATACCAAGACGATCGAATTGGAAAATAATGATTGATATTATTCACTTGTATATACGTAATGTGAATTGAATTGAATGATGTTTTTTTTTTATTTTTGTAAATATTTTTTTAAAGAAATGAAGCATAACATGATAATGTTGGGCATGATTGTATAAACAGTACTGATGTCAACTATAACAGGAAGGAGATGGCTCTAAAGAAAACGAAACTTTTTCCCAATGAAAGATTAATTCCCTGCAAAAAAATTGCTTAAAGCTCACTCACTGAAGTTAAGGGTGAATAGAGTCAGTCCAATGAAACAGAAAATATTATGCTTGGTAAAATTATTATTTAAATGTTACTCGACACGTTTTGGTAATACCACGGCATGCAATTTGATATGGCAAGGAACCGCCTCCGTGGTCGAGGGGTTAGAGTCGATGACTTCTTATCCAGTTACCTCTCTGGCGTGGGTTCGATCCCCGGGAGATGCTTTTGTAGTTTATCACGGAGAAAGGTAGTCTAGTACTGGTGTAACTCTCCAGGAACGATGGTTAGGAAACTACCCGCCTATATGACTGAAATACTGTTGAAAAAAGGCGTAAAATGAAACAAACAAACAAACAAACAAACGAGCAAGTACCACAAACCACTCTTCAAATCAAATTTATGTATACTTTCAAAATTATTGAGAAGGTACGTTGAATTTGTGTATCATGTCATAGACCAATAAAGCTCTATACAATCACTTGACACTGTATATCAAATATTTGAATGTATACATACTTTGCTTTCGATATATCTTTATCTGCGAATATTTACGTCGCCAAAAGGAACACGAGCATGGGTTCAATATTGTACGGTTTCATATCGTGCTTTATTTTGTTGAAAAAAGAACAGACAAATACGGTGCTGTTTTTAATTAAAAATTACAATCAAACATATTCAAAGATTAAAATAGGCATAAAGAATTCTTAGAACAGACATAAGACATTGTGTTCAGTTGGATAAGTATAGCATAAACAATAAACCATATGAAATGTAGGTATCAACATAGCATGAGACAATTAAGTTTGACAAAGGTAAACTGGACAAAGAAACATTTAGTTTCTTTTATTTGAATAAAATCATTTAGCGAAATCGACTCAAAGCAAAATGCCGCTGATTCTTCACTTGTGGCATCAAGTATGAAATTACAGTCTTAATTAAATCACATATATCTAGGAACAGATTCCTCTCAATATTCAAGACACTCTTTATAATTCAATGCACATAAAGTTAACATTTAGACAGTGAAAGGATGTTTTTTTCCGAATCGGCAACATTTTGTACCCGGCTCAGTTTTTAAGATAGTGATCGTTTAAAATGTAAAATAAACATCTTTTGAGTTCACACAGAGAATATATGTTATGTTTTATGTTACCATACACACTATTGGTAAATGCAGTATGAATACTAAGTGTCATTGGAAAACTTGCAGTTTTTAAGAAAATACCAAATTAACCAGATGTAGGGAAATATATAGGAATTCTGCTTCCCAAACATTGTGCATTCTCTTATTCAAATGATACGTATTCAGTAATAATTTCCTAGATTTCAATGAAATTCTGCAATAAAAGTATATACCTAAAGATGAGCATAGTGTATCTTTAAAGTACATTGTTAAGAGATCCAGTTTTTTATAATCCAATTAATGTTTTATTGATAACACGTAAACAGTATATTTTAAGATTAATCAGTCACAAGGAATGTCTCAATTTGAAAATTCTCGTTAAATTCAACGGATGGTTTAACATATGTTACATTTTCAGTACTTAAATGTTTTATAAATAACTACTCAGGCATGTATGTAACACTCGAGGACTGCACGAGGTCCGGAAAATTCATATACTTCTTCATTTTTATGACCCCGAAGGGAGGCATATTAAAATCGCATCGTCTGTTCGTTCGTTCGTCCGTCTGTCTGTCTGTGTATCCCCACTTCATTCGTGTTCGGACTGTAACTTTGTCATACATTGAGGGAATTTAAAATAACTTGGCACAAATGTCTACCACAACAAGATAATGTGTCGTGTCTAAGAACCACGTCCCTACCTCAAAGGTCAAGGTCACCCTATCATTTTGAAGTTTCACATTATCGCAATTAGAGTAATAGGTACACACATTCGTGTCCGGATTGTAACTTTGTCATGCATCGAATGATTTTAAAATAACTAGGCATAAATGTCTACCACATCAAGACAATTTGTTACGTCCAAGAATTACTTCCCTATCTCAAAGGTCAAGGTCACACTAACATTTTAAAGTTTCACATTATCACAATTAGAGTTAAAAGGTACACACAATCGTGTCCAGACTGTAACTTTGTCATGCATCTAAGGATTTTAGAGTTAGTTTGCATAAATGTCTACCACATAGAGAGAATGTGTCGCGTCCCTACCTCAAAGGTCAAGGTCACACTAACATTTTGAAGTTTCACTTGATTACAATAACAATTTGTAGGTACACACATTTGAGTCCGGACTGTTACTTTGTCATGCATTGAAGGTTTTAAGAATAACTTTGTTTAAATGTCTACCACATCAAGACGATGTGTCTCATCTTATAATCACGTCCCTACCTCAAAGGTCAAGGTCACACTACCAAAGTTGAATTTCACTTTATCACAATTAGAATTTATCTATGGGTAAACACATTTGTGTCCGCACTGTCCCTGTCATGCATCGAAGGATTTTAATATAACTAGGCATAAAAGGATCGGCATAAAATGTGTACCACATACCATATCAAGACGACATGTGGCGACTAAAACCAATGTACATACCTTCAAGGTCAAGGTCACACTTATAGTATGAAGGGACTCATTCTCTCAAGAAGAGTTTGAAGATATACATGCATGTCCGGACTGTAATTTTGTCATGCATGGAAGGATTTTAAAATAACTTTGCACAAATGTCTACCATATCAAGACAATGTGTCGCGGCTGGCTGAGACTCATGTCCGTCTGTCTGTCCGTGTGTCCCCACCTACACAATAATCATGTCCAGACTGTAACTTAGTCATGCATTGAGGGATTTTGAAATAACTTGCCACAAATGTCAATCTCATATCAACATTATTTCGCGTCCAGGAACCACGTCCCTTCTTCAAAGGTCAAGGTCACACTTATATTTTGAAGGTTCACGCTATCACAATTGGTGATTACATGTACAATAATACAAAGATCAATATCAAGCAATTAGTTACTTTCATTCTCTTTTCTTTTCATAATACTTGCATGCTTAAGAAACTTTTTCGAGAGCATTCGTCACTTGGGTTACAGCTTTGCTTCATTAATACAACGCAAACGTTTTTACAAATTTCGCCAGCAAAAATATACATATCTAACAAACTCACTAACAAAAAATTACCGAGCTGTAATTAAAACAGTATTTACAAAAAGCACATATATCACGGAGCACTTTGACAAAATGTAGATCACGTTTAAATAGCACCCATTCTATGTTACGCATTTTCTACATCGGCTGTTTCATTGATGGTATACGTGTTTGTGCCAATCCAAAACGAAACCATACATTACAACGATCTGTACAGTCTAACAAGAACGTGTATGCTTTTGTTTTCTGTTTGGTTTTCTATTTTTACCTGAATTAATAACTATTTTATTAATTTTAAATAGTTCAGGTATAAATTATAAAATATTTAAAAATATATTTTACAAAATTTAAAGTGACTCTACTGAGGTTTTTGACATCACGGGAATGACCGAGATTTGTGTATCCTTTGAGGTAGGTCTGAAACAAAAACTTGTAATAAAACATTTTTACATCGTTTTATTTTCATCGCGTTTTTCCAGAATAATGATTTTTAGTGTACAAAGTGACCCAAAAAATAAAAGCGTTGTAACGATTTACACTAAAATCAGTCTATGAATCGCACAGAACTTCGATATTTAGTTTAACCCTAAGTCTTATTAATAATCCATTGCAGATTTGTGCAACTTTAACGCTTCACTTGATCTATGAAAGAATTAAGAAACATTATGTTTTAGACTTTTTGACCTCAGTGGAGCTCTTTAAATACACTAGTCCTTTTCCTTTGTATTTATTTCTCTTCAACTATGTACTTTCGATTGTTTTGTGTATTGTTTTCATAGACAGGATGCAGTTTAAGAGCCTTAATATGTCATATAGTTTTTAATATAAATTTAACAAAAAAAATGTCTTGGTTAAATTGAAAAGAATGAAATTTCGAAATGATCTTTTTATATCGACCAACAAATAAATTATTTTAATAATTCACTGAAGTTGATGGTTCAAATCTAAATCTCAGTTTAGATGTTTTCATTTTTTCTTCAAAGAGTTGATCAAATCTTTCATTTTCAGCAACAGTAAAATGATTCTTCCAGTCACCAATCTCTCCTGCAAAGACAAATATATCGGAGTTGATAACAACGACAACAAAATGATGATGATAATAACGATGATGATATTGTAAAATAATTGAATAGTTTTATAGACGAATATTGAAAAGACGTGGAATTAAAAAAGTCAGATAACAAAAAGTCAGATATAAAAGTTATCTTTTAGGTTGTCATGGTTATCATATACACACATGTATCACGTTATTTACGTCGTTGTATTGAAACCTACCGGTGGAATTATTAATAACTGTATGTCAAAAAAATAACGGTCACCTCCCAATTTTTTATGCAACTACCAGCTTTTAAAAAGTAGCCTGCAGTACAAGTTATGTAATTACGGGTAATAAAGTATCATTGAGTAGCTCTAAAAAAATCTGGAAACAAAGTGATCAATGATCCCGAAGGACCAGAAAAATATAACAACACTGAAGTGAAGTACGGGACAACTTTTTACAGCTGCCACACAGCACTTGACACCTGCTGTTGTGAAGTAAGTTGCGGGTACAACGAATTGGCTAGGGAGTGTGCTTGGTGCATCGCAAAGACGGTCATTATCAGGTCTTTATCTTTCCAGGCTACTGTATAGGTTCTAAGACTCACTGACTGCTTTCATGTGAGCTAGTTTTCAGCCAAAATTCATGTCTTTTAGTAAATTACCACTTGTAGCCCGGTTCATGATATATAGCGTACATGATTTGGGGACTCATTAAGCTAATAATTACACATTTAGACAGAGGTTTTTTGCACTATCATTTATATAATTGTTATTTTCGTTCAAAACAAAATCACGGATTTTTTCCCCATTTATATATTATTATTCACAAATCATTTTAGGACCAGGGCATTCTGCTGTAAGTAATCTGAAAATATTATTTTGTGGATGACATAACTTGCAATTGTAATTTAAAGCTTATCTACAGGACAATATCGCACACATAAAAGCACGCACGATTTCTAACTAAAGAGTCCGGTTCCATATGACGATATTCTGCTGTGTATTTGTATGGCAATATTTATCGTTGTTACGCATTTCAAGCACACGTGCATCATTTCTTTTCATGGTTTTATAAGTTCAATTTCAGATGAAAGTTAATTATGATGTCTTAACAAAAGCATTTGTTAATCATTCCAGGGGTGCTGAAATTAAGTACTTCTTCTCGCCTTTGTGTAGATTTTTTTACATAATGTAACTCTTTAAAAGTTAATATGTGCTACACAAATTGAATCAGAATATTTATAAAATCCTCATACATCGATCTTGAGTTTTATCCTTATTTGCTAAGCGCTTTGAGCATTGAAGGGTTACATTACTTGATAATGGACTTTAAATAAGCTTCACGTCGTGTATATAATTAATTAATAACGATTTACAAAACCTGATTAATCAAGAAAACACCAAACCTTTCCGATACATATTGAATTTGGATGGATCAATAAATATCTTTTTTGCCAACTCTGGTCCATACTGCTTTTCCTTCTTCATGGTATCAAATTGACATTGGTCATTTATAGCTGCAATAAGTTCAGGATCAGATGCCGCGGGTACCTCTAGAAAGTCGGCAATTTTCTTGATTTCTTCAACACCATTCTTTAAAAATAATCAAACTATGTAATAATGAAATCATTCATTAAATCTTAAATAAAATAAACAAATATAGGACAATGTTTTCTCGTAATAAGATTAAGATGTAAGTTGTTTCTTAATTAAAAACGAAATTCATAACTAATGCGATAATTCAATTCAACGGTGGAATTTCAATGAATGAAAGATGAGTGCATCCCTGTTTTTTTCTTTTACAAAAAAGGTACAAAGTGATATTTTTAGATTTTTAGATAGATAATTTATTGTACGTCTCCTACTGCAGTGTTTGTATTCAAGGTATCGTAGTATACACGTATTATCAAATTTAAAAATGGGATAATGGAATTAATTATTCGTAGAACCAAACCTCTTTTAAATCTTCATAGAAAGTTAGGTGAATTCTGTCTGGTTCATCATCAAGGGCTTTCTCAAATTCTAAGACATAATCAAACCAACTGTTGTACATGACTGAAAATATTTTAAACAATGTATACAGTTTGATTGCACATTACAAGACTTTGTGTTTTGCATTGATGCAAATGAAGTCAGTTTTTTTTCGATGACAGTGAGGATGGAAGGAGAAAAGGAAGATCACGAGTGCGTGCGAAAGAGCAGGATAATGACGCATTACTCTTAAATATTTTGTATTCAAATACGTGCTCTGCATGACTTAATTTAGAATTTGTTTTGAATCAAGACGTACCAGCATATAACAAAGGTTACTTACGCTTGCCTTCCATGAATAACTTAAGGTGGTCAGAAAATGTTCCATTATAAAAATAGTTTGTCATTCCAGTATGGTGATAGTACAACGAAACCACCAAATCTTTCGGATTTCTTAACACAAGTACTATTTTCGTGTGCTTCTTCTTTGTTTGGCTTGGAAGCATTCTAAAAGGAAAATGAGTGTTGAGAATCCTTGGGGATTTCATTAGATCCAGTTCCTCTTCTGGGACATTGATAAGCATTAAGAAAATCTTCTGTAGGTCTGACCTTTCAGTTGCACCATTCAAAAGCATAGTCAGAATTTCAAAGCACCAATGTGTGCCTACAGATAAAAAAGAAAAACTAAATTAACAACACATAATTTGTTGTGTTTATTTTTTTTGCTTTTTTATCTAAAAAGTAAATAAAGAATGATCGTACTGCTTTATAAGTTAATCAATATATCAATAGCAAAAGTACGTCTGGTGACAGGGTGCACATCATTTGCATCGTGTTCCGCTGAATTTCTTCAATGCTGTAATATTCTGAAAAATATCTGAGTCCGACGTGATATGAAACATAGCCATTCTCTATATAATTTTGTCGCTGAGGGTTTGGAAAAACTTCCATGTGACCCCTAATGGTTCTAAATAATGTGAACTTTACCCTACGATCATCATTCATTTGTAATTTATATATCTTAGTTCAAATTGACCAAAAGGCTTGAATTTGTCTATATTTTCTCCAGGAAATTATAAACAAAATGATTCGCCATGAAAGCGGTAATTGATTGATTATATGAAGAACCTATATGTTTGTTGATCTACTTCTCGCATGTCACGTCGTGGTTATAAGGCGGGCTACTACATTCAGTTTACACATGCGCACTTCGTTTTAAACTCTTAATTATACATGTTCTACTTATTAAATAAGTGGCACAGTGTGCCTGTTTATTCGATGTTTTGCAAATTGGAGTGATTTCATTCGTCGTCAAATGATATTGAACACTACATACAGTATTTTGTGTTATTTACGCTAAATACATGACTATCACAACAAAAATCATGCTACTTAATTGCAAAATACACTTACCTGACTTGACAGGTGTGCAAAGCATGATATCATCGTCTCTAATTTTCAAATGTTTTATATTCCTGAGGATGGCAGCTGTTTCCTCCGGTGGTTTACGGAATGTTGGTATTCGCATTCCATCAACTAGCATCTGATTATGTAAGATACCTCCCCCGCCATCATTTAAGTTGTACACTTCGAAATCTTTATACGACATTGTCTATTCTTTATGTATTCACTGAACACTGAACGTTTACTATTAATGAAAACTGAGTGTATCCAGAGGTTAATATGTATAAAATGTTACTTTAATTTATTCTGCTCACACGAAGATTTATTGTTAATACAACATAAGCGTTAACATGCATAAACAAATCTGGTTTATAGCTACGACTGAAAATAACGAACTTAGCCATGTCGCTGTTGTTATTCGTTTAAATCTTTCAACAAAATATTTTTATTTAAGAAATATGTTATAGATTTAAAAAAAGTCATCTTTAAAGGTTATAATCACAGTATATTAAATGCTTAGTATTTGTAAATATCAATATATTGAGACATTGACCTGTCTTACTTTTAATATTTAAACAATATTTATATCTTTCGTTATATTACACAGATATATTTTTATTATAACAATTTTGGGTGAATGTTCCTAGATGTATCATTAAAGTTGAATAAAGATGTAAATGTCAGGTAAACGGGTATAAACACTCTGTATAATTATAGATTGCTTTAAGACATAATCATTCAACTGAGAAAATGTAAAAATTGATGGCAGAATAGGTTTAAGGGACATAATTCGTTGATTCGACACTCCTCTTTGATTTGCCAACATTATCGAACTTTGCAAGTTTTACTGCTTTGATAGAAAGACAAGGACCGTGTAGACTTCAGACATAACTTGTATTCTAGTATATCTAAACCTTTTATTGTTGAAATTTGTCTTAAACATTATCTCAAGTATGTTTTCTCTTTTTTAATAATATAATACATTAATAAAGTATGTGTACCACTACATTTACATTTAACATTACAATGTATCTAACTCGTTTTCTTTTGTATAAATTTGTCTTTGTAAGTTCTACTTTCATAAGTTAATTACTTAATTTGCTAATCTTAATGCTGTTTCTTAAGTGTTATTTTAATTGCTTTCTAAATTCAGAGTATTAACTATACTATAACAGTCAGTTATAAACTAGTAAACTAGAGGTTGTCTTTACAATTAAATTATCGATGATTTAAAATCCGTATGCAACTGAACTATCTCTTCATCTAACCATTGTATTTAAACAAATGTATACCTGATTCAGACAATACATTTTGATGTGGAGTTATTCAAACTTCAAGTGTAAAGTATTGGAATGAGCGGCTTTGTCTTAATCAGCATTTAATATGGACTTAATTATATACCTCTAAAATGGCGCGGTGCTTGCGTGCTTTTAAGTGGATATTTATTGAATGACGATGAAGGAAAGTGTAATTGTGTGATAAATGTAAGTAGAATGTAAACAATTAACAATCTTGAAGCTTAAAACATCTGCGGATGTTTTAAATTTACAAATTGTACCTGTTCATGTTAAATATTTAATTCTGCTTAAGCCGGTGCTAGGGGCGTGGACAGTACTTTGTATTTGACAGTACCGTCCATGAACAGGCTCGTGTGGGGGTTGCGTTCATTGAACGCCGCCTTTCCTTGTTGATCTTGTTTATCATATTTCAATCAAACCGAGCCTGCAACATTTTCAATTTGGCTTTCTTTAGGGATTCTTATTTTCTCTATTTTAAAATATTATCTTACTAACTGAAGACAGTAATTTTCAAAATTACTGATATCTCTGATTTTCTTCAGATATGAACTTTTTAGATTAATGTTGAAAGTATTGTTGAAAATCAGCTATTTCTGGCAGTAGTACAAAACTTAAAATTCTTTAATTTTCACTATAATATTTTCGCGGATCTTACATAATGTGGCTTGCTCCAAAGGACTTTCAATGTTCACCTCTTTACCTAAATCAAATAAATTAAACATTTGAAAACGCAAATTTGAAAATTCTATCTACAAGTGTTCTGAACGTCAATGGTGTCAACTTAATACCGAATAAATTATTAAGACACTATCTTGTAAATATTTATTGGAGTCCTGCTGGGCTCCCTGCCGGTGGTCCTGTGTTACTGAGTCGTGCGGTGGTTGACTTCATTGAACGCCACCCTTCCTTGTTGATCTTGTTTTTCGTATTTTGATTTAGTATAAATATTTTTTCAATTATACATTGACATGAAAGATGTAAAATAATGCTGTGGATGCAAGACACAAATTATAATAAATCTCAAGAATGCAGACAAACAACAGTAAGATCTCATGAGACTTGACTATTTTTCTCACTAGGTATTATAAAACAATAATATATCATCATATACTACATGTTTTCGTTTCCAGATTGGGTTTGATGCAATGGAAAAAGATCAGTCCGTATATGAGCTATCGGTGAACGAAGATGATGCTAAACAAGTCAAGGATCATTTTGAAGAAAATGGTTATAAAGGACTTCATAAGCTGTTAGTCAAGAAACGAGACCAATGGGTTGATGTTCCGATTCATGTTGCACTTTCCGGGTCACTAGGTGCAGGAAAGTCTAGTTTTATTAACACCATAAGGGGAATCAAAGCAGATGATAAAATTGGAGCCGCTTTGAATTATGGTCAAACCACGATAGAACCTATTCCTTATTCTCATCCAAACAAACACTATCTGAAATTCTGGGATTTACCGCAGCTAGGTTCACGTGCTTTTTCAAAGGATTTATATCTTAAAAACATAAACGTTAATAGGTATGACTATTTCCTGATATTTGGAAAAGATCAATTCACAGAAAATGATTTCTGGTTTGCTAGTCAACTGCAAGCGTTAAACAAAAGATACTACTTTGTATGTACTCATGTTGATAAACATGTCGAAAAGGCCCTTGAAGAAAATAAGAAACTGGACCCGAGTGATGTTCAAAGTAAAACATTGAATACTATTAGAGAAAGGCTTAGCAAATCTGTGAAAGAAGCAAAAGTAAAGATTGACTACGTTTATCTCATAACTACGTCGGATCTCCGTAAATATGATGGCCCAAAGTTAGCTGATGTCATGATTGATGATTTATCAGAACGAAAGTGGGAAGCTATGGCATTAACAATACACGTGTATGCAAAGGGTGTTATGCATCAGAAAAGACGCGCGTTACAGAAGAGAGTGTGGATAATAGCGCTGATGTCGGGGCTTGAAAATGCTTGTCACATTTATGGACTTTCATTCTATTTGGATTTAGATCCAGTTATAGCGGAAGTTCAGGAGTATAGGCGACAATTCGGTCTAGATGAAGCATCAATTTTGAAAATTGCGCGTACGTTAGACACAACGGTTGAGAGTCTTAAACATGCGTCTGCTTTCAAAACAAATTATTCCCAATTAGCGGATGGTGGACTTTTGAGTCAGTACAAGACTTTGAGCGTGTATGATGTTGCAGATGGGATTACGCAAAGTTTCTCGCCAATTTTGGGAGGTTTGATCGGGTCCAACACATCATTTGGTTCTACTTATCACGTTCTCAATCGTCTTCTGGACATGATGGAAACAGACGCGTTGCGCATGATCGAGTATGTGAAATATAGGAGTGCGGAAATATGAAAGTAACATAATTAGGAAATAGGTTGAATATGTGTTTATGAAATGGATTATGTGAAGAAATTATAAATGGATATTATGAAAAAATACAGATCTGTTTGTGGCTATGCCAGACAGGGATTCGCATCAAGAGCAGTTTATTTTAAATATTGCTGAATTTGTATAGGGCTTAAAATTTAATTATAATTAGTGTAATACGATTTTAACTATATATTCAGAACGACCTTTAACATTTTTCTGTAATCGAAATAAGATCATTTCTCATAGAGATATTAAGCCTTTTGTAAATAGAGATTGATAAAACATATATCTGCTAACAATATCATGGGTACAAAACAAAATGGATACTCTATTTTGCAATAACCACGGTTGAACTATGATCCTATAGATGTAGCATAGGCAATTATAGATCATATTTCATATACATTATGGAAACCAGCCAAGCAAAGTTTACAGATGTTGTCGATAAACAAAGACAAATAATACAAAATAAAATGTCGATATTAAAGCAGTGTCAAATATTTGGCAGAGATGTGGTTAAATTAGTAATATTATTCTTGAGCAAGGGTATTGTTCTGTTTGTCAATATAAAGACAGTTGTAATTAAGTGTTAATAATACATTTAACTTTGACGTCTTTTTTACTGGTATGAAATCTGCACGATATATATTCATAACATTTATGATATAATATCTCTCGGTGCATTTTATTGAATAAGCTAAACATGATTCCATACCATTGTGTTTGAATGTAGTTTATATATGTATGCATGTATTAGAACTATTATTGTTAAATTAGCTAGTTGTTGAAATAACATATAAAATTACATTAGTTTGTATATAACATAAATTATTTCATAATTTGTTTAGATTACTTTTATTTACCCGAAAGATGAATACCTGTGACTATCAGTGGATTTTCACTAGGTATAACGACCTAATAGTGATTAGTCCATAAGCTTGAAAATGAATGTGTTATAGTTTCTATAACAATATATCGGTCCCACAAGTACTTGAAAAACACCACTAATTAATCTTGGGATAACACTCATTTGCGTGCTCTTATATTTTCTGGTTCATTTGGAGTTAGGTCTTTGATAACCGTCTTCTTGAATATATATAAAAAACAAAAGGATGTAAGATAACCTATCATTACCCTTTGTTAACCAATCTGCATTAGAATTCTCAAACGAAAACAAATAATTACTGTTTTCTTGACGTCTCCATATATTTGCTAAAAAGGACCGTTTACAATATATCCATAAAATTGCAATACAGTATTTAAAGTATTGTTTGTTAACAAGTGTTGTTTGTTGATAATTGATAAAAAGTTCAAAATCTAGCAATAAGAAAGCTCTAGGAATAGACAGCTATAGCCAAAAATATTTTGGGACCTTACTAATATCCTTACCGAGTATGCTTCCACTTTTCAGCTACATAGGATAGATAAGAAGGGTACTACCTCGTGCTAATATTTTTTCTCTACAAACAAGAAGATATTATCGGGTATGATTCCAGTATAATGTTTCTTAGTGGCATTTCGCATAGTTTTCTGCATAACTCTGGGCGGAAGTTAATTTACAAGCAATTATTGTGTATTTTACCACTTGTGTAAGAAGGCAAATGTGATAAAACATTTTGTAGAGTTATAAGCTATACAGACATTTTCGCCCCCGACCAAGCAGAAGTCAACATCTTGAAACTGGAGTTTAATTAAGAATTTAGAATATCAGCAGATTTGCGCTGACTGCTGTGATTCAGGAACTTTTGTTTCATCTCATAAACAGTGGCGTTTGGTCATCCACTAAAAGAATATGTGTGCCCTAAACAAGAAACTAAACAAAATGTAAAGTGGTCAGTGTTAGGAACCCTGGGTATAACAGAAAGTTGTCAAGACAAATTTAAAAATCCGGCAACATATTCTCAAGGTGATTATACAGCAATCAAACAGAACTGTAATACAATGAAGATGCGATTGCTACAACTTAATAACTAATAATAGGAGTATAGGCGACAATTCAGTCTGGTTATCACAGAAAGCTGTCAAGGCAAATTTTAAAATAAGGCAACATATCCCTAAGGCGATTATACAGCAATCAAGTAGAAATGAGCCGCGTCATGACAAAACCAACATAATGGGTTTGCGACAAGCATGGATCCAGACCAGCCTGCGCATCCGCGCAGTCTGATCAGGATCTATGATGCTCGCTATCAGTTTCTCTAATTGTTATAGGGTTTGTAAGCGAACAGCATGGATCCTGATCAGACTGCGCGGATGCGCAGGCTGGTCTGGATCCATGATGGTCGCAAACCCATTATATTGGTTTTGTCGTGACGCGGCTCAAATATAAGAACCACATACATGTACCGTAAAAATGAAATTGCAATAACTAATTAAAGCACAAAAACAAAAAGGACCGGAAATATAAACACTGATTAAAAGTAAAACAAAAACGCAAATGATTAATAGAAAAGTTAACTCATATGCATTCTGTGGTAAATCTATATTTGAAAACAAAGATTAGCAAATTGTGTGACACATATTTACAGAGTATAAACATAACAACAAACAAAATGTGTAAAAAGGCTAATAAATAAGTAACACTGATGCACTTTATATATCATTGCATTGCATTTGAGCATCTTAGATATGCATTATATTAGAATATCCAAGCTTAATCTGAAATATCATCTAATTACATCAAATTAAGTGTTGGGTGTCAAAATCAATCAATAATACTGGTTTATAACAAAGACAAAATCATTTCATATGTAGCTAACGTGTTTGTGAAGTGCTGGCTACTTCTACTACTTCTATCATCGGTTCACACTAATGGTGTACTGTTTTCTAACAATTTGCAGTAAAACTACTCGTCAAAAATGCAATACTAGTAACTGATAAAAAAAGAGAACTGACTTGATTGTTTTAACATCGGGAGCATATCTACATACGTGTGACAATATTTAACTGTAAATGAAAGTAAAAGTAATGTCATATGAGAATGGAGATCACGTGAAAACTATGGCAACATATTTGAAAAATATTATATACACAATAAACACAGTATACAGAAAACGGAAATCGAATTTGAGTCTGTATTTGAAGCAAATGAATAATGCATTGCAAAAGTTCATTTTTCAGTCGCTATATGGCGCGACGTCATCTCTTTCAACATTTTTTCATTGTCTGTCTTTGCACTTGTCAATACAATAAATTCATTTTAAACATCTTCGTATTGATGCTTCGGAACCACATTTACTGACCATTTGCGTGAACTAAACTTAAAGAACCTTACAAAAAAAATCAGAATTATTAAGAATTGAACACTTTGTATGTTTTCAGTCAGATTATTCATTTCGAATAAATGATTGTTGTACTCGTATAAATTACTTCAAAACATATCTGAAACTTTAAACGTACACTTTTAAACTGTTGACAACAATTATATGTCACATATTCCTCTTAACGGAGTTTTTAGGCCGCATTTGTTTTGGTATTGCTGACGACCAACAGCAAGGAATACCAAGTATAACGAATAACTGGAGACGTATTTTTTGCCCTTTTTTCGTCGTAATTAAAATATATTTATATTAAGATACTAACTCTTACAACATTCAAGATTCTTCTTCTAACGAGATGGGCTTTAAATAAATTTAAACAAGGATATTCAGGAAAACCCTATTGGTGCATATAATTTATACTTCCTATAACATGAAGTTCTGTCAAGGCATATGTCACAATGCCGAAATCATCATCTTAAATCTCTATAACTGTATCTTTTCATTTAAAGACTCGTCCAGGTTTCACCATGTATTTGACCACTGTCAACAACATTAACCCCAGCAACAACACCACTGGCACCCTTTTCCGCAGAACTGTAGTGGTAGAAAAAAAACAACTGTGGATGAAGTTGTAAGGAAGATTTATTTGGGAATCATTTTTGTTACAGTAGTTACAGTTTGTAATAGTACTTTAATTTAATTGTATTGAATGTAAAAAGGACATTGCGCCTTCGTTTACAGTTGAGTCTTCGGGATGAAGTCAGATTGCACCTGGGTAAGAATTTCTACTTATGTTTCAGTGGGTGCAAATGTTCTTGAAAATAAAAAGCTCAAATTGTACTTTCTATGATGCTTAACAATAAAATTGGTCTGTATTTGTTTGCAAAAGATGCATCAGCCTTTTGAAAATAACTGTAGAATTGAGTCAATTCCAAGAGGATGGTACTTCACAGCAAGATTAAGAGGAATTTGGAAGATTGGTAAAAGAAATAAAACGTTTTCCAGCAGCCTCACGTTGATACTTTCTAGTCCAGATACTTTAACTTATTTAAGAGCTATGAGACTTCTTCTGTTTCAAATGCATTAGGAAAATGATAATCAAGAATAGTCGAAATTGTTAGTGGACCTAAGTCAAGAACATTAACAATGTAAGCTTTCTTTAGAATGTGTCAGCTTTTTGATGTCCTTGGTAATCTAGATCGACTTGTGCTTCGTCCATGTAGACTGTGATAATTAATGTGCAAACGGTAAAGCAGAACCATTATATACTTATCTTTATTTACAGTGCATTTATCATCAAATTGACAAATCTTTTTACTTACGTTGTCTGGTCCAACTCCTGGTCTTTATTGTTGTTAGACAATGAAAGTATACCACTAGATTTCCGCCGTCTTTTCATGAACACGTACAAAAACAAACCCAATAGCACCAGAAGGACGACTACACAAACGCCAATAGAAACACCCATAACCAAAGTCTTGTCCTGACCAGAGTCGGTCTCCTCTGAATATATGATAATTCTATTTTCTTAGTTTCAAATAGTTTATAAGAAAAATGATCCGCTGCATGTCACACTGATACAGTCATTGATATCTGATACATATATGCCTCCAGTTTAACAACATCGATGTTTCTAATAAGGACACCATAGTTCAAATAGTCGGATGTTTGCAGAAATGTATAGAGAAATTTATTAAATTGAAGACTTACCATGAATAGTAATGCAGCTTCGTTTTTTGACAACTTATTTGACCAAAAAAGATATACAGGTTAATCCATAAAACAAAATCTTGTTCTTAATCTATTTTTAGGCTATTAATGAATTGGTCTTTCCAGCATAAGATATTTTGGTCATCTAACATTCATACTCTACTTTATTCTAGCACATTTTAAAGGGAAACAAATAAAGTTTAATTGTGTTCAGATTGTCAAAACACATTTTTCTGGTATCAATTCGCTGACTAGCAAAATGTCAGAAATTTTTCAATGAAGAAATTAAGCAAAACATCATTACAGCTGCTAAATGTACAACGTGTCTTCAATTAACAAAAGAAAGCGTGTCTGAAACTAGGTTGTAATGCGCTCAAGAAAATTTCTGTAAGTATTTACATCATCGTTCAGATAATATAAGTGTTAAAGTCATATTCAATATTTGCAAGTCTGTAAACTTCATTGCAAAAAATCCAAATGGTTGACTACCGACACGAGCAGTGTGCTATAAGATTTCATATGAGCCGCGTCACGACAAAACCAACATAATGGGTTTGCGACAAGCATGGATCCAGACCAGCCTGCGCATCCGCGAAGTTTAATCAGGATCCATGCTGTTCGCTTACAAAACCTATAGCAATTAGAGAAACTGATAGCGAACAGCATGGATCCTGATCAGACTGCGCGGATGCGCAGGCTGGTCTTAATCCATGCTGGTCGCCAAAGCACTATGTTGGTTTTGTCATGACGCGGCTCATATATTTTGTTTAATGACCTTGCATGAAAACTGCATTGTAAAGTCCACAGGGTACCGACAATCGACTGACACGAGTAACGTGCCTTAACATTTTACATGTACTGCTTACTAAAACTGCATGAAAAATGCATAAAAGCTGCATGAAAAAAACTGAAATAAATGGAAAACAGTTAGTGACTTACTTGTACAGTTTTTAAAGCTTGAGAGGAAGAATCCGGTGTTACAGGCACAAGAGAATGTTCCAATCTTGTTATTACATACTTGCTCACAGCCATCAATGTCAAGGTCACACTCGTCAATATCTGAAAGTACGAATGATGAAAGTTTACCGTTTTTACGTTTCCACATAATTTTACAAAAAAAGAAAACAACGTAAATGTGACAAAAAAAGCAAAAATAACCAGTGTCCAACGAAAAGATATATCATTTTTTGCCAGAATTTCTTGTTAATAAAATCAAAGGTATCCATAAATGAAACTAGAACTCCGCGAGTCGGATGTGTCGCCTAGTGAACAATATAGTTTAGGAGAAGTGGCCAGGACAAAAATGAAATATGAAAACTAACAAAGGGCAATAACTCAAAAAATAATAGGTGCAGAGCAGCAGTTTCTGTGCACTGCACTTCTTATCAATAAGATCAATCATTCTATGAAGTTTCAAGTCCATATCTTTTATAATTTATGAGAAATGGTCTGGACAAAAATAAAATAGAAAAATTAATAAAGGGTAATAACTCAAAAATAAGAAATGCAAAGTACCGGTTGTACACTTGTACACTGCACTTTTTTTTAAATTAGATCTAATTTTCCTATGAAGTTTCAAGTCCATAGCTTTCATACTTGAGGAGAAATGACCTTGACAAAATAAAGTATGAAAATTAACAAAGGGCAATAACTCATAAAATAAAAAATGTAGAGTACCAGTTCTTGTGCACTGCACTTCTTCTTAATAAGATCTATCATCCTATGAAGTTTCAAGTCCATAGCTTTTATACATTAGGAGAAATGGCCCGGACAAAATTAAAGTATGAAAATTTACAAAGGGCAATAACTCAAAAATTAAGAAGTGCAGAGTACCGGTCCTTGTGCACTGCACTTTGGGTTATTGAAAGAAGCATGCATACCAAGTTTGAAGTCAATCCAACTTATAGTGACTGAGTTATGCTCCGGACAAGCTTTAATGGACGCCGACAACGACGCCGACAACGACGCCGACACCGACGCCGACAACGACACCGCCGAGGCCGCCGACAAAAGTAACCCCCTATATGTCGCCTTTTCAAGGCGACACAAAAAAAAATATATATATACAAATTCAAAATTCAAAAGCATTTTAATACGGAATAGAGAAAACAAAAGAAAGTTTGTCAAGTATCGGAGCAAATACTCGTTTTAAAGTAAAAATAAGTTTTGAAAAAGCAATGATACAATGATGGTTAGATAACTGGCATCGGTTATCATGCCTACGTTAAACACTGAAATACATTTCTAGATATTAGAAACAAATTATATACATGTACTTAAAAGTTTTTAAAGGTTATATATAAAAGTATATTCTTACCATCACAAGTTTTATTGTCATTATTTAAGGTGTATCCGCTATCACAGGCACACGAGAACCCACCAATAAAGTTTGTACACAGCTGGGTACAGTCATCAGTGCTTTCAGTACACTCGTCATTATCTTAATGTAACAAAATAAAGTTAAAGTTAAATTTGTTTTAATGTAGCAAAAATAAAGTTAAACTTGTTTTAATGTAACACAATGAAGTTAATGTTAAACTTGTTTTAATGTAACACAATAAAGTTTAACTTGTTTTAATGTAACACAATAAAGTTAAACTTGTTTTAATGTTACACAATAAAGTTAACGTTAAATTTGTTTTATTGTAGCACAATAAAGTTCAACTTGTTTTAATGTAACACGATAAAGTTAAAGTTAAATTTGTCAACATGTAAGTTCAGTTTAAATACAATCACTTATAAATCTTTTCATTACAAATAAAACTAATGAGAAAACAAGCACGTGTGTGAGGATAATGAAATAACAAAAACAAAACTGTAACACATACAGGGTGTTTCATAATATGTGATACACTTTCAAATATTTATTGCTTTACTGATTTTATAGCTACGAACAAAATGCTTATACCAAAATAAACTACACACTTCACCATTTTGAATGTGACGTAAAATACTGGAAAACGTTAACGTCATGACGTCATGTATGACATCATTATTATCTGTTATTTTCAAAATGACGTTGTCCATGGAAAAGTGTCAAGATATCATAAAATTGTACTATGAACACTATTCTATCATATATGTAACTAGAAGAATGAGGAAAATGTACCCTGCTGATAGAAGGGTGACCACGCTACAAGTAAGCAGAGTAGTTTAAGATTTGAGCAGCATGGAAGTGTACTTGATCAGAGACACCGTAACCAGTGCCATTTTATTTTCCAAGACCAAGACTGAAATATCGAGACAATCAACAGTGACCGCTATTTGTCTCTTCTAAAATGCAAGTTTCTGCCTGCACTCCATCGGAAAGGGGTTGATATGACACAAATATGGTTCCAACAAGATGGTGCCGCTCCACACACGGCCCAGAGAGTTCTTGAATGGCTTAAAAACATTTGACAAACGATTTATATCTCTGAAGACGGAATGCACTTGGCCGCCCCACTCTCCCGATGTCAGTTCTTTGGATTTTTTTCTTTGGGGCTATCTCAAGGACAGAGTCTACAAAGTGCAGCCAAAGACAACAGATCAGCTTAAACAGTCCATAAGATGTGAAATAAGAAAGATTACTGGTGACATGTGCAATAATGTGATGGAAAACTTCATGAAACGTGTGGAGATGGTGCGACGCCATAATGGACGTCATTTTGAGTATATGCTATAAATGGATCCTGTTTTCAAGCGTAGCTAAAAATATTATTGGTAGGTTAAATAACGAAAAAACTACACATTTATAAATGGACAGCATTTCCCTTTAATATGGTACATTTCTCATTATTACTGACATTCTTACATAAACGAAACATTTGATTAAAAGTGTATCACATATTATGAAACACCCTGTATAACTCATCAACATTCTCAAGTAATTCTCAGTGAAACTATCTTCAAAGCACATTATTTGTTCAAGTGAAAATTCAATCTAAAAAAAAAACAACACTAAAATTATTTAACGTATTCAAGCCATAATAAGTGGTAATTTTTTTTTACTCTCAGTCCGTCCATATTATTTATAAACTAAGTTTATATATTTACCATTACAGTTTCTGCCATCATTATTTAGGGTATATCCACTTGCACATAGGCATTGAAACGAGCCGACATTATTGACACATGTCTGGTTGCATTTGCCATTACCGGTGTTACATTCATTCACATCTGAAACACCATATTTTATTAATTTACAAAAAAAGAGTAATAATGCATATTTTTTCATTATAAACATGAGCATTGCCGAAAAGAACAATGCGCACATGTCCTCCGCAATATAGATTTCAATAACTTATATTATTAAACTGAGTATAAGTAAGTAAAGATTAAACATGGAACATGGAACAAAGCTGCATGTAAATTAATCTCAAGGGTGGCGAACTCACGTGGCAAAGTGCACGGCGAAAAATTGTAAATATATCTCCGAGTCTGGTTATATTTTGTGAATATCATTGCTAATAATAAAAGGACTTCCACACTCTTCCATGTTTTTTGTCTTTCATGTTGATCATATTTTCTTCAAATGAATTGCATTAATTCATTATAGCATACATAAAAGCATTTAGCTAAAAGTTCAACTTACCGTTACAGGTTTTATTGTCCGCATCAAGTAAGAATCCGTTACCACACGAACATTCATAGTAACCAACGGTGTTAGTACAAATCTGAGCACAGTCATGAATATTTTCACTACACTCATCAATGTCTGTAAAGATACAACAATATAATTACACATTGTTAATGCGGACATATCAGCGAAAGTTTATATTTTTGTGCTGTACACTAAAGGACAATCAGGACGCCCATATGTGAATAGCACATTTTAAGTAAACTTAGATATCTATTTGTTCGTGGAATGTTGAGAAACGATGTTTACTAGTTATAATAATAATGAAATTTGGTTTTTGTCATCTTGTTTTTCATTGGAGAAATTAAAACTTTGCCATAGTTACAGCTTGCGGAAAAGAAATATATACAATCTTTTTTGAATATGATATTTGACATTGGTAAAGTCATAAAATCAATTCATATATACATTTCAAACGCGTCCCTTTTCTTAAATGTCATTTTCTCGTATATTGATCACAGAATAAGCTTGAAGAACCACATAAAGTTATTTGCTACACATCATTATTATCAGTTCAACAAGGAATACAATAATTTTGTTTAGAATACGTAGTTTTATACATATACGAATCTAGAATCTTACTTTATTAATAACACTGTTTAAAGCTACATTGTTATAAGATATCTATAATCAACATAGGCATTGGCAAAGTGCTAAAATTATGTTAAAATATTCACCTTTACATGTTTCGTTATTAGATATGTTGAGATTATATCCCGGATGGCAAGAACAGAAGTAGCTTCCAGCAGTGTTTACACATATCTGTTCACAACTATCCAGATTCTCCTTGCATTCATCAATATCTTTGTGAAAACAGATAGGACATTCTTTGTAGTTATTAAAGTTTTGAGATATGTTTATAATTTCATTATTATACTAAACTTTTAAAGCGCCCTATTCACATATTTCATACGCTCAAAGGCGCTGTACAACGATGTTAAATTTAACAAACAATGAACATCAAGAAACAAGGTGTTTGCACATAGTCATAAACCGCACATGTGAAATCATGATCAACACGGCAAAATTGAATAGATAACAGGCTTGATTTGATTACGGCTGATCATAAACAGCAACGGAAAACGCAAGTTTGCTTAGCACAGGCTAAAGAAAAACACGAAAAATGGCGTTAACTTTGTTTATACTTTCCTCTCTTTAGGACAGCAGTCTTTCGTGTACATAATAACAAAAATAACTAGAACTGTCACTGTCATGGCATGAATACCCCCGCATACCACTTTGTCAGAATCAACAGTGGCCATAAAGAGCTCAAGGACAACTTCCCTGCCAAATCTGACGTTACTAAGGCAGTGCATTGCTAAGTTATGTATTCTACATGCTTCAAATGTGAAAATGTCAAAATCAATACACTGCAGACAGGCATTCTTAAGTATTAAAGCAGACAAGCTTATAATAGTAAAAAATCCCCGCGACATTGACCTTTGACACAGTCACCTAAAATCAAAAGGGGTCATCTACTAGTCCTAAACAACCTCAATACCAAATATGAAGACTGTTGACCGAAGCATTCATAAGCAATTGAGCTGACAAGCTGTTTTAGTCAAGGCCCCTGTGACCTTGACCTTTGATCCAGTGACTTCAAAATCAATCGGGGTCCCCTAATGGTCATAATCAACCTCCATGCCAAATATGAAGACTGTGGGTCAACGGTTTCTTAAGTTATAGAGCGGACAAACTTTTATGATGTCAATGTCCCTGTGACTTTGACCTTTGACCCAGTGACCTCAACATCAATAAGGGTCATCTACTAATCATGACTAATACCATGCCAAATATGAAGATTTCTGGTCAAAGGAATTTTAGGTGATTGGGCGGACAAGCTTTTTAGTTAAAGCCCCTGTGACCTTGACCTTTAAACCAGGGACCTCAAAATCAATAGGGGTCATCTATTAATCATGGCTAACCTCCATGGTAAATGTGAAGACTGTGGGTCAAAGGAATCTTAAGTTATCGGGCGGACAAGCTTTTTGAGGTCAAGGCCCCTGTGACCTTTGATCCACTGACCTCAAAAGATCAATAGGTATCATCTACTTAACATAACCAATCTAAATACCAAATATGAAGACTTTGGGTCAAAGGAATCTTAAGTTATTAGGCGGACAAGCTTTTTGAAGTCAAGGCCCCTGTGACCTTTGACCCAGTGACCTCAAAATCAATAAGGATCATCTATTGGGCTGACAAGCTTTTTGAAGTCAAGACCCCTATGACCTTGACCTTTAACCCGTTGATTTCAAAATCAATAGGGATTATCAACTAACCATGACTAATCTAAATAACAAATATCAAGAATGTTGGTTAAAGGAATCTTAGGTTATTGGGCGAACAAATTTTTTGAAGTCAACGCCCCTGTGACCTTGACCTTTGCCCCGTTGACCTCAAAATCAATAGGAATCATCTTCTAACTATGACCAATCTAAATACCAAATATCAAGACTGTGGGTCAAAGGAATCTTAAGTTATTGGGCGGACAAGCTTTTTAAAGTCAAGGCCACTGTGACCTTGACCTTTGATCCAGTGACTTCAAAGTCAATCGGGGTCACCTAATGGTCATAATCAACCTCCTTGCCAAATATAAAGACTGTGGGTCAAAGGTTTCTTAAGTTATTGGGCGGACAAGCTTTTTGAAGTCAAGGTCCTTAAGACCTTGACCTTTGACAAAATGACCTTAAAATTAATAGGGATCATCTACTTATCATGACCAATCTATATACCAAATATGAAGACTGTGGGTCAAAGGAATCTTAAGTAATTGGGCAGACAAGCTTTATGAGGTCAAGGCCCCTGTGACCTTGACCTTTGACATAGTGACCTCAAAATTAATAAGGATCATCTACTTATGATGAACAATCTATAAACCGAATATGAAGACTGTGGGTCAAAGGAATCTTAAGTTATTGGGCGGAAAAGCTCTTTAAAGTCAAGGCCCCTGTGACCTTGACCTTGACCAAGTGACCCTAAAATCAATAGGGATCATCTACTAACCATGACCTATCTAAATAACAAATATCAAGACTGTTGGTCAAAAGAATCTTAAGTTATTGGGCGGACAAGCTTTTTGATGTCAAGGTCCCTGTGACCTTGACCTTTGACCCGGTGTCCTCAATATCAATAAGCATCTTCTACTTACCATGATAAATCTAAATAACAAATATCAAGACGGTGGGCCAAAGGAATCTTTAGTTATTGAGCAGACAAGCTTTTTGAAGTCAAGGCCCCTGTGACCTTGACCTTTGACCCAGTGACCTCAAAATCAATAGGGATCATCTACTAATCATGACTAATCTAAATACCAAATATAAAGACTGTTGGTCAAAGGAATCTTAAGTTATTGGGCGGACAAGGAAAAGCCGACGGACGGCCGGACGGCCAGACGGCCGGACGGATAAGTTGATTCCAGTATACCCCCCCCCCCCTTTACAACTTCGTTGTGCGGGGGTATAATAATAAACTTCAACACAGCCACATTGTTCATGAGCAGTGTAATGCGAAAGTTACAACCTTACAAAGTGTTAATCTTAATAATTATTTCATTAGTCACTCGATAAGTGCAAGAACATACAACCAATGTGACCAATAATGATACACGAGTATAGATTATCATCAAAGTTATATAACGTAGTATTTCTAAAATATAAGAACCACTTGCATAAGAAATTATCTGCAAAAGTACATATTTGCAATGTTTACATTTTTGCATTCGAGTTAACAATCATTGTAACTCAAAACAAGAAAATAAATATTCATATTTAAAACAAATCAAGTAAACAAAATTACATACCATTACAGGACCTCATATCATTGTCCAGTGAGAAGCCAATGTTACAAGAACATGTAAAACTGCCAACAGTATTGGCGCAGATCTGCGAACAATTGTCTTGTTGCTTTGTGCATTCGTCAATATCTGTAACATTGAAATATATATTTACGTCTCTTCACCTATTATTATTGAAAGAGACTCCACTGGAGATTTTTGACACGACGGGCCTCAGGCTTATTTTTGCAGATTTATGTTCTATTTGATGTAGACATTGAACAATAACTAGTATGCAAAATATCAGATCGTTTGCCCATTCCTATTTTCTTGAGTAATTATTCGAATTGTGAAAAATGACCCAAAATTGAAAAAATACGATTTCAATTTATTTTCGAGTAAATTTCTTAACTATCTTTTGCATTTATTTTTGTTATAAGTGCATCAGCTAATCTATATACGAAATTAAAAGTTTATGTGTTTAGGCTTTTGGACCTCAGTGGAGTTCCTCTAATAGTAATAACAAAAAAAAAAGAATAGAAGTAATGATGCTAGTGTAACCTTTGTAGAGTAACACCATTTAGGAGACAAAGATTTTGGTTGCTGCCGAGAGGTGTTTTATTTCACAGATGTAAATTTTATTGTAAAGTCTTGTGATATTGTTGTTGTAATGAGGTACTAGTATTTGCTGTACACAGGACCGCTAATTAGGGGTTGTCCTCTGTATAATCAAATGAGAGAACAAGAATAGGAACAACTCTCAAATAAAACATTATAAGATCATTTTTGTTACGTACCATTACATGTTGATACATCTATATTCAGACTATAGCCTGTGTTACAGCTACAGTTGAAGCTGCCGATATTGTTCGTGCATATTTGATCACACCCGTCAGTATCTAGAACGCATTCATCTACATCTGAAAACAGATTTAACAATAACTTTATGTTAACATCTAACTGCAAAAGGTTAGTTACTTGATGACAATATACTTACGTATGGTTTTCTGCGAAATCGCCTATTAATCATACTCACAGGTGTTCGGCGCGTTGACTGGTCACCACCCCCATGCCCGTACCCACTCTACAACCCTACTTTCTCTCAACACCAGGTAAAGTGCAGTATTTTTCATTTGAAACATGTTTTAATATTTGGCATATGCTATGTTTTTAATTTACTTCATTCCCCACAAAATTTCACTACACTTTCAAAATCGTTTACAATAGAAGTAAATGAATGCACATTGTACACTAAATGTAAATATATGTAATGTTATCAACTATTGCATATTATCAGTCTAAACTGCATTGCAAATATGAAAATGAATAAGCTGTCAAAATGAAGTGTATACCTGCACATGTTTTATTATCACTATTTAGTTCGTATCCATTGAAACAGCCACAAAGATAGCTTCCAACAAGATTAGTACAGTTTTGATCACAGTCATTGTTGTCTTGAACACATTCATTTACATCTATATGAAATTAATAAAAAAAAAAACAAGTTAAATTATTTATTTATAAAACAACATGTTAAAAGAAAGAAATTTATTGTACGTTTTTAATGTTTTAAGGCGATTCAACTTTTACACCAACATATAAGCAATTAAAGCAGTTATGAGGCTTTTACTTTGGATATGTTTCTGCTTAACCCCAATTTTTACACCTTTTTGGTCATATCTAGGTGGTTGATCCACCTAAAAGATTTTCCTGGATAACTTAGCTATGAAGCAATTATGCCTATATTAATTGTACGGTGACTATTTGAATCTTTCTCCAGAAAACTTTTAGTTTCTTAAAATAATGACATAATATAAGTGCGAGTTTGTATAAAAATTATTAAAATTAGTATTCAAAATCATAATTATAAGAAACTTTGAAAAAAAATCAGTGGTCAGCAGTTTTAATCACCAAATCAATTTATTGATGTAATGAAACTTCCAGTGTTTGTATGTTCATTTTCAAAGTTTCCGGTGCGTAAAAACTCTAACAAAACTATTTTTTAAGAAAATCATGTGTTACTGTGTAAGAATATATACCATCACAAGACAGGCCATCTATGTTCAAACTATACCCTGGTAAACAAGAGCAAGTATAACTTCCAATTATGTTTGTACAAATCTGTCCACAACCATCTTTTCCAAGAGTGCATTCATTGATATCTAATAAAGGAGCGTATAATATTCAAGTATTCGGTATAATTTTTTTTTTTTGTAAACTTATTTTAATATGTACAGAGAATAACCCAAATACACGAATACAATCTTATTTTTCAATTTTTTATTTTATTGTTTTAGATAGGCTTACGTGAAGGAGACTTTCATTTTGCTAAATAAATAAAATAGTTATTCTTATGATAAATCTGTATGAATGAATAAAAAGCAATTTGTAGCTTCAACCTAAAGTACTCTTGCTTTCTGAAAAAAATATGAAATATGGGAAGTTAATAAATAACAATACCTTGACAAGCAAAGTTGACCGCATGCAGAGAATATCCGCTGTTACAAGAGCATGTAAAACTTCCGTCAGTGTTTGAACATATTTGATCACAGTTGTCCGTCTCATTTAGGCATTCGTCAATATCTGGAAAAGAATGAATTCTATGGAATGATTTAATCTAAGTTCATTATTTTATACAGTTATCTAATGATATTTTAGCTGATTTTTAACAAATTGAATCACAATATTTCCTTTATAATCTTAATTTTGATGACTACCTTTAAAAATATTAGGTAACTTTTTGTTATAATGGCTCAGTTATCAATTCTAACATTCACTTACCGAAACATGATCGTAAATCGGTATCAAGCTCGTATCCTAGGTTACAAGAGCAGGAAAACGACCCGAAGCTATTTGAACAGGCTTGTCCACACCCGCCATTTCCCGTATCACACTCATTCACATCTGTTTATAGAAGATAAAACGAAAACTCAATTTGAATGGGAACGCACTCATTTTATGCAATTTAGACAAGACAAACTTCACTGGAGCCATAGTCGTTATCAATACTATTGAAATAGATTTATATACTAGTGTATGTTTGCCATATTTCTGAGACTGTTAACAAACAATTAAAAGAGATGCCTGCAAAAAGGAAAAAGCAAATGAAACATGTCGATGGTATTATGTATAAATTTGTTCATGTCTATGAATTCTATAAATATAATGAAAAAATAAGTAATAAATATAATGAAAAATTAAGTATAAACTAAATAGCCAAAGACCATCAGGAAAGACCACTAACTTTAAAAGTTAGTATGATAATTAGTTAATATCAATGTATTACCATTGCATGTTTTCCCGTCTGTATCAAGGTTGTAACCTCCGTTACAGTAACATGTAAAATTACCGACACTATTGTTACAGAGTTGAGTACAGTCATGTGTCTGGTCAATGCATTCATCAATATCTAAAATTGCACGGACTATAATTAATATTCTACATACTAAGATATTTATGTAACAATTATAACGAAGAAATGTAAAACATTTTAATAGTTGTTTGCATATTTACAATTGAAACATACATAATAGAGTGGTTCAGGATTCAGACTTAAGCACAAATTTCTCTAAATTGCAATTGGGTAATTCTTTATTCAAATAACAATACAAATCATTTTAAAAAACAAAATAGGTTCTGTGTTATTTCTCCTTTAATAGAGTTTCAAGATGTGATTATTAATGTGTTTTGTATGATATAAATGCATAATTATAACGTATTTCAAATATTTACCGTCACATGTTGTGTTGTCATCATTTAGACGATACCCAATGTTACATTGACAAAAGTAGCTTCCAACAGTATTACCACAGTTTTGTTCACACATATCAGTTTTCTCTAAACACTCGTTGATGTCTATGCAATAGAAAAAGACATAACTGTTGCGTTAACTTTTAAGTTGCATTAAGAATGTATTCATAATGGCATCAATTTATGTTAGAAGCCATTTCTTGTTGTTGTTTTAAGCGCCAGATTTTTTAAATCTCCTTAATTGATATCGTGTTTTGGTATAATCTTTTCAAGTGTGGTACAAACAGGTCTAAAGACAAATATTTTGACATAAAAAACACATACTAAAACCTTTGTTTCAAATTCCGTAATGTAAATTGAAACGATACTTAAATTAATACAAAATCGAAATCAAAATCATTATTTTATTTTTTGTATTATGAAATGTTATGATTTTTTTCTGAATTGAAACTTAAACGATCGGTCTTCAAAAATAAATATAAATCATGTAATACCGTTGCATGTTTTCCCGTCTGTATCAAGAATGTATCCTCCGTTACAGTTACATGTGAAATTACCGACACTATTATTACAGAGTTGAGTGCAGTCATGTGTCTGGTCAATGCATTCATCAATATCTAGAAATATAACGGGATATAATAATTTTATACATTTTCATTCTGATACAAGACAACAATGAACACATGAAATAAATAAGCTGTGCATCCGTTGATATGTACGATTGAAATGTAAAGATATTAATGAAATTTATATTTGTATCTTACTTATGAATACATTAATCTATCACTTATTGCATTATTTTCTGGGATTCTCTAACATTACATTGATTGCTAACGGACGGCTGGACGGCCGGACGGATAAGTTGATTCCAGTATACCCCCCCCCCCCTTTTACAACTTCGTTGTGCGGGGGTATAATAATAAACTTCAACACAGCCACATTGTTCATGAGCAGTGTAATGCGAAAGTTACAACCTTACAAAGTGTTAATCTTAATAATTATTTCATTAGTCACTCGATAAGTGCAAGAACATACAACCAATGTGACCAATAATGATACACGAGTATAGATTATCATCAAAGTTATATAACGTAGTATTTCTAAAATATAAGAACCACTTGCATAAGAAATTATCTGCAAAAGTACATATTTGCAATGTTTACATTTTTGCATTCGAGTTAACAATCATTGTAACTCAAAACAAGAAAATAAATATTTATATTTAAAACAAATCAAGTAAACAAAATTACATACCATTACAGGACCTCATATCATTGTCCAGTGAGAAGCCAATGTTACAAGAACATGTAAAACTGCCAACAGTATTGGCGCAGATCTGCGAACAATTGTCTTGTTGCTTTGTGCATTCGTCAATATCTGTAACATTGAAATATATATTTACGTCTCTTCACCTATTATTATTGAAAGAGACTCCACTGAAGATTTTTGACACGACGGGCCTCAGGCTTATTTTTGCAGATTTATGTTCTATTTGATGTAGACCTTGAACAATAACTAGTATGCAAAATATCAGATCGTTTGCTCATTCCTATTTTCTTGAGTAATTATTCGAATTGTGAAAAATGACCCAAAATTGAAAAGCGTTGCAACGCTTTTCATTCAAATCGGGCTATTAATAGTAAAAAATACGATTTCAATTTATTTTCGAGTAAATTTCTTAACTATCTTTTGCATTTATTTTTGTTATAAGTGCATCAGCTAATCTATATACGAAATTAAAAGTTTATGTGTTTAGGCTTTTGGACCTCAGTGGAGTTCCTCTAATAGTAATAACAAAAACAAAAGAATAGAAGTAATGATGCTAGTGTAACCTATGTAGAGTAACATCATTTAGGAGACAAAGATTTTGGTTGCTGCCGAGAGGTGTTTTATTTCACAGATGTAAATTTTATTGTAAAGTCTTGTGATATTGTTGTTGTAATGAGGTACTAGTATTTGCTGTACACAGGACCGCTAATTAGGGGTTGTCCTCTGTATAATCAAATGAGAGAACAAGAATAGGAACAACTCTCAAATAAAACATTATAAGATCATTTTTGTTACGTACCATTACATGTTGATACATCTATATTCAGACTATAGCCTGTGTTACAGCTACAGTTGAAGCTGCCGATATTGTTCGTGCATATTTGATCACACCCGTCAGTATCTAGAACGCATTCATCTACATCTGAAAACAGATTTAACAATAACTTTATGTTAACATCTAACTGCAAAAGGTTAGTTACTTGATGACAATATACTTACGTATGGTTTTCTGCGAAATCGCCTATTAATCATACTCACAGGTGTTCGGCGCGTTGACTGGTCACCACCCCTATGTCCGTGCCCACTCTACAACCCTACTTTCTCTAAACACCAGGTAAAGTGCAGTATTTTTCATTTGAAACATGTTTTAATATTTGGCATATGCTATGTTTTTAATTTACTTCATTCCCCACAAAATTTCACTACACTTTCAAAATCGTTTACAATAAAAGTATATGAATGCACATTGTACACTAAATGTAAATATATGTAATGTTATCAACTATTGCATATTATCAGTCTAAACTGCATTGCAAATATGAAAATGAATAAGCTGTCAAAATGAAGTGTATACCTGCACATGTTTTATTATCACTATTTAGTTCGTATCCATTGAAACAGTCACAAAGATAGCTTCCAACAAGATTAGTACAGTTTTGATCACAGTCATTGTTGTCTTGAACACATTCATTTACATCTATATGAAATTAATAAAAAAACAAGTTAAATTATTTATTTATAAAACAACATGTTAAAAGAAAGAAACGTATTGTACGTTTGTAATGTTTTAAGGCGATTCAACTTTTACACCAACATATAAGCAATTAAAGCAGTTATGAGGCTTTTACTTTGGATATGTTTCTGCTTAACCCCAATTTTTACACCTTTTTGGTCATATCTAGGTGGTTGATCCACCTAAAAGATTTTCCTGGATAACTTAGCTATGAAGCAATTATGCCTATATTAATTGTACGGTGACTATTTGAATCTTTCTCCAGAAAACTTTTAGTTTCTTAAAATAATGACATAATATAAGTGCGAGTTTGTATAAAAATTATTAAAATTAGTATTCAAAATCATAATTATAAGAAACTTTGAAAAAAATCAGTGGTCAGCAGTTTTAATTACCAAATCAATTTATTGATGTAATGAAACTTCCAGTGTTTGTATGTTCATTTTCAAAGTTTCCGGTGCGTAAAAACTCTAACAAAACTATTTTTTTAAGAAAATCATGTGTTATTGTGTAAGGATATATACCATCACAAGACAGTCCATCTATGTTCAAACTATAGCCTGGTAAACAAGCGCAAGTATAACTTCCAATTATGTTTGTACAAATCTGTCCACAACCATCTATTCCAAGAGTGCATTCATTGATATCTGAAAAAGGAGCGTATAATATTCAAGTGTTCAGTATAATTTTTTTTTTTTGTAAACTTATTTTAATATGTACAGAGAATAACCCAAATACACGAATACAATCTTATTTTTCAATTTTTTATTTTATTGTTTTAGATAGGCTTACGTGAAGGAGACTTTCATTTTGCTAAATAAATAAAATAGTTATTCTTATGATAAATCTGTATGAATGAATAAAAAGCAATTTGTAGCTTCAACCTAAAGTACTCTTGCTTTCTGAAAAAAATATGAAATATGGGAAGTTAATAAATAACAATACCTTGACAAGCAAAGTTGACCGCATGGAGAGAATATCCGCTGTTACAAGAGCATGTAAAATTCCGTCAGTGTTTGAACATATTTGATCACAGTTGTCCGTCTCATTTAGGCATTCGTCAATATCTGGAAAAGAATGGAATGATTTAATCTAAGTTCATTATTTTATACTGTTATCTAATGATATTTTAGCTGATTTTTAACAAATTGAATCACAATATTTCCTTTATAATCTTAATTTTGATGACTACCTTTAAAAATATTAGGTAACTTTTTGTTATAATGGCTCAGTTATCAATTCTAACATTCACTTACCGAAACATGATCGTAAAATCGGTATCAAGCTTCGTATCCTAGGTTACAAGAGCAGGAAAAACGACCCGAAGCTATTTGAACAGGCTTGTCCACACCCGCCATTTCCCGTATCACACTCATTCACATCTGTTTATAGAAGATAAAACGAAAACTCAATTTGAATGGGAACGCACTCATTTTATGCAATTTAGACAAGAACAAACTTCACTGGAGCCATAGTCGTTATCAATACTATTGAAATAGATTTATATACTAGTGTATGTTTGCCATATTTTCTGAGACTGTTAACAAACAATTAAAAGAGATGCCTGCAAAAAGGAAAAAGCAAATGAAAACATGTCGATGGTATTATGTATAAATTTGTTCATGTCTATGAATTCTATAAATATAATGAAAAAATAAGTAATAAAATATAATGAAAAATTAAGGTATAAACTAAATAGCCAAAGACCATCAGGAAAGACCACTAACTTTAAAAGTTAGTATGATAATTAGTTAATATCAATGTAATTACCATTGCATGTTTTCCCGTCTGTATCAAGGTTGTAACCTCCGTTACAGTAACATAATAAAAAACTTCAAAAACCCCACATTTGTAAAATAATTATAATGAAAATTGTTTCAGTTTCCGTTCATTATCTCCTCAACGGTACAACACATTCAACTCAAACTTGACATATGGATGCGTCAAAGGAATGCGCAGGTCAAGTTTAAATTTGGTCATGGTTCAATGATTTTTGGCAGAGTTATGCCCCTTTCACTTTGAAAGTTATATGAAATTTTCAGTTTCCGTTTATTATCTCCCCTATGGTACAACACATTCAACTCAAATTTTACATATGGATATGTTTTTGGAATGCCCAGGCCAAGTTCGTATTTGGTCATGGTTCAAAGATTTTTGGCAGAGTAATGCCCCTTTCATTTTGAAAATAATATGAAATTTACAGTTTCTGTTCATTATCTACCCAACAGTGTTACATATTCAACTTAAATTTGACATATGGATATGTCAAAGGAATGGGCAGGTCAAGTTGGAATTTGGTCATGGTTTGATGATTTTTTGGCAGAGTTATGTCCTTTTCACTTTGAAAATAATAAAGATACATCTTAGGAACAAGCAGTTTAAGTTTGAATTTGGTCTTGGTTCAATGAATTTAGACAAACTTATCTTTCCTGAATGTTGGAAAAATTTTGAACTTTCAGTTTCAGCACTCATACTTTTAGCCATTATTTTGGCTACAAATATGCAATATGCTATTTTTAAAAGGTTAACACTGAATATTTTCAGTGCCTTGAACATTGTATGAAAATGGTTTGTGTTAACATTGAAAAGTTTTAAGGGCTTTGAACTTAAAATGAAAATAATAATTAATGCACCGTCTGAAATTTTGGCTGTATGCGGGGGCATCCGTGGCATGATGACACATTTCTAGTTTGAACATGTTTTAATATTCGGTATTTGCTTTGTTTTTAATTTACTTCATTCCCTACAAAAACATTAAGTATATTTACGTATATTTCACTTCACTTTCAAAATCGTTTACAATAAAAGTATATGAATGCACATTGTACACTATATGTAAATATATGTAATGTTATCAAATGTTGCATATTATCAGTCTAAACTGCATTGCAAATATGCAAATGAATTACATATTTATCTTAAAGTGTATACCTGCACATGTTTTATTATCACTATTTAGTTCATATCCATTGAAACAGCCACAAAGATAGCTTCCAACAAGATTTGTACAATTTTGTTCACAGTCATTGTTGTCGTGAACACATTCATTTACATCTATATGAAAATAATAAAGAAACAAGTTAAATATATATGCTATAATTTATTTATTTATTTATTTATTTATTTATTTATTTATTTATTTATTTATTTATTTATTTATAAAACAACATGTTAAGAGAAACAAACGTATTATATGTTTTTAATGATTTAAGGCGATTCCACTTTTACAACAACATATAAGCATTCAAAGCAATTATGAGGCTTTTACTTTCGATATTTTTCTGCTTAACCCCAATTTTTTCACATTTTTGGTCATATCTAGGCGGTTGATCCACCTTAACGGTTTTCCTGGATAACTAAAATGTAGTTACCGATTTCTCCGTAAGCAAACAACTACTTATTCAACAGTACAGTAACGATTTCTGAACCAGCGTTGAAAGGTAAAATAACCATCATTGTCCGAGATAAATTGTCATTGAGAAATGACTCGTCGGTGGGTCGAACCGGCGACCTCTGGATCATAAATCCGATGCTATTACTTTTGAGCTTAGCTGGCGGACTCAGCTATGAAGCAACATGGCCTATACTAACTTGTGCATTTTCTGGTAACTATTTGAATCTTTCTCTAGAAAACTTTTAGTATCTTCTATTAATGACATAATATAGGTGCGAGTTTCTAAAAATTAGTATTCGAAGTCATGGTTATAAGATACTTTGTAAAAACCCAGTGATTAGCCGTTTCAAATACAAAATCAAAGTATTGATGTAATGAGAAATTCAAAGTTTTATTCAAAGTTTTCGGTGCGTAGAAACTCTTACAAAAATATTTTTAAGCAAATCATGTGTTACTGTGTTAGAATATATATACCATCACAAGTCTGCCCATCTGTGTTCAAACTATAGCCTGGTAAACAAACGCAAGAATAACTTCCAATTATGTTTGTACAAATCTGTCCACAACCATCTTTTCCAAGAGTGCATTCATTGATATCTAAAAAAAGGATTCTAAAGTATCTTAAAAACAATGCGAATTTCTTGGTCAAATTTTTAAGTGTTGAGTTTTAAAACATTTTATTGCAACTTTATTGTATCTATTTAGAGAATAACACAAGTAAACGAATAATATCTTATTTTTCTTTTTTTATATAAGTATGCGCGAAGGAGGCTTTCTTTGTGCTAAATGAACATTTATTTTTATGATAAATCTGTATGAATGGATATGGAAAAAAGCAATTTGTAGCTTCGACCTAAAGTATTTGCTTTCTGAAAAAAAGAAATATGGGAAGTAAATAAACAACAAGACCTTGACAAGTAAAGTTGTCCCCATGTAGAGAATATCCGCTGTTACAAGAGCATGTAAAACTTCCGTCAGTGTTTGAACATATTTGATCACAGTTGTCCGTCGCATTCAGGCATTCATCAATATCTTAAACAAAGATCAAAATGTTGCGAGAAAAATATCATTTCAGAGTATATGGAATGATTTAAAAATATTAGGTACAATATTTGTTATATTGGTTCAGTTATCAATTCAAAATATCATTTCAGAGTATATGGAATGATTTAAAAATATTAGGTACAATATTTGTTATATTGGTTCAGTTATCAATTCAAACATTCACTTACCTAGACAGGAACGGAAATCCGTATCGAGCTCGTATCCTAGGTTACAAGAGCAGGAAAACGAGCCGACGTTATTTGAACAGATTTGTCCGCAACCGCCATCACCAGTATCACATTCATTCACATCTGTTTATGGAAGGTAAAACGCAAACATAGACTGATTGGGAACACACTCATTTTACACAATTGAGACAAGACAATCTTCATTGGAGTCACAGTCGTTAAAACACAAATAAAATACATATATAATTATACCAATGTGTGTTTGCCAAATTTCTGAGACTGTTATCAAACAATTAAAAAAGATGTCTGCAAAAAGAAAAAACAATGAAACATGTCGTCTATGTTATGTATAATTTGTTTATGTCCATTAATTTCATAAATATCAAGTATCAATAAGTATAAAATAAATAACCAAAGAGGACGCGGAAGGTAGGACTGTTGCTTTTGTTGCTATATAACTTGTAGTCAGATACATTTGCTCATTATAGGTTAACATTTGTTGTTGTTATTTTTCCATGTACTTGCACCTGTACATTGAATAGCTTCAATAAAGTACTAATAAACTAAAACCAAACAGTCGCCACTAAGTACAGGCTATAGAATGGTGTTCGTAGTTCTTTGATTGGTGTAGACTGAAAATATCATGTAGATATATGGTTATTATTCAAACTTTAAAGGATTTCAAAAGAAAATGTAATCATCGAAGCTAATATCAATAATGTATTACCGTTACATGTTTTGCCGTCGGAATCAAGAATATAACCTCCGTTACAGTCACACGTAAAATTACCAACACTATTGTTACAGAGTTGAGTACAATCATGTGTCTGGTCAATGCATTCATCAATTCCTAAAATTGCAACGGACTATAATTAATATTCTACATACTAAGATATTTGTGTAACAATTATAACGAAGAAATGTAAAACATTTTAATAGTTGTTTGCATATTTACAATTGAAACATACGTAACAGAGTGGTTCAAGATTCAGACTTAAGCACAATGATTTCTCTAAGTTGCAAATTGGGTATTTCTTTATTCAAATAACAATACAAATCATTTAAAAAAAACAAAATAGGTTCTGTGTTATTTCCCCTTTACTAGAGTTTCAAGATTTAATTCTAAATGTGTTTTGTATGATATCAATGCATAATTATAACGTATTTCGAATATTTACCGTCACATGTTGTGTTGTCATCATTTAGACGATACCCAATGTTACATTGACAAAAGTAGCTTCCAACAGTATTCCCACAGTTTTGTTCACACATATCAGTTTTCTCTAAACACTCGTTGATGTCTATGTAATAGAAAAAGACATAACTGTTGCGTTAACTTTTAAGTTGCATTAAGAATGTATTCATAATGGCATCAATTTATGTTAGAAGCCATTTCTTGTTGTTGTTTTATGCGCCAGATTTTTTAGATTTCCTTAATTGATATTGTGTTTCGGTATAATCTTTTCAAATGTTGTGCAAACAGGCCTGAAGACAAATATTTTGACATAAAAAACACATACTAAGACCTTTGTTCATATTCCGTAATAAAAAATGAAACGATACTTGAATTAATACAAAATCGAAATAAAAACATTACTTTATTATTTGTATTATAAAATATTATGATTTTTCTGAATTGAAATTTTAATCAACGGTCTTCAAAAATAAATATAAATAATGTAATACCGTTGCATGTTTTCCCGTCTGTATCAAGAATGTATCCTCCGTTACAGTTACATGTGAAATTACCAACACTATTGTTACAGAGTTGAGTGCAGTCATGCGTCTGGTCAATGCATTCATCAATATCTAGAAATATAACGGGATATAATTATTTTATACATTTTTGTTCTGATACAAGACAACAATTAAGACAGGAAATAAATAAGCTGTGCATCCGTTGACATGTAGGATTGAAATTTAAAAGACATTCATGAAATTTATATTCGTATCATTATATATTGATATACATTAATTTTTTTATACTTATTGTATTATTTTTTGGGCTTCCCTAACACTACATTGAATGCCGTTATTATGATTTCCTTCAAAAACTGCTACATCGCAATAGTATTTCTTACTGATATTAGTGACCTACCAAAAAAAAAATAAAATATTAATAGTGCCTAAAGCAGCGTGCCTCCAGATTCATGCTAATTTTCATGAACAATTTTAAACTGTATTAAAAAAAGTAAAATGTTGTGAAGTGAACAAAAAAAGTAATTTATACATTGCAAATGATATTAAAATCTAAGTAATTTACCAAAAAAAGGTCAAAATATGCAAATATAGCCCTTACTACGTTAGACACGCAATAGAATTACGCATACTGATAAAAAAAACTGCAAAATCAGTCATTTAACACAAATAACATGTAAGTTATTACTTGAATCTTGAATCGTTTACTTTTCTTAAATTTTTAGTACTCATATCTCAAGTTTGATTTCCTTTAAATTAGTTTGGCTCATCTGGAGGCATACAGCTTTAAATGTACACTGTCAAGATTGGTGTTTCTACCAAAGAAAGATAGGACAATTTGTTATATTTACCATCACAAGTTTTGTTGCTATCGTTTAGCTGATATCCTGCGTTACATTGACAACTGTAGCTTCCTATGTTATTTATACAGACCTGTTCACAATCGTCAATGTTTTCCGTGCACTCGTTGATATCTATGAATAAAAGATGATAATTAAGTGTTTCAAGATGCTTTATGTTTATATACAAATTATGCACGGCCACTTTATCATATTTATTCGTTACTTGTTAGCTGTTAAAAATGTGCATTCAATTGAACGTCTTACGCAAAGCCTTTTCAAAGACGGCAGTTGTAAAACAACGATAACATGACCCTTATAATAGTCAATCCTTTGAAATGTAAAACTAATAAAGCTCTATTTGACAAAAAAAGAGTGAGCATAATGTTGTCAAAGTACTCGAGGTTTATACACGTATAAACTTAAACTTTAAATTAAAGTGTTTACCATCGCAAGACTTTAAGTCGGAATTTAATCTGTATCCATTGAAACAGTCACACGTGAAGCTACCTATAGAGTTGTTGCACACTTGGTGACAATCGTCTGTATTCAAAGAACATTCGTCTGCATCTGTGAAGTGGAGAAAATGAAAAATTGAAAAATATCAAGGTCGAGTTTTCCGCACGGTAGACTAAGTGACATTAAAATTTGTTGAAACTGAAAACGAAAAATGATAATTTACATTACTTGATCAATGCGACTAAATCACTATAAATATTAACATAGATGATCCTATTACGCTCTTGGAAAGCAGGGATATCTTTAATTAAGGGATAACAAATACACCCTTATCAATTACTGTTTTTCAATACTTATATTAATGCTACTTAAAGTTCTTTTGAATTTGTACAGAATGTAATCCAAACTCAGTCCTCAAGTTGATATACGCATTGTAATCTAGATACCACATATATATATATATAAGACCGTCGAATTTATATCGTTATTTCCGTAACATCGTTATATCCGAGAGGCCAAAAGTCGGGACCATGCAACAGCATCGTGATAAGAGGTGTATCGATATAAACGATATCGTTATAAGTGGAGGTTACTGTACTTGTTTATAGTGGTTATTCCGGTAATAATGTAACGTTAAGACATTTTTACTCAGCTTGTTTTAAAATGGAGATTTTGTCTTACTGAAATGATTTTAGTGTTAACTATCTATTATGTTATTTGTTTATATTGCGACAATATATTTTAGTTTACGGTACTTTAGAATATACGTTTGGTATACGTTTTTTCAATAAAAGTTTTATATCGTATAATGTAATGAACGTTTCAGTGATTATGGTTATTCTAATCAGCCAATGAAAATTTAGTCATGCTTGAGCGATCATCTCAGCAGGTATAAATACGGCGATTAAAGCATAATTACTCAGTCTGCAGAGGAATTCACCGGGATCAGGTTATTATACGTATTTCACACATAGAGGTATATCTAATTGAAGTCTGGCTTCATAGGTATAAAATAATAATTGGCCAAAGTAAATATTTCCAACTGAAGCCTCGCTTCGTGGATATAGTGTCGTTATATTAAAGTTTGTGAAATTGTATTTGACTCTGGGTACTTATAGACCTCCACATATAGAAAGCCTCGCTATCATTGAATTGGTAACATATAGGTATTAAAAATCCAGAGGTTGATTTAAAACGAAATAAGCTTTGTATAGTTGGAACTTTGTTATAAATCCATACCAGCAGCTTATCTTCCTAGGGAGGTAGTTGCTAAACTATAGGAAACAAGATATGTTTGTAAAACATGTATGCCCCCTATCGGCAGCCAATTAGTCATATGATCAGGTTATTATGCATGACTTCTGACCCAGTGAACAAACAATTAATAAGGGTAATCTAGTATCTTCAGGTCATGACTAGTCACAAGGTAATAATTATTGTGACCCCATAGGTTGTGTGCAGCAATTTAAGTTATTACAAATCTTACAAATAATGTATGCATAAATTTTATGAATCATGTAGGCCTCATTAATGAGAGCCAAGTTGTTATATTACATAAGACCTTCAAATGTGTATACCAAAAGCATTTTTAGTTTAATATAAAATCAACCAAGGCAACTTGAGTTGTTGAGTTATTGGTCACAAACCGTCATTAAGTACAAGGTCAATATGACATTGACCCCTTGACCCTAAAATCAATAGGGGTCATCTACTGGTCATGACCAATCATCATACCAAGTTTGAAGTTCCTAGGCCTATGCATTCTTTAGTTATTGATCAGAAACCGTTTTAACCTACAAGGTCAATGTGACCTTGACCTTTGACCCTTGATCCAAAAATCAATAGGGGTCATCTGCTGGTCATGACCAATCATCATATCAAGTTTGAAGTTCCTAGGCCTAAGGGTTCATTAGTTATTGATCGGAAAACGTTTTTACCAACAAGGTCAATGTGACCTTGACCTTTGACCCCTTGACCCCAAAATCAATAGGGGTCATCTGCTGGTCATGACAAATCACCATACCAAGTTTGAAGTTCCTAGGCCTAAGCGTTCTTTAGTTATTGATCGGAAACCATTTTTATCTACAAGGTCAATGTGACCTTGACCTTTGACCCCTTGACCCCAAAATCAATAGGGGTTGTCTGCTGGTCATGACCAATCACCATACCAAGTTTGAAGTTCCTAGGCCTAAGGATTCTTAAGGTATTGATCAGAAACCATTTTTACCTACAAGGTCAATGTGACCTTGACCTTTGACCCCTTGACTCCAAAATCAATAGCGGTCATCGGCTGGTCGTGTAAATCACCATACCAAGTTTGAAGTTCCTAGGCCTAAGCTTGATTTAGTTATTGATCGGAAACCGTTTTTACCTACAACGTCAATGTGACCTTGACCTTTGACCCCTTGACCCCAAAATCAATAGGGGTCATCTGCTGGTCATGACCAATGATTCTACCAAGTTTGAAGTTCCTAGGCCTAAGCGTTCTTTAGTTATTGATCGGAAACCATTTTTACCTACAAGGTCAATGTGACCTTGACCTTTGACCCCTTGACCCCAAAATCAATAGGGGTCATCTACTGGTCATGACCAATCACCATACCAAGTTTGAAGTTCCTAGGCCTAAGGGTTCTTTAGTTATTGATCAGAAACCATTTTTACCTACAAGGTTAATGTGACCTTGACCTTTGACCCCTTGACCCCAAAATCAATAGGGGTCATCTGCTGGTCATGATCAATCATCATACCAAGTTTGAAGTTTCTAGGCCTAAGCGTTCTTAAGTTATTGATTGGAAACTGTTTTCACCTACAAGGTCAATGTGACCCTGACATTTGACCCCTAAATCAAAAGGGGCCATCTGCTGGCCATGACCAATCATCATACCAAGTTTGAAGTTCCTAGGCCTAAGGGTTCTTTAGTTATTGATCGAAAAACGTTTTTACCTACAAGGTCAATGTGACCTTGACCTTTGACCCCTTGACCCGAAAATCAAAAGGAGTCATTTGCTGGTCATGACCAATCACCATACCAAGTTTGAAGTTCCTAGGCCTAAGCGTTCTTTAGTTATTGATCGGAAACCATTTTTACCTACAAGGTCAATGTGACCTTGACCTTTGACCCCTTGACCCCAAAATCAATAGGGGTTGTCTGCTGGTCATGACCAATCACCATACCAAGTTTGAAGTTCCTAGGCCTAAGCGTTCTTTAGTTATTGATCAGAAACCATTTTTACCTACAAGGTCAATGTGACCTTGACCTTTGACCCCTTGACTCCAAAATCAATAGGGGTCATCTGCTGGTCATGACCAATCACCATACCAAGTTTGAAGTTCCTAGGCCTAAGCGTTCTTTAGTTATTGATCGGAAACCATTTTTACCTACAAGGTCAATGTGACCTTGACCTTTGACCCCTTGACCCCAAAATCAATAGGAGTCTTCTACTGGTCATGACCAATCACCATACCAAGTTTAAAGTTCCTAGGCCTAAGCATTCTTTAGTTATCACTCGGAAACCATTTGGTCTACGGACCGACGGACCGACGGACTGACAAGTGCAAAGCAATATACCCCCTGCCTCTTCTTTGAAGTGGGGGCATAATTATCGAGTTTATAGCTTTTGAATTATTTCATAGTGTTATATTGTAAACATATTTACTATATTTAGACTTTTGAGAATTTAATAGTGTATTTCGGAGTTATAATTCAAGCTGATTGTTTATGATATATGATAATTTCATAATCATTTGTATCTAATCAAACGGCAGGTAGCCCGAAGAAAAAATTATAAAATATTTGTTGTACATTCGCTCGGTACACGTTACAATAAGAAAGTCATGTTGTCCATTCACAATATTAAGAAAATGTTTAGAACTTGCATACAATTTACAATTATTAAAAAAGTTTCGTTTAATATAATACTTTGTTATTTTCATTATAATCATTTTTTTAACGACAGAGAATGTAAAAGTAAAGCTCACCAATGCATGTTGTTTTGTCAAAATTAAGCGTATAACCCTCGGCACAGGAACATTCATATCCACCGTAAATGTTAGTACAGTTGTCTGAACACCCGTCAATACCCAACAAACATTCATCAATATCTAGAAAACATATAAAATAGTAATTATATATTATGAGTACTACATTTGTATGCCTGGCTAACTCGTTAGCCTGCTGGGCGACCAGGGCCATCTGATCATGGTTTGTACAGTAAGTAAATATTTTGGTTTTGTTCAGATTGAAAGATAGACAAATCCATTTAAGATATTTAGTTTTGTTAGGATTAATGTAATGCTATAGACTCATGAAAACATATCTATTTAAATGTATTGTCGCAAAGGGGAGATAATGTCTTATATGACCTCTAGATAACCTGCCGTGAACATGCAACCATGACGTTGCCTAAAACCCCTCCTCGATGACATTATTTGATAGATTTTACTGGACATCGGCTGGAAACTTAAACCATTTAGTGGTAATTTTACACAATTTATAATATAAACAGAGCTCTACATTTACACTTTACATTTTCCAGGTCATTTTTGTTAGACTGCTAAGAATGCATGTTTTTCTTGGACAAAATGTTGGTTTAATTGTATTGTGAATGCAGCATACCTTAGATTTACGTACAAAATGTACAAAACGAATAAACCCGTTTACCTATACAATTTACCCCGTTTGCTTGCAGGTTGTAAACGTTACGACAGTAACAATTAAAACCACCCTCTGTATTGGTTGCATTCCTGAGAGCAACCACCTTGATTTACCATACATTCGTTATCTTCTGAATTAGTAAATGATGTTCACAAAATGGTATTGTTATAGATAATATTATTATTCATTTCATTAAGAGGGAGTTTTTTAGATTGTGATAGCCTTTAAGAACTCTATGTGAAATATACACGTCCTTGTTTATTTCAAATATTTATCATCAGCATCACGTTATTAATGTGTTATAAAAATGACCGACAATAGCCGCGTAAATTGTTCCTTGGCATTTCCATGATTGAAACTGAATTTTTTGATAAGATCAAAGGAGGTTCAAACATTTATTAAGTAAATTCTATACATATATTAAAAAGGACAATAATTGTACTAAATATGAAAAATTGAGCTATATATAAGTGGAAGTATGCGCTTAGAACTGTTCTACCTTTACATGTAAGTCCGTCACTTCCAATAATGTAGCCGGTAAGACAGGAGCAGAAATAGCCCCCATTGGTGTTGTTACAAAGGTCACTGCAATTGGCAAGTCCTAGTTCACATTCGTCAATATCCGGTACTTCTGATAAAATTAAAATATATCTTTATAAGTTTAACTGGCGTTTCTGATAAAGAAAATATATCTTTATAAGTTGTTTTAGTATTCCTGATAAATGTAAATGTGTGCTTTAGCTATAAACCGTGCTTAATTCAAATTTCAGGGATTTCATGGCTGATTTATTAAGCTCGACGTCTTGAAATCACTTTCCCCGCACCGCTATAGATACAATTCCCACAAAGGGACTGGATTCTTTTACGTGATAAAGCTATCCAGTTTCCCTGTAGAAGATCGGTAATTCTTATCAAAGTAAACCACTTGTGCCACCTCCCCTACCTTCCCACAAGTAAAGCTGATAAGACGTCATTTTATAGTGTCGGTGTGTCTTAAAATATTATTTGCTGACTGTTCATTAAATCGCAAAAACACAAAATGAAGTTGTCTTAAAAGTATATTACAGTATGGGTATTGTTAAAAATGAAGTTAAAATTTATGTGAATGAAGTAATGATCGTCTGCTTTACGCTTGTTAAAGGGGGACAAACACGAAGTTCTATTTTCTTAACTTAATCTTTATTTGCAATCGCTGTGAAACTTTAGTTATTTATATTCTTATATCTATTTGTAAGGAATGCAGAGACTTACCGCCGCATGTTTTGCCGTCTTCATTCAGGCTAAAACCAGCGATACATGAACACTGGAAACTCCCAACCGAGTTCGAGCAGTTTTGCGAACAGTTATGAGATACGCCGATACATTCATCAATATCTGAAGATATTACAATGTCAATTATCTGATTTAATGATCATCATCCTCTATACTTAGATTGTTATTTTTTTATATCTATACCGGTATAACCTCAGGAATTTATCCATTACAGACATTATATAAATTACACGGCAATCAAAATTTTGATCTTCTCTTACTAAATTTAGAATAGACAATGAAAATCCAAGGTTTTGGTTAAATCTACATTTGTTTACATAAAACTTAGATGGGAACAGATAACTTACGGCCAAAAAAAAAAGAAAATAAAAGTACCGTCACATGTGTGGTTGTCGGGATTTAGTGTATATCCCGGTTCGCATGTACATTTGTAGCCACCATGTATGTTTGTACAGTTCTGTTCACATGAATCTATGTCAAGGTCACACTCGTCTATATCTGGTTATTTAATGATAATTTCACTTTATGAATTTTTTGTTTGTCTACACAAATATAATACAAATGCTTGTAAAGTGAAAGGTTTTTTTTTTACAACTGGTCACACATCATTATAAAGGTATAAAAATGTCACGCAAAAATTCTTTGACATGATTTGTTTATAAAATTCTAAATTACATTAAGAATAGACTTACTCCGGAATTAAGAATATTTGGGGTTTTTTTTTTCCAGCTAATCCGTAGGTTCAATTAAACTTTATACAGTCACAGCTTCGAAAATAAGCTAAACAGGTTGACTTATGTGTGGCGAGTAGTGCACCGTGAAGCTATAACGGTAAAAATTTGTTTGTATCTATAGATTAGCTAAGAAAAACCCACATTTGCCGAGTTTCGGATAACGTTTGTACCATTAGCTAAGAAAAACCCACATTTGCCGAGTTTCGGATAACGTTTATTGGTACAAAATATGTAAACATGTGTTTTAATATATAATCGTCTGCTGCAAGGTATTTCAACTGCTGTACATTTGTTTATATAAAGACTGTTTTGAGATATACAATAAATATTTTGGCTAATTGAAGTAAAAAAGATTTGTACATACCTACGCTGCACGTGTTTCCTGTATATGACGATGTACACGTGCACGTGAAGTTCGTGCCGTTGACAGTACAGCTGCCGCCGTTTAAACATGGCAGGTTGTCACATGGACCTCTCACTGGTTCATTAGTTGCTGTTTAGACAATAAAATTAACATTCAAAGTATAATGGCAAATATGACAACATATAAAATCTAATCTCTGGTCATTGTTTCTTGTATTAATAGATAAATTCAAGTATCTGACTATTGTTTGGAATGTCGGTGGTCCTCTTAGGTGAAAGCTCGGCCTATATAATGCTCAGACTTCTTCTACCCATGAAGCTAGAAACATGCGATATGACACTTAAAGTATCGATGTGACCAAGTAAATGAATTAAATATAGTTTTGATCTAACAAATATAATAGATTCTAACTGGAATAATATATCAAGTCTCAATAAAAATTATTTCAGTAAAAGTTCAGTATCTTATGTACAAACCATATGGCTGAGAGCTTTTCACAAACAAAGCAATGTAAACATATTCTGATAGCATGTTCCAAATGTTAAGAATTTTAGGCGACACACCAATTAAATTTGTTACGGTTGCTCGTTTTACGGCTACACGCAAGTACGTGTACTGATATTACTTTTAGAAATATTAGATAGTTATTTATGAACTGTGTTTGTTTTACAATTTGCTCGCCTAACATTATGCTCGTCTATATCGTTCATTCCTGTTACGAGGGTAATCAAACCAAAAACACACCTGCACAAAACAAATGTTAAGAAATGATCTCACATAAACCATAATAACATTTGTATAACAAAAGTAAGGAAGAGTTTGCCACTGAGCATGTGATAAATGCAATTTAAATTGATGAAGAAATGAAAACATCATCAACATTTTTATCGTCCGGATCGAGACAAGAATTAAAGCTGCACTTTAAAAATGATATCATATACCACATGGTATTTTCTGACCCTGATCAAGTAAACAGAATCTTTCCAATGTTGTATACCTTCACAAACAACTGTTGTCAGTTCGTCTGTTACTCCAGCGAGGTCACTGAAATCTGTCACCATGTGAACATTGGCAGCGTCCCCTGCTATTGTCTCGAGAAATTCGCGAGTTATCCCATCAGTAATACCCACACATATTATCTTGATACCAGCATCTCGAATCTCCTAAATATGTAATGGGATATACTTGTTTGATAGTAAAACAACTAATATATGTTATAAAAAACTTATCATATTTATAAATAAAGTCTTCTTCACGGTTGCCTTGTGCAATTGAACTAATAAGTTAAGAATTCATTTAACATACATTATTTTAAGGAAAATAAATTAATACCAAATATATATCCAAAAGTATAACGTGAACAAAACATGTTGCTCTCAGATCTACAAAAGATCGGTGGGGACATTTCAAATTCATGAATTTTCTATTTCATCTTCATGAATTTCCGATTTCATCTTCATGAATTCCCGATTTCAACTTTATGAATTTTTCTATTTCAACTTCATGAATTCACAATTTCAACTTCATGAATAATGTAAGTTTGAATATAGAAATCAACCCAGTTTCAATTTAAAAATGTAATTATTTTATTTGAAAACTTCATGAATACACGATTTCAAACAAGTAACATTTACATTTATGTAGTAAATATAAGATTTTAATAAGACTATGAAAAAGATTGTTATCTCATTAAAGTATTCACCTTCGACGCCGCTAGACTATCATGAGAAGTGGTATTTTGAGCCATAGAGAGCAGGTTTGAAATCGTGTATTCATGAAGTTTTCAAAAAAAAAAAAAATAATTACAGGCTGTCCAAACTCCGTATGTTTAAAATGGTGAAATTCTGAATTTATTTACATGTATATATAGAATTATGCTTCAATAACTGGTTTTACATTTGAAACCCCATCACTATTAGAGCTTCTAAAATTCAAATTAGAGCGAGTTCATTTAACAAAATCAGGGGTGAAATGGCCCCACCTGTGCTGTAGTTACAACATTTGATGACTCCCCGTCTGCGATAAGAACAAGAACCTTCTCGACGCCGTCTCGAGCCCCGTTCGACGATGCAAAGTTTTGTGTGAATGCATACTCGAGAGCTTTTTGAATGTTTGTGCTTCCACCACGAAATCTTTAAGATGAATATTAAACAATATCTATCACGTTATTAAATTTCAATTGGCAACTCATTTGTTCCAAATATTATAACATCATGTCAAATTAAATGTAAAATCAACTTTTCAACAGGAGAGAGTAATTTTACAATGTGACATTCATGGAACTCCAATGATGTCTAACTCCTTAAAGAATAGATTTCGAATTTCTTACATAGATCAACTGTTTAAACGCTTTTCATATTTTTTTCAGTCTTTTCTTTTCCGCAACTTAAACAATTATTCTTGAAAAACAGGCTGAGCGAATGATCTGAAATTTTGCAAACAAATTATTTGATCAGACCACTATCATATGGTAAATAAATTTTGAAGAGATGTTTCCACATCCCTTATTTAGACAAAACCCCAGTGGAAGATGAAATGTTAAAAAAATTATGGTAAATTCAGTGTAAAACTTTACTGTCACATTTTACAGCACATCGAAATATTGAATTCAATCTAGAATTTAGTGATACATTTCACACTATGTTGAGATCAATGTAAAATAAACTGTCACTGGGAATAGCTGAATGTTACAACATGTTCAATTCATGTAAAAATAAATAGTGTAATTTTGCATCATGATGAAGTCGATGTTATATGGCTACAATGCACCATAACTATACATTCTAGTATGATAAATACTGACAAACATGTATATTTCCCATGTTGAATATTGTTCTTATAGCATGTATTGGTTCTTTTTATTTGCAGCAAGAAAGTCACATATGCGAACATAAACTTTGCTCTTTAATACTTATCATGGAAGAATGGTTTACATACTTTCTGCATGTATTTTACGTAAGGTTATCTGACTATAAACACCCATGACTTCATTTTTTATTTTTTAGAGAGACATGGTTTAATTTAGCAGTGTTCAGACAGCAGTTAAATGATCATTACATTTGTCCTTCGGAATCAGTATAAATTATCTTGACTATAGGTGCACCATTTGATGTCCGGTGATATAACAATATTCATCGTTAACTATAATAAAGGCATAAATAGCAAATGTACGTTGGGTAAAATAAACAAACAATTTTATGAGGGCATAAATTCACATCATATGTTGGACAATTTCATATATCTAAAAGGAAATTTGTAAGATAAAAGTAAAGCTTAGATACCTGATGGATTCTATTTTCTTTACTGCATCCGCCGAAGTCGAGTAATCGTCTAGCCAAAATTGGTTCTTAACACTAGACGAGAAACTGATATAACTCACTTGAACGTCGTCGGGCCCGACGGTCAAAGTTCCGACGACGGCAGCAACAAAGTTAATGACAAGGTTATAATTAGATTTTTGAACAGATGAGGAGTCATCTACTACAAACACAACATCAGCCTTTCCCGACGTACATTCTGTGAAATAAACGTTAATGAAACTAGTTAACCTTTTTTTAGATAAAAATTTATCACTCGATGATATTCTTTTACGGACAACTAAGCGTGGTAATTCGGTCAGTAACTATCCTAAAAACAAAAGATCATACCCGAGTTATTGGCGTTTTGTTTCGTGTAGTACAAATCACAAAAACCCTAGTTATTATAATGTTAATGTTGGGATATTTGATACCGTATAGTTATAGTTTACCATTTGTATGCCTGTTATAAGGCATTGTATTTGTTACATCAGAAATATCAACTTAAAACAAAACAGGTATAAAAAGGTGTGCTTCTGATGTCCATAAATAAAAAAGTAAAAATAGAACATATTTATTTGATTGTCAGAAAGTTTATATATATAACCTATGTAATAAAAATGATATGAAACAAATAAATATAAGCATGTAAAACAGTTTCAGAGCAGAGACACTAAACTAAACCAGTGTTTAAAGGCCCATTATGTCTCAGAAATGATTATTAATTTATTTCTTCAAAACGTTTTAGTTTTGGTGGCCTGTTATAACTTCCAAAAAGTTACTTAATGGGCAATTATCTGAACCAAACATAAATACAATAAACCCATCTATTTTCTAAAAATATTTTACCACTAAAGAATACTACTTATCATTAAACAATTAAATAATCTGTTACGAGGTGAAGTTCTTTTTCACATATTAAGTGTAGTTTAAGCAATTTAGGATCTTATATTGACCATCTATTATTTTCATCATCTGTCAAATTTGTATTTCTATAGATATTCCATGCTAATTTCAAACTATTTTTAAAACCAATACATGTATGTAAAAAGTTTTTGCTCTTAGACAAATAAATATATCTTTTCAATTCTAGAAACAATAAGTCATATTTATAATCTTTTGTTTCTGTACCTAATATGAATGATTTACAACATAAAACATCATCAAAATTATGTAAGTTTTCTCTAAGGTATTGAAATAGGCTGGAATTTGCTGACATTCCCAAAATAAATGTAAAAATGTTTCGTCACAGCATTTACAAAAAGTATACATTTTATTGCCAACAATTTTCATTTTAAACAACTAAAGTTCTATAAATAATTCTTGTTTGGAACCACTGAATATATGAATCTTTAGAACATTTGAAAACATAACTATATATTAAATGCCAATTAATATTATTGTCGTTAAAACATGTGTTCCACCTTTCTTGACTTGTAGGTTTGTCTGAATTTTTAGCTATAATTTCATAAATATATTTCTTATTGTTATCCATAGTTAAAATAGGTTAAACATAACAATTTATTATAGGATATTGAACATTAAGCAAATCGTTACTAATAAAAATATCAAACTTTTGCATGTTCAATTTTATTGCCTGTTTTAAATTATGATACTGTAAAAAGTTCACAGGTTTGCCTGTGACCTGTTCTTAATATATCAAATCTACAAAGTTACCCTGTTCATTTATAATATCTTTTACAAATCTGATTCCTTTATTATATAATGTCTGAATGTAAATATATCTATTTCCTGCTAAAAAGGTATGATTAAAAGTGGCATATGTAATACATGTACTTGCTCTATATTTTCTATATAAAGTTTATCTACAAACAGCATATAAGCATTTAAAACATCAATCCAGAAAAGAATTTGTTATTTTACTAATAATCAAATTACAAAACATCTTTCCAGTGTTAAAATTTTTATCAATATTAAACAATGTGTTTACTAGCTTATAATATTTACTTTTGCTATTACTAACATATCTTTTAAACCATGGTATCTTTAAACTTTGTATATAACTATAAATATCAACCACGTTTAACCACCTTCTTTGTGTGTTTTAATAAGTTCTGATTGTTTTATTTTTGCCCTGCATTCTATTTATTTATTATCCTCCATAATACATGAAGATTTGAACAATTACACAACCAGTTTTTACATAACTACAGACACAACAGGTATACAAATGTGATATATACATTACAAGACAGAATATAGATAAACAAATGCAAGTAATCTATAAAATGTATACATTGGACAGCACAATTATATGATTTGCCCCTAACTGAAAAGTAAAGCACTGAGTAAGAATTAAGACGGGGAAAAATGCTTGTATATGATTTAGACTTCCCTCTAACCCTAGTGCGGAAACGAAACACTAGGAAACAGAGAGCAGGGAAACAAATCTACAAGTTTTAATTCAATGACATTTATATGAAAACCTAGACCAGTTCACTAGATGATCGAAATGTCATTTTCATAAAGAATATAAACGGTTACTATTTAATTCACTACTATAGTAATCCAAGTTACACTGATTGAACAATTCATTAAAAAACAATATTTTTAAGCAACGCTAAACTGAAAGTTCTGATGTTTGAAATGAATTATTTAACAAAATGATTTTTAATTCCTATAACCACTTAATTGATGGTAAATATCATTTATTTTTAAACTTAAATCTGCTATGCTACTGCTATAAATGGAGTATAAAACAACTGTATAATACAGTCCAGATCGATATACTTTTGCAATTATGAATACATACAGTAAATTTGCAATTAAATGAAAAAGATATATGTGCGAATATAATTTTCATGAACATGTATAAATGCAAATCAAATATGCATAATTTATGGTTATTTCACAAATTCATACACAAAGTTCAGCTTTGTTTCAGTAGACATAACATCGATACATAAAAACAATTCTTTCAAAAGAATTGTGCTATTTTCTGATTAATGCACTTTGTACATTTTGAACATACACTTAGTCATCCAAAAGTTTGAAAATTTCGTATCGTTATTCTGGATGGCCAAGCTAAGGCACCTGACACACTGCTCCCTAGGCTCACGGCCTATCAAGTCCGAAAACCAGTCCATGCCAAGGCGGTCGATTACGCCGTTCCACATACTTTCAATTAATAAATTGTTTTCAGAACAGTTCAGCAGCAAATGCGTTGTCATATCGTCTGTTAACACCGAACACTTTGAACACGTTCGAATATATTCATTAGAACAGAGAGTTCCAATGGCGGAAACTAATACTGAACATATATTCAAAAGAGTTTGGTTACATTTTGCTATCTGCCACAGTACATTTGGCTCATTCACTTTTATCACAGCTCTTAAAAGGTCGCCATGATCACTTGTCATTAGCCTGTTATATCGATTAAGTTTTTCAGTATTAATTATATGTTTTGTAAGTGTACGTTTCCAAGCGATTTTCGATGGAAAGGATCCCGTATCTTTGTATGTATGTAACACATCGCATAGTTGATACTTTTGTAGAAGTCTATAGATATCTGGCAAAAATCCACGGAATGGAGTATTAAATTGCAGAAATCGAACTAGTCTGTTGTTGAAAATATCTTTTGCTAAATAATTGTTTGATAGATGACATAATTGTCCCAAAAATTGCAACTTTCTGTAGTCTATTAATGATTCAATGGACACCATATCAATGGAGCTTAGTACGTAGTCTGTGTGTGTATTTGTCTTCAATGACTGTATGTTTTTTATACAAAATCTGTGAGATCGTTCAAGCAGTTGTAAATCTGTTGTAGAAATAACATCCCACAACTCACAGCCATAAAGACTTTTAGGAATAACTACACTATTGTAGATTTTCTTGGACGATATAGGATTTAAGTTATCTGGATGGACACCACTATTACAAATGCTCAAAAACGTTCCTCTTAACTTCCTACAAGCTTCTTCAATGCACCTTTTTGTGTTTAAGTATGAGTCGCTTATAATGCCGAGATGAACATATTGATTCTGCTCAGCAATTGTGTTTGATCCCAGTTTGAATGTTCTACTAATATTATCCCTGTTGTTATCATTGTATACTACTACAGAGCACTTTCCAGGATTATATTGGTATCGCCATTTGTTAGCGTATGTGTTACAGATGTTCAACATTTCATTTAAACCGCTCACTGAGTAAGACATCAGCATCATGTCGTCTGCAACGGTTGGTGAACCTATATCAAAATTGTAAATGCACATTCCAAGCCCACTGTCTTGTAACTGTCGTATAAGGTCATTAATGTACAATAAGTAAAATACGGGGGAACTCTTCCCGCCTTGACGAGTGCCTTGCTCAACGTTGAACCAACTTGAAGAAAGTCCTTGGAATTTCACACAACTTTGCATATCTGTATACATTGCTTGAATAGCTTTGAAAGACGTATTGTCAATGTTACATTCATGTCTCAGTTTATACAGCAAACCAGAATGCCATACGGTATCAAATGCTTTGCGACCGTCCAGGTAACATACGTAGACTGAAGATCCAAGTTCTCGCGAATAGTGGATACTGTCACGGACTATGAATGAAGTCATCAAACACCCTAAACCTTCCTGAAAGCCTCCTTGCTGTTTGTTTATGCATGATAATATTTCGTGTTTGCATCGATTCATAACAATAATTTCAAACAATTTAAGAACAACAGATGTGAGAGTAATCGCGCGATAATTATCTGGTTGATCTTTACGTTTATTACCTCCCTTGTGTAATGTTACTATCACACCGCGCTTTAAAGATACTGGGACATAACTCTTCCGAAGCATTTGAGTAAAAAGATTGGCAAGTACCGGTGAAATAATAGTCCTTGCATGTATAAAATGTTCATATTGCAAATTATCAGCCCCGCCTGCTTTACATTTCGGAACACTAAGTATTGCATCGCTGACATCTTCAGGAAGTACAACGACGGTCGTGTCATGCTGAACATTGTCGAGAATAGACGCCTCACGCTCCACTCTGTTGAACAATTCATTATCAAATTGAACACTTTCTGTCGAAGAATACAGATTTTCGAAATACTTTCTCCATCCATCAGTAATTTCACTCCGGTCTCTAACAACACGACCGTCAAAGTTAATACCAGCACAAAGATTCGATTGTTTATTATTGCGTCTACACTTAACTTGTCTCCAAAAACGATCAGAATCAAGCTCTGCCGTACGATCCATTTCTTCATTTAAGAAACGCAAATATTTAAATGTCACATTTCTATGTAATCTACGGAATTTCTTCTTAGCACATTTATAGGTTGTATAAGCTTGGTGACCACCACCCCGTGGACGACCCTCTCGGCACCATATTGCACGAAGTTCCGACATTGTTTTATGGGCAGAAGATAGTTCGTCGTTCCAATATGGCTTCAAAAATGTCACATATTTTTTTCTAGGAAATACGCTCATAGCACAGTTATTCACTTTTGTGACAATAGTTTCATAGGCATGGTCAATTCCTGCCGTGTCAAGGTCACAGTGTGTCAGATGACATAGGTCGTCATCACTCATTAGCAACATATTATATTGATAAATCAAATCATCGTCAACTTTTTTCCAGTTCACTGTTTTATCAGATTCATCAACATTTAAATTTTCATTTGATAAATTAACTGGAAATGTAAACTTTGTTAAGACAGGCCTATGTGTTGACACATTAAGACAATGGTCATCAATAATCTGACAACCAGTTACACAATCTAAAATATCAGTGGGTACACACACGTGATCAATTAAAGTACGGCACTTATCATCATACGAAACATATGAGTACATGGGACCTCTGCACATAGGTAATACATTAACAACACTTAAACTTGTATCAGAAATAAATTTGAACATTAATTTATCACGTGTACTACCGTTTTCCAGATACTGGGCGTTGTAATCGCCCATAAAGACTACAGCACCATGCATTGAATATGTATTCCAAATATCATAAAGTTTATCGATATAATCCCTATAACTTGCAATCGCATGGGTAGAACATGGCAAATAGAGTTGAAAAATAAATATGTAAATATGTACAATTCAATGGTACAATAAGATGATCTAATCGTTTATGGTAACATATACCTACACCACCTTTGCCTATTCTGCGTGAACTTGGTACATATAAATCTTTGTCACATATGATATGAAACTTATAGTTTGATATAAGGGTGTCAACGAAGTGCATATTTTGTGGAGTCAGAAAATGTTCAGATATACCACATATATCCACTTTATATTTTATCAGTGCATCGCATAAGTACGACGAACTTGACATTAGACCTGAAACATTCCAACACATTACATTTAAATTCATGATAATAAGTAATAGAATTTGCATTCGCAAATGAAATCATGAAATATGTCATTACGTGTTTTCAAAAATACAGTATTTGGTGTTAATAGGCTTGTGAATCAGTGCGTAAATAAAGGAAGTAATATTGACTTAATAACAGAAATTTTTCCTATTTTAGTTAATAATCTCTTTTTCCAGTGAATGATACTATTTTTACTTTTTTGAAGTTTCATTAACATTTAAGTCAATCGTTTTTTCTAAATCAACATCAAATATTAAACCTAACAATTTGAACTGTGTATCACCCCATGTTAATTTCCATCTTGTCTTAATTGACCTAGAACTATATTTAAGAGAGCCTATCCAAATTACCTTAGTTTTGTCAAAATTTATCTTTAATGCAGAAATTTCTGTAAACTTACTTAACAACTTTTAAGCAGTATTTAGAGATTTTTCTGAACCATCTAATAGAAGTGATGTATCATCTGCAAATTGAGAAATTTTGTATTCTTCCCCATCTATAATTATGCCATTAACATCCTTACAGTGTCTTATTTTTACTGCTAATATCTCTGCACATAAAATGAAATTGGACCGCCTTGCCTACAACTTCGTCTAACTTTTGAAAAAAATGGATAAAAAAACATTTAATTTGACACATGTTTCAGTATTGTATAAAAACAGAGATATCCTTCATTACCTAAACATAGGACCAAAACAAAATAACGAGAGACTTTTCTCAATTGATGTAAAAGACAGAGTATCAAAAGCTTTTTCAAAATCTATCATCATTACTAAACCTGGCATATATCTTCAGTAAATTTCATTATATCATAATATAATAATCTAGTATTATCACCAATATATGTAATAGAAAGAGCACCGAAACACGAGGCTATCTTATTTGTACGAGGGGGCGTAGCCCCCGAGTATTAATCAGATTGCCGAGTGTTTTGGTCTTCTTTCTCTTTTGTATCATAATCAAACATAAAAGCACGTTCCCTGTTGTCACAATATGAAACCCCGGCAAAAATGAACCAATGAACGAACATCTGAATATGACATTTCTGTCGCTTTCCCTTTCTCTGCAGTCACAATATGTAAACCCCAGCAAAAATGAGCCAATCAATGAGCATGCTCTGGAGTGCGGGTAACTAATACCCGCACTCCAGTTAACGCACTGTGCATGTATATGTGTACGATTTAACCCTGACACATTTTCAACAGAAAGGTCTCCAAACTATGATACAACTATTCTTAACAAATCCAGTCTGATCTTTTGACACAAAAATATCTAAAACAGTTTTCATCTATTTGCTATACTACCTGAAGTTAATCTATATACTACATTTAATAAGGTAATTGGTCTCCAATTTTTAAAAAAATTAAAAATTTCATTATATGAACAAGTTTCTGTAAGTATATCTTTTTGATCATATATAAAAGTTCCGCCATCATGTTCTAGGAAAGGAATTGTTTTAGCCTAACAATGTGATTTTTCTAAATTTAAAAACTAGTTAGTAGGTTTTTCTCCTGATTCAATCCACTGTGACCTAGACCTGATCATAGCACCTTTAATTTTACTGCATCTTAGTTCATTCAATTCATTTTGTAAAAAAGGTTTGTCTTTATTTTCAATTGTCAAATTTTGTTCAATATTAATGATTTTTTCAATTAGTTGTTTTCATAAACATTTCTTTCCTTTGCCTCCTTAAATGGGCTATAAGAAATAGTTTTACCTCTGATTTCCATTAAAAAAAGTCTCCAAAAGAAAGTTCAGCATTAATAACATAATCTGTTTCTGTATTTTGTATATCTAAAATATAATCTATATTATAAACTGGTAAACAATATTGTAATTTTATTTCATCTATGTTCTTATCTATTTTAGCAAGGAACTCAATGTCATGTAAGAGCATTATTAAACTTCCCTAAACTTTTCCATGACTAACAGGAACAAAACAAATATCTAAATATATGAATGATCAGATCTATAACTAACATCTATGTCACATTTACGTACAAACTGATACAGATTGCTTGTTACAAGAAAAAAATCTAATCTACCTTGTTGTATAGGATTAGTTCGTCTCCATGATTATTTTCTGACATCACCTGTAATTCTCGAACAGGGTCTATTAGATTTTTATCTTCAATAGCTTCTAATAAAAACATTTCTAGCCATAATATAATTAACCTTTGATTTATAATTATGGTAATCTAAGTCTGGATTCTGAACAAGATTAAAGTCACCACAAGTCGCCACAAGTCACCACAAAAAATAATGAATCATTATCACTAAAAGAATCTAAAACATCAAAAATATTTTAAAGAAATTAGGACTATCAATGTTTGGAGCATATATACATTAACTAGTAGAAAAATTATTGAATCAACTGATACTTGTAAAATTAAAAATTTCCAGAATCATCAGTTTTAACTTAATTAATTTAATACCTAAAAACGTTTTCCTGCATAAAATGGCTACACCCTTAGCATTAGACCTTTTATAACTAAAAAAAATATTATCCACCCCAATCGGAGTAAAATACTACTTTGTTTACATGTTGCTACTTTTATGACAAATAATTTCACATTAGCGCTACTTTCTTCAGCGGATAAGCATTAACGTGCTCTAGTTCCATTATTTAAAAGTTATAGAATTAATCTCTGCCCTTTCTGAGAAGGAAAGAATTATTCATTTCTGAAGGATAATGTGCCTTTCAGTTATTTCAATTTTTCTCACATTTACATGCCAAAGTCAGCACGTGCACTTTAAACAAATACTTATTAAAAGATTTCTCCGTCACCATAATGTCCTTAGAGAGTTTTGGAGTGGCATTTGCCTTTTTTACATCAACACGGTGCCCATCTGACGCACTCTGGGGGGAGGAGGTTGTAATAAGAGCTCAGTGGTTTGATTTCACCATTTAACAAAATAACTGATTTGTAAACATAATATGACAAAAATAAAATAGAGTTAATGATATTAATAAAAGTTTCAAACCTTGAGATAAAACAGATCCTGATATATAGCAGACGACAATTAAACGTAAAACACTTTTTCTCAACATTATTATTTTGTTTACTGTCTTTGAATCAATTTTCCTACAAAAGATATTGAACACTGCAGAATTTAAGTCCAGTTTTATTCAATTCGTTACATTATTTACAGAGGTTTTTGACGTTTTTAACGTTGAATCTGTCAGTTACTACAATTATATTTTTGCGGAATGATAAAACAAATAACTAAAAATAAACTGAAATAATTTGCATATGAATAAGTCACAAGTCATCGGGTATATCAATTACAGGGAAAAATTTGGGGGAAAACGATTGCAGAATTAGCTATTATTAGTAAATCTGTTTCGAGCATTATGTCATCTGGATCTAGGATTTCAAAAGGCACTTTTAACGTGTGAAATCATTCCAATATCATATTACAGTTGATGAATGGTATAATATTTTAACTACTAAGACTTATTATATAACGTATCTAAGATGTGTATTATTGTGTTACAATCTAGATTATTCATAATGACTTATGAAGCTTTTCTTTTGTTTGATTTTGTCGGACAACATTAGAAACATTTTACATTAATTAGCACGGAAGTTTAAATTGTTAACTTCAACTTAAGTATGTAATAGTTTAATGAGAATTTCATCACGAGATATCGGGTTCGAGTCTCTATACGTGCACTATTGAAATTTCGTGTGACAAAGTCATATTCTTTTTGCTTAAAATATACAGTTTAATAATTCTTAAACAATAAAATATCTGCAAATTAGAATATATAATTACAAATATAGGCTAATGTAAACTTAACAATCCGTAACGAATTACCCAATAAAACGGTCTTAATTAATAAGATATAAATTAGCGATTGTGTATAATATAGGCTTTGTTTTTGTAATACAAATGATTATTTCGAACTTGCATTATATTTATATAATATGAATCAATCGATTTTAATTGATTTTAATATAGTACAACAATGATGACAATCACATGTAAACTATAGTGTATACAGGAAAAGAGCGGTTGTTATATTTTATTAATTAGATAATCAAACTTTTGTAGGATAAAGGACAAATGATAGTGTGCATATCAACAACCACCAGCTATCGTCTTTATATTTGTGATCCTCTTTTCATATTGACATGTTTATGCTATCTCGTTTTATGTTATTGTCATACAATACATCCATACAATAACAAGAGCGGTGATGATGAAAACAACAAATCTAATTATAGTGAAGATAATTACAAATTATACTGGTAAAAAACTATAACTTATAACTGTTGACACTTTCACCTTGACATTCTTCGAAATTATGATATAAGTATTGTTTCAATATGCTTGAAATGTTGTTCAAATACCTCGCATATTCTTTTTCTTTGTCGTTTGAAGAAACTTGACGAGGTCGACTAAATGCAACCGTTTTTAAAAAAAGAAAATATTTGAGCTGCGTCATGACAAAACCAACATACTGGGTTTGCGACCAGCATGGATCCAGACCAGCCTGCGCCTCCGCGCAGTCTAATCAGGAATCATGCTGTTCGCGATCAGTGTCTCTACTTGTAATAGGGTTTGTAAGCGAACAGCATTGATCCTCATCAGACTGCGCGGAGGCTTAGGCTGGTCTGGATCCATGCTTGTCGCAAACCCATTATGTTGGTTTTGTCATGACGCGGCTCATATTTCTTCTCTTCAGAAAACTTATACGAGTTATCCCATTACAGCATTTATTAATGAACCGAATAGAACAAAAAGTAATAGAAACATCAAAAAGCAGGCAATCAAAAAGAAGGACAACGTCGCCGAGCTATTAAGATCGATATACGTTGATTTGTACACGCTAAAGCAAATGCTTACCGTGGCATATCACAAAACAGTTCTATGAACACATTTTCTGAGGATGCAGTCGGTATTCTTTTAGAGCAGAAGCACATATGTGGAATTTCGTTTCTTTGAGTCTCATTGGAAGGAAGTCTCATTGGAAGGACATTTGAGTTGGAATAACGGGAAATCCGAACTCGGGGCCCTTTGGTTTGTTGCCAAATAATTGGTGGTATCACTAGATTATTGAACACAATTTATATTTCAGCTTAGCAGTATATTTAGTGTTTTATCTATACTAATAAGTAGATAATACTCTTTTAAAGAAACAATATCATATCTTGTATTAAATGTGCATATACTTAGAACCATGTTTGTTGAAACTGATTGAGACGTGACGATATTAAACTTCATCTAGAAGTCAAAGCATTCAGAATATATGGGCGCAGAGATCTTGGTATTGGGAAGTTTAAAATTGATTTAGAGGCCATAGAAGTGCACGGGTGACCAGTCTACAAATCCGTTTTCAGTCAGAATTCCTCAGTTTTTATCGTTATCTTTAAATTCGAAAAAAGTTGCGATGTGTCAATTCAGTACTTCGGGCGAAAGTTTTCAAAACCATCACTTTTAGCAGGTACTCGCGTTAACGTAAAGCTCACTTTGAGCAATATCATTCCTTACATAGCAACACACTCCTCCTCCATGCCTGTCTCTATCACATCTAATAACTGTATAATTGTCAATATTAATTTCTGTGTCTGTAACATACTTGTCTAGCCAAGTTTCAGATACAATGTATACCAACAACAGCTGCGCAATTATTTTGAGTTCAGAAATTTAGGCAAAAAAGATCTAACATTTAGGTGTAAAAACTGAAGCCCTTTTTTGAAGCACTGGATGTGATCATCTGGACAGTACAGTTGATGGTACATTAGTTGTAGTAGTTGGTAGTGAAGTGCCGTCAAGTGAAGATGATGCATCATGGTCCCGGAAATCTGTAAAATCTGATGATGAAATGTTGTCTTTGAGAAAATCTTGACGCTGATAATCACAAAAAGGCAGTTCATTTAGTAAAAACATTATCTGCAAATATATGGAACATGTGTAAAATTGTGTTGTTAAATTGAACGGTCTACACTAGATTTATCACAATCAGTGAGTTTTTGTATAGCACATAGTATATATCACACAATAACACCTTTGCTGCATACAGAACATGGACATTTAGAATTTCTTGATTTCTTGACTGGCATTGAATTTGTACTGAATACTGGTGGCCCTGGATTTGGATGTTTATTTCCACTTCTAAGTAAAAAAGTAGAAAATATTTATTTAGTACTCTTAAGCGTCTTTCTTCGGTTTACGAAATGACTCGATGATAAAATAACCCTTGAGATTGCAATCACTAATTAAAGCACAAAATCAAAAAGGACCGGAAAATTACCAAACTGATTAAAAGTAAAACAAAAACACAAGTGATAAGTTAACTCATATGCATTCTGTTGTAAATCTATATTAGAAAACAAAGATTAGCAAATTGTGTGATACATATTTACAGAGTATAAACATAACAACAAACAAAATGTGTAAAAAGGCCAATAAATAGGTAACACGGATGCAATTTATATAAAATTGCATTGCAATTGAGCATCTTAAGATATGCATTTGAATATCCAAGTTTAATCTGAAATATCATCTTATTACATCTAATTAAGTGTTGGTTGTCAAGATCAATCAATAATACTGGTTTATAACAAAGACAAAATCGCTACTTATGTAGCTATCATGTTTGTGAAGTGCTGACTACTTCTACCTTCGGTTCACACTAATGGTGTACTGTTTTTTCTAACAATTTGCAGTAAAACTACTCGACAAAAATACAATACTAGTAATGAAAAAAAAAGAGAAATGACTTGATTGTTCTAACATCGGGATCATATCTACACACGTGTGACAATGTTTAACTATAAATGAAAGTAAAAGTAATGTCATATGGGAATGGAGATCACGTGAAAACTATGGCAACATATTTTAAAAAATATTATATACACAATATACACAAAAAGGAAATCGAATTTGATTCTGTATTTGAAGCAAATGAATAATGCATTGCAAAAGTTCATTTTTCAGTCGCTATATGGCGCGACGTCATCTCTTTCAACTCTTTTTCATTGTCTGTCTTTGCACTTGTCGGTGCAATAAGTTCATTTTGAACATCTTCGTATTGATGCTAGGAACCACATTTTCGGATCAGCAGAAATATCAAGTCAGATTATTCATTTTGAATCAATGATTGTATTGTATTGTACTCGTATAAATTACTTCAAAAAATAGCTGAAACTTTAAACGTACACTTTTAAACTGTTGACAACATTTATATGTGAGATATGTCACATATTCCTCTTAACGGCGTTTTAGGCGCGCATTTGTTTTGGTATTGCTGACTGCCAACAACAAGGAATGTCAAGTATAACGAATAACTGGAGACGTAATTTTTGCCCTTTTTTCGTCGTAATTAAAATATATTTATTTTTAGATACGAACTCTTACAATATTCAAGATTCTTCTTCTAACGAGATGGGCTTTAAATAAATTTAAATAGGGATATTCAGGAAAACCCTATTGATTCATATATTTATACTTCCTATAACATGAAGTTCTTTCAAGGTATATATCACAATGCCGAAATCATCAGCTGAAATCTCTATAACTGTTTCTTTTCATTTAAAGTCTTGTCCAGGCTTCAACATATATTTGACCACTGTCCACAGCATCATCCCCAGCAACAACAGCGCTGGCATCCTTTTCCGCAGAACTGTAGTGGTAAAAAAACAACTGTGACTGAAGTTCTAAGGAATATTTATTTATTTGGGAGTCTTTCTTGTTACAGTAGTTATTACACTTTGTAATAGTAGTTCTGAAAGAATATAGGACAGTGTGCCTTCGTTTACTGTTGAGTCTTCAGGGATGAAGTCAGATTGCCCCGGGGTAAGAATTTCTACTTATGTTCCGGTGAGTGAAAATGTACTTCAAGATAACTAGTTCAAATTGTATTTTCTATGATGTTTAATAATAATTGGTCGACATTTGTTTGCAAAATATGCATCAGCCTCGTTCTAAAAGGATGATACTTCACAACAAGATTAAGAGGAATTTGGAAGACTCGTTAAAGAAATAGAACGTTTTGACACAGCCTAACGCTGTTACTATCTAGACCAAATACTTTATCTTACTTAAGAGATATAAGAACATTTTCTGTTTTAAATACATTGGGAAAAAGATCATCAAGAATAGTCGAAATGGTTTGTGGACCTATGTCAAGAACATTAACAATGTAAGTTTTCTTTGGAATGGGTTAGCTTTTTGATGTGCATGGTAATCTAGACCACATTGTGCTACTTCGTGTAGACTGTGATAACCAGTAAGCAAAATCGTAAAGCAGAACCATTGTATACTTATCTTTATGAGATAATGTTGGATGATATTACGCAAAATTGAGCTATAAATATCTAGCAATCATTTCATTTTCGTTAGCATTTAAATCAATATTTGATGACAAGTATAAATCCATACTTAACGGTGCATTTATCGTCAAATTGACAAATCTTTTTACTTACTTTGTCAGGTCCAACTCCTTGTCTGAAAAAATATATAAAAGAGAAAATGAATAACCATACAGTTATAATAAGCTATAGCATTCAGTTTATTGATATAAAATAATAAAGTTACTTAATATTCTGATTACCTGCGAATGAATCGATAACCTAATTTATAAAATAAAATATAGCTACAGTAAGCTTAAGACACTAAAATTAGTAAAGAATACAATGTGTTTAACATTTTATTCAAGTAAAGAAAAACAATTTTTGACTACATTCAGCTGTAAACTAAAGGAAAGCATTACGGCTAAGGAGCAAAGAAAGTCAGGTGGGAACAAAATAGCTAACTGTTATTATATGTACTTTGATAGATATGGCAATACATATTCAACTCCAGGAATAAGTAAGCAATTGAAACATAAATCAAGGAGAAAGTAGATAAACAACGAAATTATACCACTAGATTTCCGCCGTCTTATTATGGCCACGCACAAAGAACCTACTAGCAACAGAACAACGGCACCAACGCCAATAGAAACACCCATAACCACAGCCTCGTACTGACTAGAGTCCGTCTCCTCTGAATAAAAAGATAATTTTATTGTCTTGATTTCAAATACTTTTAAGAAAAGTGATCATTTATCTTCCGCAGAGTAATTAAGAAATTTAGCTTGCCTTGATAATGTAGGCCTTTCATAAAACATGATACCTTGTATTTCCTTACTTATTCGTACCCTATAAATGAATGATGTATTATTATTTTTACTTCCCTTTTTACTATGAGAAATTAAACCAAACAATCTATGTTGAAACATTTCACATTACTACTGATACTTTCATCGTGGACATAATGGACTGTTCAAGATTTCAAATTATATTGAACATATTTTTCTTTCATCAATAAATTATCCATTATTCAACCATATTTGAACAGCCTTGTAACCATGGTTACTGAACTTAAATTCGATTAAATTACTGATGAATACTTTCTTATACTTTGTCCTTATACGTGTACCTATTTTTTGATAAAAAAACAAGTGTATGATATTCACTTGATAATTACAAACTAAATACATGTACCTATTTCACAATATTCGCCCTCAAATCCTGTGTTTGTACAATCACATGTGTAATAATTAACGAAGTCTGTACATGTACCATTGTTGAAACATGGACCACTTTCGCATTCGTCAATATCTAAAATGTAACATGATTCACTTTACATACTTATGTAAAACAAGGTCACTGGGGAAGTATGATACATTTAAGCAAATATATCGCTCAGATTCTCAAAATGTATTTACAGCTATACAGTACAGATATATTTGAAAATATACAAATGTTTTACATGTTCTACAATAAATGTCGCCTGTTCGTTTATGCCCAATGTCTTATAGAGGTAATTAACGGGTATCCCCTCCTTATCTGATAAATGGCTTTTATCTTACCGATGAATTTCATCAGGTACCAGTAAAGAAAAACAACAATATAAAATGCATTTCAGGAGCCTTTTTAATTATATGACATTGATTTCTAAAAAATGACATGCCTTTATCAATGTTATGTATGATTATAAGTATATGATAAAATAACAAACCTGTTTCACAAAGAACACCTGTATAGCCCGATTTACAGGAACATTCAAATTTCCCTACAAAGTCAATACACTCGCCACCGTTTAGACATGGCCTCGAACTGCATTCATAAATGTCTGAAATAATATGTTGTATAACTGTATAGGATTAAGTTATTATTCATTAATTGGCCCAAATATTGCACACTGGATTTCATAAATGACTAAAAGACAGATTTCATTGAGCAGATGAATCTCGTGTATTTGATCAATAGCAAATAAATAATAAAAAAACTAACAACATACTAACGGCGTGACCGAGTGGCAAACACGGACTGTTACCCAAGGGTTTGGTGGCTTTGCGGGTTCAAACTCAGTCAGGGACTAGCCGTTGTTTCATTGGGCAAGAAACTTTACTCTCGTTGCGTTCTAGAAACAGGTTCGATATGGTACCTTTAAACTTATAGCGGCCTATACAATCGAACTAACATAAATTCTGTGGTATATAATGGTTTTGTGATACATATAATACGAAAGAAGTAGGCAATATGGTAAATAAAAGAATTTTATTTGATACATGAAGCAAGCTATGTGATAACTGAAGTACACAATGAGATAACTGAAGTACCAATGTAACAAAAATGAAGAATCATGGTAAAAAAGACATGTAACTTTGTTGAATTCGAAGTTAATTTAGAAGATAAAGTATACCCGTATTTTATTGAAATCCATTGGTGAATTATCTATCGAAAGTTAGAATTAAATTAGATATTACTATGTGATAACGTAATTACCTATTTCGCATCTAGGACCCATGTAACCAAGGAAACAGCTACAACTATGATTATTAATGCCATCGATACATTCACCGTGACCGCTACATGTCACACCGATACAATCATTGACATCTGAAATATACATTCTGCCGGTTTAACGATGTTTCTAATAAAGACACTATAGTTCAAATATTCTGATGTTTGCAAGAATGTATAGAGAAATTTAAGAAATTGAAGATTTTCAATGAACAGTTATGCAGCTTGGTTTACTGCAAAATAAAGTCTAACAGCTTATTTAGTTGATCCTGGGACCAACATATATAGAAGTTGATCCATAAAACAAAATCTTGTTCATAATCTATTTTAGGCACTTAATGAATTGGTCTATTCAGCATAAGATATTTTGGTCATCCTACATTCTTACTCCGCTTTATTTTGATATATTTGAAAGAGAAACAAATAATTTCTAATTGTTTTCATTTCATGCGAACTCATTTTTTGACATCAATTTATGTACTTCAAACAGACAATAATAGCAAAATGTCATAAAAGTTTGATAAACCAAGAAACTAAATCTTTACAATAGTTGTCAACAGTTTGGTAACGTAATTGTTTTCAATTAACTTCATCAAAATAAATTTACATCATCGTTCTGATAATATAAGTGTTAAAGTCATATTGAATATTTGCAAGTTTGTAAACTACATTGCAAAGTCAAAACGGTTCAGCCAATGGTTGGAACTTTAGGTCAAAAGCTACACCTGATTAGGTTGGCAACTCACTAAACACTTTGTTTAAGATGCTGTATATACCATGAAAAACCGAAGTGCGCAAAAATAACTTTAGTCACAAGTAATGTGTCATAACATTTAACATATACTTTTCATTGACATTACATGAAAACTAAACTGCAAAGTCCTTATGGTATTGACTACTGACACGAGAGACCTGCTTTAACATTTTACATGTACTACTTATTAAAATTGTATGGCAAATGCATAAAAACTGCATGAAAAACGGAAATAAATATTAAAAGCTAGTTTCCTACTTGTACAGTTTTTCAAGCTCGAGAGGAAGAACCCGGTGTTGCATGCACAAGAGAATGTTCCAATCTCGTTATTACATACTTGTTCACAGCCATCAATGCCAAGGTCACACTCGTCAATGTCTGAAAGTACGAATGATGAAATTTTACCGTTTTTCATTTGCACATAATTTGACAAAACTCATCAAACATTCTTTAGTAATTCTAAGTGGAACAATTATTAAAGCACATTACTTGCTCAAATGAAAATCCAATCTGAAAAAAGAAAAAACACACACACTAAAATTCTCAAACGTATTCAAAGCTAGAATTAGTCGTAAAATCTTTTCTACTCTCAGTCTGTCCATATTATTTATAAATTGAGTTATGTTTTTTTAATATTTACCATTACAGTTTCTGCCATCATTATTAAGGGAATATCCACTTGCACAGAGGCATTGAAACGAGCCGACATTATTGTCGCATGTCTGGTTACATCCGCCATTACCGGTGCTACATTCATCCACATCTGAAACACCATATTTTACTAACTTCTAAAACAGATTTATGATGCAAATTTGCATCCTAATTATGATGTGAACATTGCGCTTGTAAGAAATAATGCGCACCTGTTAGCAATATGGAATGTGGAGAGGTTTAATTCCAGGGGGTTGTGGTGCGAACCCACGTGGCTTTTTGAAAAAATGCAAGGCATAGCCCCGAGTCAGGTTACATTTTGTAAATATCATTGCTAGTAATGAATGGATTTTTTCTCTCTCATTTCTTACAGCGTTTTTAAGACGACCTTTATAACATCCAAAAGTCGCTATTTTTGAAAATCGCGTTATCTGTGACACGTGCCATAGGAGGAAACATACATTTCTTCTTATGAAATCATATAAAAAGTGCAAAATGACAAACTCATGAAGTTACAAACAACGCGAAGCATTCAGCTAAGGTAAACTTACCGTTACATGTTCTATTGTCCGCATCTAGTGTGAATCCGATTCCACACGAACATGCGTAGTAACCAACGGTGTTAGTACAAATCTGAGCACAGTCATGAATATTTTCACTACACTCATCAATGTCTGTAAAGATACAACAATATATATTTTGCTCATGCGGACATATCAGCGAAAGTTCTTTGCACAGTACTTTCAAAGACAGAGATGCCTTGCTATAGTAAAAGCTTTCGGTAAGAATCATTTCATAAAACGTTCATCAGAAAAATATTATTCGGATATAAGCATTCTTTCAGAATATGATTCTTGACATTGGTAAAGTCGTAAAATATATATCTTTTCATACATTTATAGCAATTTCGAACATTCTACAGTTCCTTAATTCCATTTTCTCGAATATAGATCAAAGGATTAGCTCGAAATCTTACAGAAAGATTATAAAGTTTCTTAAATTGTGATGATCCAGTAGTTCAATCATAATTATATAAATCTGAGCATCAAACTGTATACATCTAGATGTGTATACAAGCCTGGCTCTTCACTAGTTCTATCGGCTACTCATTATTGTTACCAGTTCAAGAAATAAAACAAACATGCCAAAAGCATTTGATTCGAAAGAGACAAAACTATAAGATGAAATATTTTAAATCTGCATATAGATACGAATATTATTTAATATTCTATTTAAAACTACATTCTTATAAAATATTAATCATTCACATAGGCATTGGCAAAGTGCTAAAAAATATTAAAAATATTCACCTTCACATGTTTCGTTATTAGACATGGTGAGACTATATCCCGGATGGCAAGAACAGAAGTAGCTTCCAGCAGTGTTTTCACATATCTGTTCACAATTATCCAGATTCTCCGTGCATTCATCAATATCTTTGTGAAAACAGATAGTTATTAAAAAATTAAAATATCAATATTATTCCATTATTGAACCAAACTTTTAAAGCGCTCTTTTTACATATTTCACACGCGAACGATGTTAAATTCAACAAACAATGCACACCAAGAAACAAGCTGTTTGCATGTTAAATTTAGAAGGTCTGATCACAGACAACAACGGAAAACGCAAATGTCAACATATAAACACGAAAATGGCGTTAACTTTGTATTTACTTTCCTGTCTCTTGCACAGCAGTCTTTCGTGTACATAATAACAAAAATAATAGTAAACTGCAAAACAGCTACATTGTTCACAGGCAGTGTAACATGAAAGTTACAATCTTACAATTTGTTCATCTAAATAATTATTTCAACAGTTACTCCATAGAATATATTTAAATGGTCATTAAAGTCCTAGAACATACACTCAATGTGATCAATAATGGTACACACGTATAGATTATCATCAAAGTTATATAACGTAGTATTTCCAAAAACTGAGAATCATTGCATAAGAAATTACCTAAAAAAAATACATTTTTGCAATATTTACATTTTAGCATTAGAGTTACAATCATTGTAACTCAAACCAAAAAAATAAATATTCATATTTAAAACAAATCAAGTAAAAAACTACATACCATTACAGGACCTCATATCATTGTCCAGTGCGAAGCCAATGTTACAAGAGCATGTAAAACTGCCAACAGAATTGGCGCAGATCTGCGAACAATTGTCTTGTTGCTTTGTGCATTCGTCAATATCTGTAACATTGAAATATATATTTACGTCTCTTCACCTATTATTAAAAGGGACTCCACTGAGGTTTTTTTAACATGACGGGTCTCAGGCTCTTTTTTGCAGAATAATGTTCTATTTGATGTAGATGTTTAACAATAACTCGAATGCAAAATATCTGATCGTTTGCTCGTTCCGTTTTTCTTGAATAATTATTCAAATTGTGAAAAATGACCCAAAATTGAAAAACGTTGCAAGATGATTTTCAATTTATTTTCGAGTATATTTCTTAACTATCTTTTGCATTTATTTTTGTTATAAGTACACCAGCTCATCTATATACGAAATTAAAAGTTTAAGTTTTTATGGCTTTTGTACCTTAGTTGAGTTCCTTTAATAGTAATAACAAAAACCAAAAAAAGAAAGAATAGAAGTAATCATACTAGTATAACCTCTGTAGATCATCACCATTAAGTAGACAAAGATTTTGGTTGCTGTCGAGAGGTGTTGTTTTTCCAAAGAGGTCAATTTTATTGTAAAGTCTTGCGTTGAGAAGTAGTGATACTGTTGTTGTAAAGAAGAATTTGCTATACACAGGGTGTCCTCTGTATAATCAAATAAAAGAGAACAATAAAAGGAACAACTCTGTTATAAAGTAAAACATTATAAAGTCATTTTTGTATCGTACCGTTACAAGTTAATCCATCTATATTTAGTCTATAGCCTGTGTTACAGCTACAATTATAGCTGCCGATGTTGTTCGTGCATATTTGATGACACCCGTCAGTATCAAGAACGCATTCATCGACATCTGAAAACAAAATTAATATTTCTTAACAATTATCTGATACTTATATCTGCAAAAGGTTACTCGATGACAATTTATTTAAGAATGATTTTCTGCAAAATCGCCTATTAATCATACGCACGCAAATATTTTTGTTGCAATACTTTCAAAGATATATAAGCGATTTGCTTAATGAAAAGGCAAGTGCATTTTAAAAACACATGATTATGGAAATGCATGATTTAATATAACATTTCTTTGAATGCGTTTTTAAAGCAAGATAAATTGCATTTTCTTAAACAAAAATATACATATATTTCACTTCACTTTCAAAATCGTTTACAATAAATATGAATGCACATTGTACACTTTATGTAAATATATGTAATGTAATCAAATATTGCATATTATCAGTCCAAACTGCATTGCAAATATTCAAATGAATAAGATAAGCTGTCAAATAATGAAGTGTATACCTGCACATGTTTTATTATCCCTGTTTAGTTCGTATCCATTGAAACAGCCACAAAGATAGCTTCCAACAAGATTTGTACAATTTTGTTCACAGTCATTGTTGTCCTGAACACATTCATTTACATCTATATTAAAATAATAGACACATTTTAAATACGTATGTTATAATGTCTTTATTTATTTATTAACTTATTTATTTATTTATTTATTTATTTATTTATAAAAAACATGTTAAGAGAAAGAAACGTATTATATGTTTTAATGATTTAAGGCGATTCTATTTTTTTCTGGTTTTACGCCAATTTTACCACAATTTTTGTCATATCTCGGCGGTTGATCCACCTAAAAGGTTTTCCTGGATAACTAACCAGTAGTTACCAATTTCTCCGCAAGCAAACAACTTCTTATCCAACAGCAACGATTTCTAAAGCAGCGTTGAAAGGCAAATAACCATTATACTCATTGTCCGAGATAAACAATTTATCATTGTCATGGAGAAATGACACGTCGGCAGCGACCTCTGGATCATTAATCCGAAGATTAACGGGCCGACTCAGCTATGAAGCAATTATGCCCATGTTAACTGGTGCATTGTCCGGTAACTATTTCAAAAATCACCAGAAAACTTTTAGTTTCTTCAAATAATGACATATTAATATAATGCGAGTTTCTATAAAAGTTAGAATTCAAAATCATAGTTAAAAGAAACTTTGAAGAAAAAAAACTCAGTGCTTAGCCGTTTTAATTGATAATCACTTTATTGATGTAAAGAAAAGTTCAGTTTTTGTATGCTCATTTAAAGTTCCCGGTGCGTAGAAACTCTAACAAATTTTTTTTTTTACAACTGTTTAATGAGCATGTAAAACTTCCGCCAGTGTTTGAACATATTTGATCACAGTTGTCCGTCGCATTTAGGCATTCGTCAATATCTGGAAAAGGAGGCTCAAATATGTTGCGATAAAAGAGTATATGGAATGATTTAATCTAACTTCACTATTTCATCTAAAAGTTTTATAAGGCTATTTTAGCTGATGTTTAACAAATTGAATCAAATTATTTCCATAATAATCTTAATTTTCATAAGATGATTACCTTTGAAAACATAAGGTATAATATGTGTTATACTGGCTCAATTATCAATTCAAACATTCACTTACCAAGACATGAACGTAAATCGGTATCGAGCTCGTATCCTAGGTTACAAGAGCAGGAAAACGACCCGACGCTATTTGTACAGATTTGTCCACAACCGCCATTACCCGTAGTACACTCATTCACATCTGTTTATAGAAGATGAAACGAAAACCTAATTTGAATGGGAACGTACTTATTTAAAACAATTAAGACAAGGCAAATTTCATTAGAGCCATAAACGTTAACAATAATATTGAAGTGGATTAAAATACAAGAGTAGGTTTGCCATATTTCTGAGACTGTTAACAAACAGTGCCTACAAAAAGGGAAAAGCAAATGAAACATGTCGGCGATGTTCTGTCTAAATACGTTTATATCCATGAATTTTATAAATATCAAGTATAAATAAGTATAAAATAAATAGCCAAAGAGGACCCGGAAGGTAGGACTATTGCTACGGTTGTTATAATATGTAGTCAGACACATTTCCTCTTTAAAGGTTAACAATTTTTTTTTTTATGTTTTTAATTTTTCTTGCACATGCACATCGAACAGTTTCAATAAAATATTAATGCACTAAAATCAAAGAGTCGCCATTGAGCACAGACTATAGAAGGGTGTTCGTAGTTCTTTGATTGGTGTAGCTAATATCAATGGATTACCGTTGCATGTTTTTCCGTCTGTATCAAGAATGTAACCTCCGTTACAGTAGCATGTAAAATTACCAACACTATTGTTACAGAGTTGAGTACAGTCATGTGTCTGGTCAAGGCATTCATCAATATCTAAAATTGGAAAGGGGATATAATTAATATTCTACATACTTAGATATATATGTAACAATTATAACGAAGAAATGTAAAACATTTAATAGTAGTTTGACATATTTGTAATTGAAACATCAGTAACAGAGTGGTTCAAGATTCAGACGTAAAAGCAAAATCATTTCTCTGCATTGCAACTTGAGTATTTCTTCATTCAAATAACAATACAAAGCATTGCAGGTAACAAAATATCTTCTGTGTTATTTTCCCTTTACCAGAGTTACAAGATTTACTTATAAATGTGTTTAGAATGATATAGACGCATAATTATAACATATTTCAAATATTTACCGTCACATGTGTTGTCATCATTTAGACGATACCCCGTGTTACACTGACAAAAGTAGCTTCCTACAGTATTACCACAGTTTTGTTCACAAGTATCAGTTTTCTCTAAACACTCGTTGACGTCTTTATAATAAAAATATATAACTGTTGCTTAACTTTTACGCTGCATTTATAGTGTATCCATAATGGCATCTATCTTTGTAAAGCTGCTGCTGTTGTTGTTGTTGTTTTAAGCGCCAGATTTTTTAAATTTCCCTAATTGATAGCGTTTTTATTTTGGTATAATCTTTTCAAGTAAGATAAAGACAGGCCTAAAGACAAACATGTTGACATAAAAAAAACACATACTAAGACCTTTGATCATATTCCGTAATATACATTGAAACGATACTTAAATAAATACAACTGATTTTTTCTGAAATGACATTTTAACGATCGGTTTTCAAAAATAAATATCAATAATGTATTACCGTTACATGTTTTCCCGTCTGTATCAAGGTTGTAACCTCCGTTACAGTTACACGTGAAATTACCAACACTATTGTTACAGAGTTGAGTACAGCCATGTGTCTGGTCAATGCATTCATCAATATCTAGAAATATAACGGGATATAATTATTTTATACATTTTCGTTCTGTTAAAGACAACAATTAACACATGAAATAAATAAGCTGTGTATCCGTTGATATGTAGGATGTAAAGATGTTAATGAAATTTATATTATAGTATCGTACATATTAATATACATTAATTCTATACTTATTGCATTATTTTCTGAGATTCTCTAACACTACATTGATTGCCGCTATCATTATCTCTTTCTAAAATTTATACATCACAATAGTTTTTTTTTAAATGAAATTAGAGACAAAATGTTAATAGTGCTTAAAGCAGCATGCCTCAAAATTCATGCAAATTTTTATGAAAAAATTGAAACAGTATAAAAAAGTATCATGTTGTGAAGTGAACAAAGAAAGTAATTAACTTTAAGTTACCAAACAAAAAAGTCAAAATATGAAAAAATAGCCCTTACTTCGTTAGTCACGCAGTAGAAATACGCATAGTGATAAAAACTGTAAAATTAGTCATTAATCGCAAATAACATGAATCTTGAATCTTTTACTTTTCTTAAATTCTTAGTTCACATATCTCAAGTTTGATTTCCTTCAAATTAGTTTGGCTCATCTGGAGGCATGCAGCTTTAAAATGTTTGTGTTTCGAACATTTTTTATATTTACCATCACACGTTTTGTTGTTATTGTTTCTCTGATATCCTGCGTTACATTGACAACTGTAGCTTCCTATGTTATTTATACAGATCTGTTCACAATCATTAATGTTTTCCGTGCACTCGTTGATATCTATAAATAAAAGTTGATAATTGAGCGTTTCTAGATGCTTCATGTTTATATAAATAATAACGCGCGATCACTTTATCGTATTTATTCTTAGTTGTTAAAAATGTGCATTCATATGAACGTTTTAAAAAAGTATGAATGCAAAGCCTTTTCAAAAATGACAGTTGTAAAATGATAACAGTTTTATAACAAGCTTTACAATTATAGTAGTAGCTGATTTTTGCCATATCGCATTTTCTTTCCGCGGGGCGCCAGACGTAATCACGAAAATACGATAAAGTGATCACTTTGTCGTACTTTCGTGTTTTGCCTTTCGCCCCGCGGGGCGCCAGGCGAAAAAATCGACGCAGTGATCACATTGTAGTATTTTCGCCTAGAAGGACGCCAAGCAAAAAACACAAAAATACGAGCGCCAGACGAATACACGCCAAAGTGGTAACTTGGTCATATTTTTTAGTTTTTGCCTGGCTCCCTGGGGAGCGAAAATAAACCTGTCACAAATCAGCCACCATAGTTTGATAGTTTGGACTCTGTCAGCATGTCAGACTCTATGCTATTGGCTGACCAACTTTAAAATTCCATTTTGATATCCCCAATCATCATTATGGACAATTCCAAAAATGGAAACTGGATAAGTTCATTTAATGTAATTGTTGTTAATTTTGTATTCTACTTCGCAAAAACAAATCAACAGCCCAAGACTCATGGGAAGTTCTACCATTATCTTCAGAATGTATCTGTAACGTGCAATCAAAAGAGTGGGACAGTCTTATTTTATTATTTTAGGCAGTAGCGTTTGGCCAATGACCATTACAATAGTCAACATTTTGAAATGTAAAATTAATAAAGCTCTGTCTGGCAACAAAAAATGAGAATAATGTCGTTTAACGGTTTAAAATATTCGAGGTATATACATGTACGTGTAAACTAAAACATAAGATGATTAAATGAAAACGTTTACCATCGCAAGATTTTAAGTCGGCATTTAATCTGTATCCATGGAAACAGTCACATGTGAAGCTACCTATAGAGTTGTTGCACACTTGGTGACAATCGTCTGTGTTCAAAGAGCATTCGTCTGCATCTGTGAAGTGAAGAAAATGAAATAAATGAATAATCTCAAAGGGGCCACATCGTCAAGTTTTCATTTGTTAACAAGCATAGTATTATATTTTCAGTGACTTTAAATTTTGTTTCGTGTGTAGAACGCGTGTGACTAACAGGGTTTCCAGAAATTGCAGTTGCTGTTACTGAAACCGAAAACGACAAACTTGATTAGGAAATAGATAATTTGGGTTACTTGACCCGACTAAATAAAAACATTTCTGACAATAAAATGATTATTCACATCGATGAAAATTAAACATAACTTTATTGATGGGATAGAAAAAGATATTTTTGATAATTATTTTAATGCTTCTTTATAATTTCCTTTGATTTAGTGCGGAATATAATCCAAACTCAGTCCCTTAGCTGATACGAATTGTAATCTAGATACCGTATATATAGTAAACTCCGCTTAAAACGAATTTCAAGGGACCGCCGAATTTATATCGTTGTTTCCGGATATCGTGATATCCGAGTGGCCAAGAGTCGGGACCACGGCAACAGCAGCGTTTTAATTAAGCGGTATTACTGTACTTGTCTATAGTGTTTATTCTGGTTATAAGAAAATCATGTTCATATACCGTTTAGTCCATTCACAATATTCAGTAAATGTTAAGAACTTGTATTCAGTTAATCATTAATATAAGTTTCCGTTTAATACAATACTTTGTTACCTAATTTTAAAGTAAAGACAGAGAATGTAAAAATAAAGCTCACCAATGCATGTAGTTTGGTCAATATCTAGCGTATAACCCTCGGTACAGGAACATTCATAGCCTCCTCCAATGTTAGTACAGTTGTCTGAACACCCGTCAATACCCAACAAACATTCATCAATATCTAGAAAACATATTAAATAGTAATTATATATTATAAGTACTATCATTGTTGTATGCCTGGCTACCTCATTAGCGTGCTGGGGAAACTGAATCTGCCTGCCAGTGCCATCTGATCATGGTCTGTACTGTTTGATATTCAGTCAGTACATAAAATGTATTTTTTAATGTTGTCTAAAATAAGGGATGACTTTGTTAAGATTGAAAGATAGACACATCCATTTAAGATATTTATTTGAAAAAAGATTAACGTCAATTATCATGAAAACATATCTATCCATAAGATGTCACATAGGACTGTTCTAAATAACCTCTTAATAACCTGCCGTGAACAAAATCTCTGTCTCTACCAACCATGACGTCGCCTTGGACCCCTTGGATTGATTTCAATGGCCTTCGGCTGGAAACTTAAGCCATTAAGTGGTAATTTTACACAGTTCATAATTCATTATTTACATCTTACATGTTGGATGTTAGGTTATTTCTGTTAGATTGCTAAGAAATGCATGTTTTTCTTAGGAATTTTTTTTCATATGAATGCATACCTTAGATCTACATACAAAACGAATAAACCAGTTTATACCTGTACAATTTACACCGTTGGCTTGCATGTTGTAACCGTTACGACAGTAACAATTAAAACTACCCTCTGTATTGTTGCATTCCTGAGAGCAACCACCTTGATTTACCAGACATTCGTTCTCATCTGAATTAGTACATAATATTCACATGTTATATATATTATTATTCATTTCATTAAAACGTACTTCACCTTCTTCGAACCAGCTGTGACAAATACATGTACATGTCCTCAATCTGATTAAAATCAGCTCGTAACTAACGCTATACAAGAAATAACTTAAGTATATCCGAACTTTATTTCCCCATTTTTCGTGTTTAAATGTTGAATTCTGCTTAAGCCGGTGCTAGGGGGCGTGGACGGTAACTTGCACTTTCCAGTTACCCCCTATGATAGCTTCATCACACGAGCTGCAACATTTTAAATTTTTTGTTTGGACATCTTTTATGGATTCTAGGATTTCTCTGATTTAATCAGACTGACATAAGTTATCTTCCAGGACATAACTATTACATAGTGTTCTCAAAATGACCGACAACAGCTGAGTGAATTGTTCCTTGGCACTTCAATGCAAACTGAATTTGTTTATAAGATCAAACGAGGTTCAAACATTTACTAAGTAAATCTTAAACATGAATTATAAATAGGATTACTGTTGCACTAAGTGGGAAAGAATGTGAGGAATACAAATAGAAGTATGTGCAAAAATGTCCTACCTTCACATGTAAGTCCGTCACTTCCAATAACGTAGCCGTTAAGACAGGAGCAGAAATAGTCCCCATTGGTGTTGTTACAAAGGTCACTGCAATTGGCAATTCCTAGTTCACATTCGTCAATATCCGGTACTTCTGATAAAATCAACATATATCTTTATAAGTTTAACTGGCAGTTCTGATAAAGAAAATATATCTTAATAAGTTTTTTTAGTATTCCTGATAAAGGTAAATGTATGCCTTAGCTATTAATCATGCTTTATTCCAATTTTCCGGATTTCATGGTTGATTTATTAACATCGACGTCTTGAAATCACTTTCCTCTTACCGCTTCAGGTTCAAATTCCTCAAATGGACTTTGAATTCATTTATATGATAGAGCTACCCAGTTTCCCTGTAGAATACTTTTAATCCCACCAAGGTAACTGGTGATGCCCCCTCACCTACCCTCCCCACTAGTAAAGCTGATAAGACGTCATTTTACAGTGTCGGTGTGCTTAAAGCATTCTTCTTTGCTGACAGTTTACCAATATATTTCGTGATTAGAGATCCTGTTAGGAAGATTGCGTAGACGTTCTAGAGGCCAAAGACAAAATGTAGTTGTCTTATGAGTACATTATGTCACGGGCCTTAATTGCCAATTAAGGAATTGTTAAAATAAACTTTCAATTTAAGTGAAGGTTGTAATGATCGGTAGCTTAACACTTGTTAAGGAGACAAACACTTAGGCAGTGGTGCTATTTTCTTAACTGAATATTTATTTCAGTGAAACTTTAGTTTATATATATTCTTATTTCTAATTGTTAGAAGTTAAGCAGAGACTTACCGTCGCACGTTTTGCCGTCTTCATTCAGGCTAAAACCTGCGGCACATGTACACTGGAAACTTCCGACCGAGTTCGAGCAGTTTTGCGAGCAGTAGTGAGATATCCCGGTACACTCATCAATATCTGAAGGTATTAAAATTTTGATAAACTGATTTAATGCTCATCGGCATTAATCAAGGGGGAGAATCACGCCGTTCGTTACCCAAACAAACAAGATGGCGGATGCAGCCAAAAAGTAGGTATTTCCCTTTTTTCTCTGAAATTCGTGATGTTCTAATGTAAAGTTACATATAACAACCTTCTCAACAATTTTCATGGCACACAGGATTTTATTTCATGATGTTTCGTCCCGTACTTCATCTGAAATGCGCGTCACCAGATTCGAAGCAAGAGAATTTTCCACCGGTTTGATCGTGGTAACGTACGGCCTTTTCTCTCAAATTCACTGTTTCTTTTACATATATGTATATTAAATGAAACCACTGACTTTAAAAAGTTGCAATATGTTGTCAAGTAAGCAATCATGCCCATTCTGGCTAGATTTACTGCTGTCTATATTAATATCGGGGCATTTTCCGGAAATGATAACGTATGTTACATGTTGTTTTGTTAAGTGACTATCAAATTATCAATTTTTTTATCAAATTTGTAATGGTTCCATTACGAAATCTTTTGGATTCCAATTATATTCAGTGTCAGTTATAGTTCAAGGACTTGTTTTCGTTGACGTGACCTATTTAAAATGGCCAATGGCATTCTCAGGTTCCAATTTAAACATGTTAAAGATTTTATAAGACCAAAGAAAATTGCACTTTATTTAGTTATCCCCTTTGTACTTCATAGGAAGTATATGTGAAAAACAGGAAGCCTATGGCCGAAAAAGGAATGAAGTAATACCGTCACATGTGTAGTTGTTGGAATTCAGACTGTATCCCGATTTGCATGTACAAGTGTATCCACCATCTATGTTTGTGCAATTCTGTTCACAGGAATCTGTGTCAAGGTCACATTCGTCTATATCTGTTCATTTAATGACAATGTCATTTTTATGTAAGTAAATATACATACAACAGATGCGTTTTACAAATGGGATGTATAGACATTCACACTGCATAATAAATTGTATTTCCAATATACCTGTCACCTATCGTCCCGGCAATGCCGAGGTATTACCTGGCGTCTGTACCCGCGCTACTGGCTCAATGCAGTGGATTTGCTTTGACGCCACAAGTAGCAGAGAATATCTTGAACTCATAGTGAAGGGGCATTTGACATTTAACCATCTGTCTACATAGGGCGTGCCATGGAGCTCAAAAATCCAAAAGTCATACTTCCCGTGATTCTCTACGGACGGGGCGGGATTATAACCGATTTGTGTATTAATACATAATATATACTAGTATCATAAAGATATACTAGTATGTATGTGCCAGTATCATGTCATACGTTTATCAAAAGGATTTTGGTTTGATATAATAACTTACTATCCTTATATGCATTCTTGTATTTTTTTATCAACAGTCATCAGAAAGATTAAATTAGGTGTATAATAAAATAATTTATATTGCTGTAGTAATCGCTGGCTCGTTAGGGCACAGGCCTAGTTTTTCTTAGCATATGATTTCATTAAAACAACACTGTTTCGAAGCTGATCGAAGTAAAACAGATTTGTACATACCTACGCTGCACGTGTTTCCAGTATATGATGATGTACACGTGCACGTGAAGTTCGTGCCGTTGACAGTACAGCTACCGCCGTGTAAACAAGGTAGGTTGTCACATGGACCACTCACTGGTTCATTAGTTGCTGTTAAGACATAAGATTTACATTAAACCTTATATAATTGCAAGATATGACAATATATAAAGTATAACCGCTGCTCATAGCTTGTTGTTTCAACAGTAAAATGCAATTATCTGGCTATATTTTGGAATGTCGGAGGCTCTCTTAGGTGAATGCTCGGCCTGAAATAATGCTCGGAGGGTAACGCGAGGTCTTCTTTTATCCATAAAGTTAGAAACACGCAATATAACATTTACAGTGCCGGTGTGATCAAATAAATGAATTAAACATAGTTTACAAGTGACAAAATAATTGTTTCTAACTGAACATTAAGTCTCAATACAAATTATTTCAGAAAAAGTATCTTATCTACAAACCATATGGCTGAGAAGTCAACAACGTCAACAACACTTTTCTCGTTAGAATCGAGACAAGAATCAAAGCTGCAACTTAAAATTGATGAAGAATACCCACAATGTCCCACATGGTATTGCCTGACTCTGACCAAGTAAACAAAATCTTTCAAATGTTGTATACCTTCACAAACAACTGTTGTCAGATCGTCTGTCACCCCAGCGAGGTCACTGAAATCTGTCAGCATGTGAACATTGTCAGCGTCCCCTGCTATAGTCTCGAGAAATTCGCGAGTTACCCCATCAGTAATACCAACACATATTATCTTGATACCAGCGTCTCGAATCTCCTGTATAATTATTTGGGGTATAATTGTTTAATTTACAGGTTAACAAGTTATGTAAGTTATAGAATAAACATATTATATTTATAGACAAATTCTTCTTAACGGCTACCTTGTGCAATTAAACTAATAATTCACAAACAAATCAAGCATTCATTTAACAATTAACATACATTACTTTAAGAAAAAATAAAATAAATTAATAACAAATGCATATACAAAAGGATAATATCAACAAAACATGTTACTGTCAGATCTTTCAAAAAATTTGCAATTTTACCATGTTAGGTTCTCCTGACGTGGATCTCATGATTTTAAATAAATTACATGCACTACTGAAACAAGCATGTCGGCATGGTCATTTTGCAAGAAATTCTCTCCGATCAGGTCAAACAAGGATATCACTCGTGGATATCAAACAAATATATCAGTCATGGATATCAAACAGCGATATCAGTCGTGGATATCAAACAACGCTATCAGTCGTGGATATCAAACAAGGATATCAGTCGTGGATATCAAACACCGATATCACTCGTGGATAACAAACAAGCACATCAGTCGCGGATATCAGACAAAGATATCAATCGTGGATATCAAACAAAGATATCAGCCATGGATATCAAACAACGATATCAGTCGCGGATATCAGACAACTATTTCAGTCGTTGATATCAAACAACGGTATCAGTCGTGGATATCAAACACTATCATCACTATTGGAGCATGTAAAATTCAAAGTAGAATGTGTTCATTTTACAAAATCAGGGGTGAAATGGCCCCACCTGTGCTGCAGTGACAACATTTGATGACTCCCCGTCTGCAATGAGAACAAGAACCTTCTCGACGCCGTCTCGAGCCCCGTTTGACGCTGCGAAGTTGTTGGTGAATGCATACTCGAGAGCTCTTTTAATATCTGTGCTTCCACCACGAAATCTATAAAATGAATATAAAAATAATATCTATCACCTTTTTAAATTTCAATTGGCAACTCCTTTGTTCCAAATAATGTAACAACATGTCAAATTTAATGTAAAGTCAACTTTTCAACTGGAGAGAGTAATTTTACAACGTGGTGATGCTCAATATAACATTAAAGGAACACTACTGAGATCCAAAAGCTTAAAAGTATAGATTTCACATTTCTTGTGTCGATCAACTGTTTAAACGCTTTTCACATTTTTCCAGTCTATTTTACAACTTAAACAATTATTCTTGAAAAACAGGCTGAGCGAATAATCTGAAATTTTGCAAATTAGTTATTTGATCAGACCACTATCATATGGTAAATAAATCTCGAAGAGATGTTTCCAGACCCTTATTTAGACAAAACCCCAGTGGAAGATGTAATGTTAAAATAATTATGGTAAATTCAGTGTAAAACTTTATGTGTCACATTTTACAGCACGTGAAAGCTTGTTTCGATGAAAAAAAAATCTGTCACATTTTACAGCACATCGAATTTTCCGATTCGATGTAGAATTTACTGATACATTTCACACCGTCTTGAAATCAATGTAAAATAAACTGTCACTAAGAGCTTAATGTTACAATACGTTGAATTAAATGTAAAAATTATATGTAATAATAATAAGTGTAATTGTTATACATGCCTACAATAAACCATAACGATACGTCTACAATAAACCATAACGATACGCCTACAATAAACCATAACGATACGTCTACAATAAACCATAACGATACGTCTACAATAAACCATAACGATACGTCTACAATAAACCATAACGATACGCCTACAATAAACCATAACGATACGTCTACAATAAACCATAACGATACGCCTACAATTAACCATAACGATACGTCTACAATAAACCATAACGATACGTCTACAATAAACCATAACGATACGCCTACAATAAACCATAACGATACGTCTTCAATAAACCATAACGATACATTATCGTATGATGAATACTGGCAATCATGTTTTTTTCCCCATTTTGGATATTGCTCTTACAGCGTGTTTAAGATTTTGGGTCATGGTAATTTTTCTGCTGTTTTTACTAAAATCATTAAACGTTTTATTAAAAGAGGTTATGACCCTACTTTTTTAAGACATACTACATGTTTAGTGTTCAACCCTTTTACAGTTGGACACTACGCTTTCCTCTTTTGATTGCATCTGACGGACCAAGTGGGAGACTCTATGATGGATATTGGGACTGAATTGTCTAAATGTCCTACTTCTGCCTTGCTTCGTCGGGCCCTTGTAGGTGATTTTCTTGTTGCTCTGTCTTCCTTTAGGACATTGAGTACTTTTGTCATGGCCACTGGGTTTACTTTTTATATGTTTCTACATGATCATTTTAGTGATTTACTTATTTAACCTTTTATAACCATGGCAACTGTTTGAATTTCACTTGGCGGGGATTCATTTTATTTACACTGTCTCGTTTAAAGGAACATGGTGGGGCTAAGAGCGAGGTTTGGTGCACCATTAACCGGTTTAAACTCCCAAGCAGTCATTATCATGCTGCTGACCGTTCCAAGGCGGCGCTCCTCTGTGTTCCTTAGATGTATGTCTATGTTGTTTCATACTGTTTTGGCGACACTTTTGCTTGTGTCCCTTGTTGTTTTCTCGTCTACGGTAAGTATCTTCCCCATTGCCTCTGGTTTTTATTTCTTTGATTACCCCCCCCCCCCTCCCCCGGTCTCCTGTCCCCTTCCCCTTTGTGGGCCTATTATTATTTTCTTTGAATTCATAATCAGTTCTAAATTATCTATCATTTAATGATTAACCTTTCCGTGCTCTGTCTTTGCCCTGTCCTATTTTTGTTTGGGGTCCGCCTGAGCTCCTTGCCGTTGGTTCTTGTTGCTGGGTCATATGGGGGTTGCGTTCATTGAACGCCGCCTTTCCTTGTTGATCTTGTTTATCATATTGGTTCTTTTTCTTTGCAGCAGGAAAATCACATATGGGAACATTAACTTTGCTCTTTAATTAATTCTTCTCAGGGGAGAATGGTTTACCTATTTTCTGAATGTAAGTTACGTAAGGTTTTCAGAGATAACAAAAATAATATGTGTCAATTTCTAATAATCTAATATACTTTAATTTAGTTTTTGACAGAAACACTGTTTAATTTAGCTGTGATCAGATAGCGGCAAAGTGATAATACTACCAACACAATCACGCATCATTTGATGTCCGGTGATATACATATAATAATATTAATCGTCAATTTAACCAAAGGTGTAAATAGCAAAATGGAAATTGGGTGAAATAAGCAAACAATTAAAATCATATTTCTTGTCGTACGTAAGACAAATTGATATATATATAAGATAAAAGTAAAGCTTAGATACCTGACGGATTCTATTTTCTTAACTGCAGCCGCCGTAGTCGAGTAATCGTCTAACCAAAATTGGTTCTTTACAGTACCCGAGAAACTGAGATAACTCACTTGAACGTCGTCGGGCCCAACGGTCAAAGTCCCGACGACGGCGGCAACAAAGTCAATCACAAGGTTATAATTAGATCTTTGAACAGATGAGGAGTCATCTACTACAAACACAACATCAGCCTTGCCCGACGTACATTCTGTGAAATAAATGTTAATGAATGAAACCAGTTTACCTTTTCTAGATAAAAATGATATTGGCAAACAAGAAACAGCTCTTTCTAATCTACTTTATGTAAAACTTTAAGTCATATGTCTCCAGAAGAAAAAATACGATAAAAAGAAGAAAGAAAAACCAACGACAGTTATGTAGATATAACAATAATTTATCTTTGTTAGAAGACGAGATATATATATTTCTCTCATACACATATTTTATTAAATGATATATTCTCATGAATATCATCATCATTGCGATCATCATCACCAACATCATCATCAACAACATTATCATCATCATCATCATCATCAACATAAACATCATCATCAACATAATCATCATCATCATCATCAACATCAACATCATCATCGTCATATTATTATTATTATTATTATTAAAGTTTTCACCGCCGCATGATATAATATACTATTTGGATTAAAACAGAAAGTAAACTCGTATGATATATTCACAAACGATCACGTGACTCTTCAACTACTCTTATCTAGTATCAGGTAACCTGTTTCATAATGAATTATTAATTTATTCACAAGTATTTCCGATTATACTCTCAATTCTAGTCAAGAAGTATTTGGGACAAAGGAATGTGGTATCGATGAGATTCTTTTACTGACAACTAAGCGTGGTAATTCGGTCACTAACTATTCAAAAAACAAAAGATCATACCCGAGTTATTGGCGTTTTGTTTCGTGTAGTACAAATCACAAAAACCCTAGTTATTGTAAATCTGAATGTTGGGATATTTGATACCGTATATAGTTATAGTTTACCATTTGTATGCCTGTTATAAGACATAGTATTTGTTACAACAGGAATATCAACTTAAAACGAAGCAGGTATAAAAAGGTTTGCTTCTGATGTCTATAAATAAAAAAACTAAAAATAGAATATATTTATTTGATTGTCAGAAAGTTTATATATATAACCTATGTAATAAAGAAAGATATGAAACAACTAAATATAAGCATGCATGTAAAACAGAAGTTTCAGAGCAGAGACACTAAACTAAACCAGTGTTTAAAGGCCCATTATGTCTCAGATTCTTTCTTTAAAACGTTTTTGTTTTGGTGGCATGTGAAGGATATTAAGGGATAAGCATGAAACGTGCTCTAGTTCCATTATTTAAAGGTTATAAAATTAATCTCTGCCCTTTTTAAGAAGGAAAGAATTCTTCATTTCTGAATTATAATGTGCCTTTAAGTTATTTCCAATTTTTTCATATCATTTACATGAAAAAGTCAGCACGTGCACTTTAAACAAATACTTAAAAGATTTCTCCGTCACAATAACTTTGGAGTTTTGGAGTGGCATCTGCCTCTTTGACATCCACACGGTACCCATGTGACGCACGCTGGCGGGGGAGGGGGTTCGAACCAAGAACATGCTGTTCTAATAAGAGCTCGGTGGTTTGCTTTTATCATTTAACAAAAAACTGATTTGTTGTTAATATAATATGACAAAAATTAAAAAAAATAAGTTAATGATATTCATAAAAAGTTTCAAACCTTGAGATAAAACAGATCCTGTTATATAGCAGACGACAATTAAACGTAAAACACTTTTTCTCAACATTATTAATTTGTCTACTGTCTTTGAATCAACTACTACAGATATTGAACACTGTAAAATTTAAGTCCAGTTTTATTCAATTCGTTACATTATTTACACGGTTATTGACGTTTTTAACGTTGACTCTGTCAGTTACTATAATTATATATTTTGCGGAATGACAATACAAATAACTAAAAATAAACTACATGTGTATGAATAAGTCACTAGTCACCGGGTATATCAATTACATGGTTAATTGGGGAATATATGATTGTAGAATTAGCTATCATAAGTAAATCTGTTTACAAGCATTATGTCATCTTGATTTAGGATTTCAAAAAGCACTTTTTACAAGTGATATCATTCAAGTATCATATTACAGTACATGAATAATATAATATTTTAACTACTTGGACTTATTATCGTAACTTATCTAAGATGTGTATTATTGTGTTACAATCGAGATTATTCATAATGACTTATGAGGCTTTCTTTTGTTTGATTTTGTCGTACAACAAAGGAAATATCTAAAATTACTTAGCACGGAAGTTTAAATTGTTAACTTCAACCTAATTAAAGGATGTAATAGATTAATGAAACATTGCATTTCATTGTGAGGTATTGGGTTCGAGTCTCTACACGTGCATTTTGAAATTTCGTGTGACAGAGTCATATTCTTTTTGCTTAAAATATACAGTTTAATCATTCTCAAACAATAAAATAACTGCAAAATTAGAATAAAATTATTACAAATATATTATTGGCTTATGTGTACTTAACAATCCGTAACGAATTACCTAATAAAACGGTCTTAATTAATAAGTGTACATGCAGTTTTTGTTTTATTTTATATATAAATTAAGCGATTATGTGTAATATAGATACAAATGATACATTTAAACATGCATTATATTTATATAATATAAATCAATCGATTTTAATTGATTTTAATATAGTACAACAATGATGACAATCACATGTAAACTAAAGTGTATACAGGAAAAGAGCGGTTGTTATATTTTATCAATTTGATAATCAAATTTTTGTAGTCCTTGTACCATATCAACAATCACCATCGTCTTTATATTCGTGATTCTTTTATTGACATGTTTATGTTATCTTTGTTTATTTTTACATAAAATATATCCATACAATAACAATAGCGGTAATGATGAAAACTACAAATCTAATCATAATTCATAATGAAGACAAATAATAAATACAAAAACAAAAAAAAAAACAAAAAACAAAAACGGTGTGCTGATTAATAACTATGATAACTGTTAATGCTTTCACAGTGACACTCTTCGAAATTATGATATTATTTCAAGATATGAGCCGCGTCACGACAAAACCAACATAGTGCGTTTGCGACCAGCATGGATCCAGACCAGCCTGCGCATCCGCGCAGTCTGATCAGGATCCATGCTGTTCGCTTACCAACTCTATTACAAGTAGAAAAACTGATAGCGAACAGCATGGATCCTGATCAGACTGCGTGGATGCGCATGCTGGTCTGGATCCATGCTGGTCGCAAACGCACTATGTTGGTTTTGTCGTGACGCGGCTCATATTTGTTTCAATTAAGATACTTGAACTCTTGTAAGAATACCTCGCATACACTTTTTCTTGGTCGTTTGAAGAAACTTGACCAGGTGGACTAAATGCAACCATTCTTCAAAAAGTGAATTTCCCCAGAAAACTTATATTCCAATGAAATAAAACATTAATGAACAGAATAGAACAAAATGTAATAGAAACATAAAAACAGGCAATTCAAAAAGAAAGAGTTTTAAAGCAGGCAATCAAAAAAGATTTTTAAACTTTACGCGATAATTACATGAAACACGCCACCCAGCTATTAAGATAGATATACGTTGATTTATAGTCTTATCATGGCATATGAGCAACTAGTTCCACAAGACAGTTCGGTGTTATTCTTTTAGAACTTAGAACAGAAACACATATGTGGGATTTCGTTTCTTTGAGTCTCATTTGAAGGACATGTTTGTCATTTGAGTTGGAATAACGGGAAATTCGAAATCGGGACCCTAGCTTTGGTTTGTTGCCAAATAGTGTTATCAATAGATCACTGCACAAACACTATCTGTCAATTAAGCAGATATCGAGTGTAGTGTTTTACCTATACTAAAAATTAGATAATACTCTTTTTAAGAAACAATATCATATCTTGTATTAAATGTGCATATACTACGCAGATATCTTGGTATTGGGAAGTTTTAATTTGATTTTAGAGGCAAACAAAGTAACAAGTAGCAGACGACAGACAACTGTGTATTTGTGGTCATCGAAAAAACGGAGCAAAGTTTAGTGCTCAATCGCGTCGTATTCTAATAAACTAAAAAATATCTCAATAAGTGTGTCCCTAGTCCCGACTAAAGATTCCGTTATGTCCTTCAGTTCTTCTATTATAACTAGACTCTATCATCTTTTCTTACCATTACTAACCAGTCACCCAGTCACCTGCAGCTAGATATCCTATGTATGTGTGTCTTGTTCAATGCCTCATTGCACTTTACATTTGCCATAGGCTTATGTTTTTTCTTTGTAAATATATGTTATAAATAAATATCTTGAATATTTACAGGAGTTTCATTGTAAGCACGAATCGAATCACAAATAATTTTGACCCCGTTGAAAATTGACCCTATGTGTCGTCTTTCAAAATGACCCCTCCCCGTTATTGAATGACCCAACCACTCGTGAGAAATTGATCCCCGTTGAATACAGATAAACTTTAAGCAGACCATATTTAAACATTAATAAGTGATCCAAATATTATTGCGGAATATGCAAATGGTAATATTTACGAAACAGTAATATTTCCGTTGGTATTTCTCAATGAAAATTTATTCATTTTACACAAGTGGACCAGCAGCTAACTACATTTTGCAATAAATTTGATAATGAACTGCTATAATTACGCTACTTAATGCACAACAATAAATATCTTCTATATATGATCAGGGGAAGTTACCGCAGTGCAGCAACTGTTACTTCCCCTGATCAGTAGGACGGTCGGCAGCGTTTGTACTACAAACAAACGTTTAACTAAAATGTTAATAGTTAACGGTTAAAAATGACTATATTTTTTTTATCAAATTGTAAGGATTAATTACTTCTCAAGACAACGATGTTTTATTATAGAATCAACGTGACCTACATAAATCCTCTCTACACACCGGTGAATAAAGTACACCGACGTCTATACAGTATTGAGCTTACGTAGTGAAATAATATTATTATGCAAAGAAATATTTAGCTCTAGTGCAATGAATTTTAAGTTTAAAACTGCCTACTTCACCCTGTAAACGATAACTTAAATTTTCTACATTACAGTACACTATAATTAATGATGTATTAAATAATATCATTAATATTAAGCTAAATATAATCTTTTTTTTTTCAAATTCAATATACAGTAGGGGCCTATTCTCAAAGAATGCTTTCGATCCGTACCATGAAATTTTAACTTCAACACTAAATAATAGTATGAAGCAAGGTTGAATCTTTTTAAATTATAGTTAGATCTACGTAAACTTTATACGGGCTCGGTAGATACGAATTTGGTGATCGGTAAATTGAATGGAATGAAGTATAATATCTTTTTGATCACATTTCAAATTTAAGTTATTTATCACTTTCACTTTGCTTTGCTCTTATAAACAGCCCTGGACATATCGGACCTATAAGCATCAATAAAAATGAGGTACCACATGGGTAAATCTTTAAAAAGTAGTCTCTTCATTGATAGGTGTGAAATTATATTTTGATAATTTTCACTGTGAAATTATCAAATGTAATTTTCATGGATAAATCAATAATTGACTCAAAGCATAAAATAAAAAAAATATTCTGGACTTTATTAAAACTAACACAAAAATGATTCAAAACACATACATGTGACATTTGCTAAAAGTATATGAAGAGAAATGAGCCGCGTCATGACAAAAGCAACATAGTGCGTTTGCGACCAGCATGGATCCAGACCAGCCTGCGCATCCGCGCAGTCTGATCAGGATCCATGCTGTTCGCTATCAGTTTCTCTTCTTGTTATAGGGTTTGTAAGCGAACAGCATGGATCCTGATCAGACTGCGAGGATGCGCAGGCTGGTCTGGATCAATGCTGGTCGCAAACGCATTATGTTGCTTATATCATGACGCGGCTCAAATATGAAAATGTATGTTAGTTAACGTCTCTGGTATATCACCAGACGACTGATTTAATTGGATCAGCAGGATGTTAGAGATTAAAAAAAAATGAACAACCCATGAATTACATAATATTACATAATTGGTACTATACATTATCTTTGATTATGATGTCAAGCTGGTATCAAACAGACACAGCAAAACATTCAGTATGTTGTTAACTATTGATGCTTTTTGTTTTAATACATAGGTTTGTTACAGTAAAAAACCCATCTCGTGTAAAATACTGTTTGGAACTTACGATAACTGGAAAATCAATTAAATATGAAAGAACGGTTGTTGTAAAGAGGTTGTGGCTATATATAGAGGGCCGCTCTGCAGAGTTTGCACTGTATATTGTAGTCAAGTATATTTTATGGTTAATGTGTGTTCATATTGGCTTTAATGTATAAAGTAAATTTCATTGTAAAAAGAAAAATCCAAATATCTATGGTGAAGAAAGCAAAACTTTGATGCGTAGCGGTAATATTTCTTACAAGCTTTTTAAATTTGATGGCTCTTTTCAGTTCCTGAAACGGCACTCATCGGTCATATTGCCGAAACATCTTTAGTTTTATTTCCTTTTATCAATACCATTACAGAACAGTTAAAATGACTTAGTATGAAGGACAAAATACCACTTTGTTTACGTTGTGATACTTTGATAACAAATTGTAATCATAACGTGCTCTAAAATTTCGTAATCTATTATTAAAATATTTATGAATTATGAAACAGATGGTTTCCTTTTCTTCGAAGAAAAAAATTGCACCCGTTTCTGAAGGTTAACGGGCCTTTAAAGTTGGTAGTAAAATTTATATAACTATTGCCTTGTGATAACTTAAGACAAATCTGATAGTTTGTAATTGTTTACATTGGCAAAGAAGGAAAATTTTTAATAGTGGTTGTAAATAATCAGAATAAAAATAATTTTAAAAACTTAAACATTAGATTTTATGGTGATGTTTATAAATTACTTTTTACAGTTCAAAAAAATCACACGCAGATAACTCGAGACGTAGGTTTGGTATACCTAATTTTGTTCTATAATATTTGCAAATTTTGATTTTCTTCAGTCATAATTCTGCACATTAGTTTAAGTTTCGTTTTAGTCTTTGCCGACATAAAATGTAGAAACTATCAGGTCTTTGCCTATGTAAAATGTATAGTTTTTATTTCCTTTATCAATACCATTACAGAACAGTTAAAATGACTTAGTATGAAGGACAAAATACCACTTTGTTTACGTTGTGATACTTTGATAACAAATTGTAATTATAACGTGCGATAAAATTTCGTAATTATTTATTAAAATAATAATTTAAAAACTTAAACATAAGTAACATTAGATGGTGATGTTTATAAATTATTTTTTACAGTTCAAAAATTCACATGCAGATAACTCAAGACGTGGGTTTGGTATACCTCATTTTGTTCTATAATATTTGCAAATTTTGATTCTCATAATTCTGCACATAAGTTTAAGTTTCGTTTTAGTCTTTGCCGACATAAAATGTAGAAACAATCAGGTCTACCTATGTAAAATGTAGAAACTATCAGAAATGACTTTGAAATAAGTCATATACCATATGTTATGGTCAATTGGGAGTGAGTAAAATATAAATTTCTAACAAACAAACAAACAAACAAACAAAAAGAAGAAAACTTTTAATACATAGAAAATATTCTATTTGTAACATGACAACTGGTATAACTGTTATGCACTCTTGAAAAGTTCACTTGCAACAGATATTTTTTCAAGATGCTTGTGATTTTCCCGCCTACAATACTATATGATTAGAATAGCATGGAATCAAGGGATCACACATTTTAGATTAAAACGAAAGAATGAATAATAATTGGGAAAACTTAGTGGGCAAATAAGACTATCATTAGATGCTAAAATTATAATCGTAAAACTTTTGTTTGTAAAAATACCATAACATGTACAGTAATAGGAATGTTGTCCTGAACTTACAGAATAAACAAATAACACGAATTTAAACTATATAGCTAAACGTGTTTATGAATATTTGTCATAAAATACCCAATTAACATAACAGTGTCATTTTTACAACATTGTATAATCACATATATAATAATATGGATTATACATGTAGTTAAAGTCGGTGTCAATTGTCGGCGACAATTCATGGTGACAATAACTACAGCCCCAACATTAAAATACCTGATATTATTACCTGTATTAACACAATTAACATATTGTTGTTTTACAATTTCTTCCTAAATTCGTAAACACGAATTATATCTTCGTCCTTAGAGCCAAGAATAATACGACCGCTTTTTTCATCCACAGCTATCGCGAGAAATTTCGAATCTGTGTTTGATATTAAAACTCTATTGTTGGTGAAGTCAGAAGCAGATATCTGTAAAACACATCCGGATTTAGTACAGGCAAAAATGCTTTCGTCGTCGATGGCAATATTTTCAATATCATGTTTTAGAATTTCTCCCCTGCAAACGTAGAAATTTTCTTCTATAGCAGTGATCTTGTCTGATTCTATGCGAAGGTTGAAGGACAATACTCTGTTTTTCTCTGCTATTATTATTTTTCTATCATCTGTTATTTGTATAGCTTGTGTGTTTCTGAGTGCAAGCGACCAGGTTTTATTTCCTTCGACCATGAAGTCTCTTATTACGTCATTAAACTTCCCATTGAAGGGATTCCTGAACTCAATTTGTATCGTATCATCTTTTGCATTAATTTCGGAGCTAAAGTCCTCATCACCCATTATTGCAACGATGCTGTTGCTTGTACTGTCGTATGCTATTCCGTGATTGAATAATGATGTTGGAAAGCCTCCATCATACGAAATAGTGTTGCCTGCAATACTATACCTGTTAATGCGCTTCACCCTTTCAAAACTTACAGCTACTTCGTTGTCTCCTATACAGCATATTCGTATAGGCCTTCCAGGAAGTCTCAGCACATCGAGAAGTGTGTAATCAGATGACAAAAGTTTCATGTTTGTATTTTCAAAGTCAATTATGACAAGACTTCCGTCTAATAAAACTGATATCCCATAAATCGAACAATAACTTTTGTCGTTGCAATCTTCGACGTTAATTTCTCGTATCTCTGTGGTTGCATAATTTTCCGAAGTTGTTGGCAAAGAGTGCCCTTCGCCTTTTTTATCCGTGTTCATTGCAAGTAATATATTATCGCATTCTACTAATTCATCGCTTGTTTTCTCTATTCCTAGCTCAAAACACTCTGGCTTATTTTCCGACTTTTTATCGCATACTAAAGATAGTGTCCCAAGAGATGACATTTGAATGCTATCCTCATTTTTCACAAACAACAGCCTATACTCATCTTGTTTGTCGATATCTTTGACCATTTCCCTTTGCTTCAAAATGTCGTCTGCTAATAAATGTTCAATAACTTTATGGCATGTGCTGCCGCCATATTTCTCAGCTGCTTCAAGAATTTCTGTATTTTTCACAGTTCTTTGCTCGATAATTTTAACTGATTCAATGCCTTTATCGATTTCAGAGACTGCAACCTGCAGTTTTTCGTCTGTATCCTTTGCGAATTTTACTTTTAATTCTTCAAGGGCATTAATGGCTTTTTGGATTATCATTTCCTGTTCGCTTAAAATTTCAGCCTGACTAAGATACAATAATTTCCTGTTTTCCTGTTTTCTTTCTTTCAATAACGCTACGGACAGATTGAGATCTGCGAGACTGTCATGTATGTCTTCTAATACTCCGTCACATTTGGCAATTTCAAATACATGTTCACAGTCCATGTGGGTGTCTACACGACACACGGTACACATATAAGTTGCGTGATCGTTACATTTATATGAAATCTTCATCTCTTTATGAACAGAGCAGAGAAGCATTTCATTCATTTCTCTTATAACGTCCCCGTTATCTGGTACACTGTCTCGAGTAACTACATGATTTCTTGTTAATTTAACTTTCTTGTGTTCTATAATACATTTCGAACAAAGACACTCTGCACAGGTCGAACAAAATCCTTCCGCTTCAATTTCTAAATCAACATATAAACATGGTTCACATAAAGCACTTTTGCAAGCCATGTTCATCCGGAGGTTAAATCACACCAAATAAAGTTTAAAAATAGTTCTCTTTCTTGACAATCCTAAATCAACTTTTTTTTTTTATCAAATTGACTTTGTTACATATTGATCAGCGTATTTGCACTCTAGATAGATCAATACCAGTCAATACATGTTCCGCTTTATTGATACAAAAACAGATACACACGCGTAGCTCTATTTAATTATTTAAAGCATATCCACACCGTATAATCGGCGCTATTGATGGCTGATTACTTCAGGAAGGTTATAAATTTAATTGGTTTATTTATATTTCGCAAATAATGATATTCAAAGTGGCTACAAGTTGAACAGGAGCATCGTCTGGTGCAGTCGTTTGACTGAATCGGGAAACACGGCCGGGTTCAATTCCCGGTGGTGCAGGTCAATTTTTTGTGATTGGTCATCAAATCTGCGGTCGTTCGCAATGAACCTCTGCTCTAGCACGTACAGTAATGTAATGATACCAGTTCCTTGCGCAAGTAGATGTATCATGTACTTGTAATCTTTTTTCAAGACAGTCCGCCCAGGAACTATGCGGAGAATGAACTTTGTTCTGGTGAATTTAAATAGGCTTGATCCAGAGTAGGTGTTTCGGTAATTCACTGTCTAGATCAATACATTGACCGACTTAACTTCTTTAAACATATTTTTATTCATAAAAATGTACAATGTAAACAACAAAACAAAAACAGTAGTTATAATTAAGCAAAACATATAAAACGTCAGTCGTGGTTGTATTGAATAAATTACTAGGAAATAAATACATCAGTTAATGCCTTGGAGAAAAATGTCTTAGACATTACATGTACTTTTAGCATTTTCAATTTCATAAATATCTAACATTCTTTTTTTTCTTTTTTTTTCTTTTTTTGTTAAAGAATCACAAATAGTTATTCTTGAAATAATTCGATAATTTATATTAACATAACTAAATATTATTATAATTGGTAACAACTGAAAACAGATAAAATAAAGTATCTAGTTGGTAAAATTTTAATCTGGTCTCCGCGTAGGAATAATATGTCTCTGGCAGCGACAGAAAATGACCGTGTAGTGTAAGCGTAACTGTAAGTCAGTTTTTAGAAAAACGAGGTTAATCGATCATCTGTGATCCATTATCAGCTGAGAAAAACACATAGTCTTCATATCTTTTCCAAACATAAAGTTTATCATAAGAAGATTATGTCTAGTCGGCTGTCTGTATGGTGGCTCATTTGGAACGCTTTTGTTCGTCGTGTTAGCGCTACCGACAACAGGACAAAGCGCCAAACGGCGCGTTGTCGGACTTTGGTCTTTTCGTCCTGTCGTTAACGATGTACGCCAAACTGCGCGTTGTTGTGCGGCGTGTTGTCGCCAAGTCACATTGTCGCTCAGTTCAAATCGAAGGATTGGCTTATTAGCCAAGTGACAGGGCGACATCGCGACAACGCGCCGCACGACAACGCGCACTTTGGCGTTCTTTGCTAGAAACAGGAAGACAGCGCGACAACGCACTGTTTGGCGCTTTGTCGTGTTGTCACTAGCGACAAGACGTAAAGGCAATAACGAGATAGGTTGCGTGGTCGCTATCGACAACGCAACGCGCAATGTACCAAATCAGCCACCATAGGCAGGTAAATCCAGACTAGTCTCCGATGTATACGTAGCAACAGACACAGAATACAAAATACGACTAACACTGATCGGTTGATGTCATTGTACAGTTTATATATAACTACTACTATGATGTTGAGTAGAGCTTTTTAACAAAAAATACACATTATGATGTACTCAACATTTCCCCAATTGATCTGACTTTCTTTAGGTTTCATGCTATCGCAGTGTATATATTTAAGATGGGACGCGCTATCGCAGTGTATATATTTTAGATGGGAAGCGCTATCGCAGTGTATATATTTTAGATGGGAAGCGCTATCGCAGTGTATATATTTTAGATGGGACGATATTCTCATTGATCAACTGATATGTATAATATGACGTAAGTTTGTTATGTTAAATTCATATTCTACAATAAAATTAGTTATGTTCTGTTCCTTTAAATTAAGGTATAAAATCCACAATTAATAAGCTGTCGTATGTGCTGTACTTCAATTGTCTGTTGTACATGTACCATCCGATTAAAAGCAAGTTCGTTTATTCGATGTTTTTTATATATCCTGAATTACTATTATTATTATTATTATTATTATTATTATTATTATTATTATTATTATTATTATTATTGATATTATTATTATTATTATTATTATTATTATTATAATTATTATTATTATTATTATTATTATTATTATTATTATTATTCACTTTTGTTATTAATTGCCTTGTTTACAAAGTATTTTGTTAATTGTGTTTGCTAATCATAATTAAGCTTTAGTTAAGTTATGTTTTAAGTTCTGTACACATTGTACAATATGAGTATTAGATTGTTATGTGATAATATGCCTGTAAAGGTCCATAATTGGAAATGAAATTTATTCTATTCTATTTCCCTCATTCAATTATGAATTAATTATATATTATTGAGTACAAAACTGTATTCTGTCGACCGAGCACACATCTGTCAAACCTATATTGGACGAGGCGCAAGACGTAGATATTTGTAGATATTTACAAGTCCAACAAAATCGGTATTTATCGCAACAATGTATATGATAACCTCTTTATTTCATTATACTATTTGCTGACGTACTGTGCGTCGAGATAACTTTGTTGCACAATTAGGATTTGATATGCCTGCCTGGAATCTGAAAATGAAAACGAAGCCATATTGGTTACCATATGCATTTAATATGGATTTTATACTCTGGAAATAGATGCGAAGTTAAATTAGATTAGACAATATCAGGCTTTTATAATTGTTAAGCAGAATACTGGCCCCGTGTTCACTAACATTTCTGATCCTTATAACACGGGGCCTGAATTCTATTTGAAGAGTACACACCTGTCAAACTTATATTTGCCGAGGCGCTAGCCTATGGTGGCTGATTTGTGCCATTCGTGTTTTCGCCCCGCGGCCCCGCCGAGCGAAAAGTCGAGAATTAACAAGTTAAAATGGCGGGGTCGCGGAGCGAAAACACGCTAATTAGCGGGGGCGCGCGGCGAAGTTTAATAAATAAAACTTCGTCCCGCTAGGGCGCGGAGCGAGAATTAAGAAATAAAACGGCGGGGGCGCGGGGCGAAGTTTAATAAGATAAAACTTCGCCCCGCGACCCCGCTAATTAGCGTGTTTTCGTCTTGCGACCCCGCCAAGCGAAAAGTCGAGAATTAACAAATTAAAATGGCGGGGTAGCGGAGCGAAAACACGCTAATTAGCGGGGGCGCGCGGCGAAGTTTAATAAATAAAACATCGTCCCGCGAGGGCGCGGAGCGAAAATTAAGAAATAAAACGGCGGGGGCGCAGGGGCGAAGTTTAATAAGATAAAACTTCGCCCCGCGACCCCGCTAATTAGCGTGTTTTCGCCCCGCGACCCCGCCAAGCGAAAAGTCGAGAATTAACAAGTTAAAATGGCGGGGACGCGGGACGAAAACACAATTGGCACAAATCAGCCACCATACTAGCCGACTCTGTTAAAGCTTTTGGAGCTGTGTGCGAGTCAAGTAGAATCAGTATTGTTCTCGTGCAATGATGTATAATGGCCTTTACATTTTACGCCAACATTGTTTGACATGCTCACAACTGTCCAATGCACCATTGCTTGTCCGCGAGTCTGTCCGAATAACAAAAATTGTCAGTATATATATTGCATGTAATACAGGTCGAACAAAATCCTTCCGCTTCAATTTCTAAATCAACATATATAAACATGGTTCACAAAATGCACTTTTGCAAGTCATGGCCGTTCATCCGGAGGTTAAATTACACCAACTAAATCTTTTAAATATGCTCTGTCTTGTTTCTATATATGACAACTGCTTTAAAGTTTGGACACCGTTTCCAATATACTCCATAATTTTATCATTACTCATTATTTTATCAGCAGGTTTTAGATAAATTATCGGTAACAAATTAGAACATGTTTAACTTGAACATGTATTTAACAATGTAAACAGTAAATAACGCCATTAACAGATAACAAAATTATAACATATAGTAAATGGGCACATATCTGTCTCCTCTCTCGAATAGCCTTCGGAAAAGTGGGAGTTTTCCTAATCGGGAATGAAAACACCTTTTCATCAATCTCGGTATAAGGGCTATGGACATCATAGAATATTCCCCCACTTACACACTTATTGTTTAAATCCAGTCTTCAGACAACTATGTAAAATTTCGCCGAACAGAAACCATTGTTTGTATTATGCTAAATGATATGGAAAAACACACACAATTGTCAGCACTTCCTAGTTTTGAAAAATTTAGTTCCCAACAAGCAAAGTATGTTACACTTGTTTTGATATATCGTACATAGAACAGAACTTTTTGGACATTTTTAAAAATGCAATAGATGGCAAGCAAATATCTAACATTGAATGTAAATTTGTTTTTTCTTGCTTTAGTGTTTGAACATTTATGTCAACTTGTCTGAATATTCTATTATCATACTGCATGGAACTGAGTATCTTTAAATAGCATTTGGCCCTAATGTATTTCCGAATAGGTTTGCTATAATTTCCCTTCGAATGTATGTATTAAGACATTTTTTTTAGACATTATGGTATTTATAATCCAATTTGGTAGACTTTGACACGACATTTTTCCTAAAAAAGAGATACAGATCAAGTAAACTACTTGACGTACTCCAAATGGTCAGACGTAGGTTTCTAGGTAAAACATTTATCGTTTTTAGCTCACCTGAGCATGCTCAGGGGGAGTTTTTAGGATCGATGATTGTCCGTCGTCCTTTCACATTTAGCTGTTAACACTCTAGCGGTCGCATTTTTGCCTCAATCATCACCAAACTTGGTCAGGATGCTTATCTAGTTGATAGCTTGGATGAGTTCGAACATGGGTCATCTCGGATGAAAAACTAGGTCACGAG